ACCAAACACCCTGGCAATCCATGCGGCGCGTAGTCACACCAGGGCCGCGCTCAATCAGCAGCAGCGAGACGCCATTCATACCCGGGCCGCCAGTTCGCACAGCGGTGGTGAAGTAATCAGCCCAGATACCATTGGTAATCCACTTCTTCTCGCCGTTGACGATGAAGTGCTTGCCGTCCTCGCTCAGCTTGGCCTCGCAGGTAAGGTTAGCCACGTCGGAACCGGCATCGGGCTCGGTGATGGCCAAGCAGATGCGCTTCTCGCCCTTCAGGATACCCGGTGCGATGCGGTCCTTGAGAGCCTGGGAACCGAACTTGAAGACGGGCGGGCCACCGATGCCGAAGCCACCGATGAGGTTCCAAACGAAACCGCCAGAGCCTGTCCGTGACAGCTCGTCCGTCACGATCATCTCGTGGAAGAGATCCCACTGCTCGGGGGCGACCGACTTGACGCCCGAAGGCACATACTCGGTCGGGTACTTGACGCCCAGGAGACCGGCCAGGTAGCCTCGGCGGCCCATCTCCTTGTAAATCTCCTCAGGCACTCGCTTCGCCTCGTCCCACTCGGTCACATAGGGCTCGATGTCGCTCTCAATCCATTGGCGAAGCTCAGCACGCAGAGCAGCATGCGACTCGTTGAAGTAGGGAGAGTGGTAGTTCTGATACCAACTGGGGTCCGCAAAGGGAATCTGGTCGCCAAACGCCTCCAGAGGCTCAGACTGGTCGTGGCTGCTACTTGAGGCCTTGACAACAGCCTTGGCCGCAGGGGCGGGAGTTGGCTCGGGCTTGGGCTCCTCCTTGGGCTTGGTGTCCAGAGAGCCGACCTGGAGCTTGGCCTTGTACTTCTTCAGGATGCCCTCGTTGTGGTACTTCCAGAACTGCTTCGAGGCGTCCTTACCGGCGACTCGCTGCAGGATCTTCTTGCCGCCTGTAGTTCAATCCAGTGGTTAGATGCCGCCATCAAGCAGGGCGGGGGACAAAGGGCGGGAAATGCGCACCAGGATGGTCATCTTGGAACGTGGTCAAATCATAGACGTCACCGTCAATGGTGATGTACAAGCTATCAGGCTTGTTGTGCGACGCCACGTCGCCCGCTGTGAAGATCTTGGCCATGATGGTGATATAATGAATTAATACTATCGACAAGACAATAAAGGCGAATGAAGAGGAGAAAAGGAAAAGGAAATCTCGTATCACGACACACCCTCCGCCGTCCCCGTCCGGTATTTAACACAAAGCCCCAAAATGTCCATCGGCATTCCCTCAATCACATGCTTGGCCAACTGGTCAGCGCGTGGTCTCCCAATCGCACCAACCAGCGGTCCCCAATCGCGCTACGCATCTCCAGTCGCTTTCAGCTTGGCCCTCCGAAGCCACTAGGCTAGAGACATCTGCCTTTCCCCCCAAAGCAGCAGTCAAACGCTGACCTCCGGATTCCTCCCCCACAAAAGAACCACATGCCACTCCGCAGATCCTGGGCGTCCCCGGTCCCTTGAATTCCTCCAGCAAAAAAAGCACGTCTTAAGTCCGTTTTCCTCGTCCAGCGTAAGCTTCAATAGCACATCCATCCCGAGCATGTGCCAGCGACGCCCCCCAATAAGCCACCCCCGGCATGTGAAAAAGACACTTGATGTCATCCCCCCGACGCTGCCGCGGACCAAACCCAAACCACACCTGACAACCTCGAAAAAAAGATGCCGAGGCACATGTCAAACCCCCCGTCCGTCCATCCTAATGCGCCCCATCAGAGTCCGTTTCGTGCCTGTATTTTTTATTCAGGCCATTCAGGAGCGTGGCATTTCCATCCGAGAGCAATCTCGTGCTTTTTTACTTGCCCCGAACCCCAAGGATCTCCCCCATATCGGCTCTTTCCCCCCACGCATCAAATGTGGTTGGAGAGCCTTTCAACCGTTCTAGAATGGAGCATGCGCATGCATCCGGGGATGAGACACTGGGCGGAGATGATTTTCCGAGCGGTGGACTTGCCTAGGTGAATGCAAATGATTCAAGTGGTTTCCCCTATTGTTCGAGCCCACTCTTTCACGGAAATACTCCTTCGTGGATCAAAGTGGCCGAATGCAGCCGCCACATTTGCTGCTCAGAGCAGCTTTCAACACAAGCCCTTTAGCATCCAGCAGCAACACATGCAAAGAGAAGCAGGTATAGCAACATGGCAACACATGACATTTTATTTTTTTTTTTTCTCTTTTGCTTTTTTTGCTAATTCAACCAAAGCTCATCTGCTCTGTAAAACAGCCCTTGGCCTTAATACCAGATGTAATAGCGTAAATATCCTCCCCCACACGCCGAGAACTCCATGCTTCTGCACTCCTTAAAGCAAGCCAAGCCATGAAAATGTCCCTACCCTTGGGTTCCGGTACCAATGCCGCGCGTCCAATGCTTCCATCTACACGTAAAGATGGTTCCAATGCAAATTTTATTCCATTCCACCTTAACTTTTTCCGACCTCCTTGCCCCACGCCGAATCATGCGCCGCCACGAGGCTTTGCCTTGGCTGCAGCCTTGTCCTTCTTTTCCTGCTTAAGTTTCTTCTTCTTCTCTTCGTTCTTCTCATCTAGCTTGCGCTTATGCGCAGCTTTTTCCGCGTCTGTCTTGGGGACCGGCTTGAAGAATCCTTCTAGACGTGCCTGTTGTGAACTCTTTAGGTTCTTCTCCAGTCGAGCGCCTCCACTACGAACGCGGTCCTCGGAGAATCCCTTCTCGGTGACAAGGAATTGAACCAGTCCCTCCATGTCAGGCTTGTCCCACTTGAAATCACAAAGGGGATCGTCTGCTTGGCGCACATCTGGGTTGAAGAAGAGTTCCCGCGCGTCCTTGTAAGGCCAGTCCTCAGGCAAGGTGTACTTCTTCTTGGGGTCTTTTTCGATGGCCTCGACAACCTTCTCCAACGATCCATGCTCTCGGATAAGCTTCAAAGCCGTAGTAGGCCCGACCTTGGGAACTGGGTCGAGATAATCACAACCCAGCAGAATGCAGAGATCAACAAACTAGGAGAAAGCTATGTTAGCAACCACCTGGCTGTAAAATACCCATCAGGTTGCATACCTGGTCTCGCTCCATATTCAATCCCTCCAAAACCTTGTCCAGTCGAATCTCCTGGATAGGCTCCTTTCTCTGCTCGCTGAAAGTGAGATGACGCAACAAAATTGGTGTGTTAAAGCACAGTGTGTCCATGTCCTCACTCGCAGCAGCATACACCTTTCCAGCTCTAGCAAGCACTGCACACTGCGCCTCGGCTTCAGTCGGCGCAATAATGTATGGGATGCCCATGAGCTTAAGCAATCGCTGGCACTCGGCATTGTGTTCTCTCGTTACTCGAACCGTCCGCCTGGAAAACTTCTCCACATCCTCCGCGGTACCCGTCTCTTTGGCCTCTTCAAGGCCTTCTGTGGCCTCCTGCTTGCGCTGGAATCGCTTGGCCAGCTCACCAGACTTGAGCTTGGGCGGCGCGCCGTCGAAGACGTAGAGGGGCTTGATTCCGTTGTCGACCATGCGCAGCGTACGGTAGAACATGCCCATCAGATGCGACGTCGTCTCACCGCTGTCGTTCATGAGCTGCTGGCCATCGGATCGAACTGCAATCAAAAAGCTGTAGATGCTCATGGAGGCGTCCTAGATGCATATGCACAGTCCGTTAGCAATAACACCCATTGACAATGGGAGCTGCGGCAGGTCGCTGACGCACAATGGCAACTTTGCGCCCAAACTGATTCTTGATTTCGCCTTCTTTTATGGCGTCCGGAGCCTCCTCCTTGACAATCTGGAATAGCTGCTTGATACCCATGATTGCGGCCGAATGGTAACGGTGCCAAAGCCAATTCCCGACCGAGTATTGAAAGAAAGAGAAAAGGAAACAAAGAGAAGGAGTTTGAACGCTGATACGAGGTCCCTCTAGCTCTCAACCAGCCGCCGAGATTCTTCAAGCCCTTCTTTTGCAGTCGTGTGGTTGCCTGAATAAATGGAGAAAACGAGGTCAGTTAACAGCAGGTGAGGGACGCGCTGAAGAAAGTGAATGACGCGCCCTTTCGCGAAATCGATAGCTGGGATATTTAAGTGGTTTCCACTTTTTCCAGGCCAGCGCGTCACTTTGCCGTCGTTCTCCAAGATACAAAGCAACACCCAATTACGCCATGTACCTAATAGCTAATAGTAGACAACAAAATAAAAAGAAAGGGAGTTACAACAAGGGTAAAATAACTCATTCATTAGGTAGTAATCTTAACTTGGTACTCAGTAGATTCCTGTACAACTGAGAGCTATGTACTCCGTGACTGCAGGTAGAGTCACATCCATACGACACCCAAACCTGGGGTGAATCAATAAAATAGGCACTCTCATGCATTTCACGGTATACAAATTAAAAGCAGTAGCTAAAGCAGATGCATATCAGAATATACAAGGGCTGTCAAAATGTCTCGACGGTCACCACCCCCTAGCCAAGGCAGCTCGCCCCCCGCCATCTTCAACAGCCAGCAACCCTCAAGACAAGCAAAAGCCCGCCCCAAGAAGCAGTCAACCGTGAGCGGATCGCAGATAGCAGGACATCACTCAGGCCAGGAAAGCAAATGGTCATTTGATAAATCCCTTCCTCTCCCTCCCGTGTAGATGCCATCGAGTTGGAATGTTTGATCTACCGCTCGGAATACAGAGCAGTCAAGGATGAGTCTCGCCTTGCGCTCCACCTTGCCGTGCGGAAAGTAGGTTTTCCTTTGCTAAGGAGCCCCCTATTCAGTCACATGTAGGGAAATTATGCGAGGACACGAGGACACATGCACCGCGTCATACTTGACGGACCTCAAATCAGATCGAGAGTAAAACTCGCGGCCAGGCACAATCTGTATGCCTCTCGGGCCCCTAAATATCCTATTAGTTCGGGGGGTATCGTACACTGCGTCATCCTGGCGCATTTTCATGAATGTCATTTGACAATGCCGCTGGTATTCCTGTTCTCATCAGTCACCTGAAAATGTCTAAATAAAATCAGTCCTCCTCGAAAAACACCTTCTTCCTTCCGCTGCCTCTATAATCTTCCAAGTTGTTCAAGGCTTGGTCAATCTCCATGATGTCGAGCATTTCCGCTTCCACATCTCGAGTAGTGAAATCAGCGCTGACATCTGCCGCTGCGCTCAAGGTGTCGGCGAATCCAAAGCCGGCACGCGCCCGAGTTGTCGGGGTTGGCGCATCATCCGACCTATCACTTGCTCCGTTCCCATTCCCGTTTCCATTCCCATCAAGCTCGTCTCTGGTAGACGGCTTCAGCCTCAGCGTTCCGGGCTTCACAGTACTCAGGTTGAAGGACAGGCTTGCCGATCTATCCGGCTTCCCGTGAACAATGATTGCCTCCTTATCATTCCTCGAGAACAGACGTTTCCTGTGGCTAGCAACAACGGCTCCAATCTTTCTTCCAGGACCATCTTCTCCCTCTCGCACAATGACTATCCTCGACTCTCCTCGAATCAAAACATCAACCGGAAGACCACCATCATCGGGAATATCATCATCATTCTTTGACGAGTCTGGGATTAGGCCAACTCCACAGCATCTTTCTCCCAAAAGCCCTGTGGTAAGGTCAACCAGCTTCACCATTCTGGTAGGTTGGGCACCACTGAACAGGTTAACTCCACCGCCAGATCCTCTTCGAAGTTGTGAATCCCAGAATCTTAGCACTCCCGGAATGACGCAGACATGCTCTAAACTTCCTATCCATAGAGCCAAGCTTTCGTCTTGGAGTGCCTTGCCGGGGGTGTAAGGAAGTCCGATAACCTTGACACCGCCGCGGACAGCGAATAGCCGATCAACACTTGCCGCGGTGGTAGTAGCCAGGGTTGCAGCGGCTTGTTTACGGGTATGAGGCGTCATCGGCGCAAATTCACCGGCATGCTTCTCCTTCTGCTGCGTCGCGATGGTGCGAAGGGAGCCAGTTCCTTCAACGTACCCCGAAACACTGAAGGCAGTCAATGCAGCCCCCTGAACACCCGATTTCAATTTGCTTGACAATGCAGCTCCCGATTGCAGCGGTTTTGCTCCTTCAATGTCCCAGATACCCCACATGCCATCCGCCAATAGAGCAAAGACTGCTCGGCCATGTGCTATCCATGCAGCATCCAATATCGGCTTTCGTGACGAAGATGTTTTAGTAAATGGTTGATATAATGAGAGAAGCCATGAGCCTTGGGTGGGGAAGGGGCCGCGGGCCTCTGGGTCGGGGGGCAACGAAGATTGCGCAAAGTCATATATCCTTACAGCATGCGGCGATGACACCGCAAGGAGCTGGGTTGTATTTGTAGGGTTAAATGAGATGCTCGTCAGGGGAGCAGGTAGGAATTCGCTTTGGAAGGGCTCGACGGGCCGCTGGGAGGGTGACCTGTTGTCCAGTGCAATATCCCACAAATGTAAGACACCCGATGCCTGTCTTGAGAAGGCGGCCACCACAGCTCTGGAAGACTTGCTTGATGAATCGACACTCTTTGGGGCAACCATAGTGATGGCCAATCCCTCGCTGTGTTTTGTTTGGCCACCGAGAAGAGTCAGTGACTCGCCCCAGGAGCCAGAGCCAGCTTTTCCAGCCAAGAGGTCCGCTCTTAATTCTGGCCTTGCCTTGCTTTCGGGCGATGGCGGCGTCAGAGGTAGCGTGACAAGATAGACATCATTTGTGGCGCATGAAACCGCAAATACCATCTTTTCGGCCAAGATTGGCTCGCCATTAGAGCCCGCCTCAGCTGATGAGCAAGGTACTAGAGGCATTACAGCAACCTTCAATACAGCCGTTCCGAAGGCTAGGTCCAGTGTCTGGACAATCTCGGGGTAGGGCGTCTTTTCAACGGCATCTTCGAATTCGGGCTTGTCGACATAGCCTTGGGCAGCTTGTGACTTTGCCGGCGGCTCATCGTCATCCGAATCAATAATCATGACAACATCATCAGTAGATCCGTTTCTCTGCTCCTTCTGGTTTGTCTGTTGTGGCGCCTCCTTGGGGGCTTTGAATCGTCGGCCGCCTCGCCAGACCAAAGTAACGCCGTTATCGTGTCCGTAGATCAGTACGGTAGCTCCCTGAGGAGACTGGATGGGGTATGTTTGGACATCGTTCACGCGGCGCGACAGATTATACCTGTAGTCTCGATATTAGCTCCTTACTAGAAGAGAGGCAAACATTCCAAACTTGCAAACTCACGTAAACTGCGTATTCTGTGCCGTGCGACGGATTCTAGGTGTGGTTGTTGGGGCCATGGCGAAAGGATCTGGTAGCTGCTACACACCCTAAGGTGAGAGCAATAATTTCCAAAGCTCTGATCGTTGGCGCTCAACGATTCTAGTGCATTATTTGTGGCTAACGGATGAATTGGAGGAATCTCAATGGTTTCGGGCGTATTGTATTGGGAACTTTTCTTGACGCGACTTGCCAACAGCAAGGTGAAGCTCAGGAAAATTCGTATCACGTGATGTCCTGGACCTTGGCGACTAACCGTTTCGCGGAGAGACACCTTTTTGTCTAACAAATTCAGTGTATCTCTTTATGATTCTTTCTACTTGTTTTTGAGTATGATTGCCTGTATTATTATGATGTATGATGAGCCAAGATGAAGGACTGTCTGGGTGGTGCTGCATATGATCGTGGACCTGGTTAGCAAGTGTACAATTAGGTAGGCCGACACATTGATTCCACTAAGGCATGAAGACAAGTCCATATGGAAGAAAGTAAAATTGGCGATATTGCAATAACAAAAGTGTAAACACAGAGATAGCCTCTTTAGTCAGAAGTTTACTCAATAACTTCTTCCTCATCAGGCAGTAGGAGTACTTATAATGTGAAGCTGACAGATGATCACCACCATCATTGAGGAGACCAGCAAAAACATGCGTATCACAACCACCAAGAGATTGAATCGTAAGTATAGAAGAAGCTATTTAAGATGCATCATAATAAAAGTTATAGTACAGCTAGGAATAAGGAATGAAAACCATAACGCCAGCAGAGTAAAAACTCAAAGTCCTGGAGATGCTCAAAACCGCAGTGAACCCACAGCAAGATACAGTAGATAGAGAGTCAAGGAAGACAGCGGCTTCACTGGAAAGTGATCTTCTCTTGCTCTCTTTGTTTGGACAAAGGAAATCAATAGCACTCGCAATCTCAATGTATTTTTTTTTTTGGTTTTTGACATGACGTGTTTGGTTACTATGCGCAATCCCTACATACACAATTCCGCCCAAGATCCATCGCCCACGTCCGAAAAGATATAGGAAGTAAACAACACAGGTAGCAACCATATTTTATCTTCTTCTAGCTCCGTCTCTCACACTTGCACACGCCTCCTGGCCTTTATCCCTTTCATACATACACCCGAAGCGTGGATCATGCCAACAGCTCGGTTAATGCCTTTTCCCCACGCCAACAGGTTTATACACAGGAGGTTCCTGGAAATGGGAATTGCAAAATAAAAAAAAATGAAAATGAAAAAATGAAAAAACACGCCAGGCTGAATACACAAGGCGTGTCAGTCAGATAGCCCTGCGTCTCCCTTTTGCTTTCATAAAAGGGCTGTGAAGGTGAGGAGCCAATGTCGCTGCATTCCTCGCTCTCTAGTCGCCAAAATTAAATTGTAAAGTTCAATCGGACACGTAAGGAGTGGACGGCGTAGGGAAGCCGGGGTATGATGTTGAAGATGGCCAAACTCATTCATTTCCCTCCGTATCAAAAAGTCTATCCCTACGCCAGAAATAAGAGGAAAAAAGAAAAGAAGTCAAAACGCCGCTCGGCCATCGGGCCCGGGAGTCAACCAAATGGACATGAGCTACCATCCCGATAACGCCGTAAATGCCCATGATTGAAGGAGATATTTGTAAGTTGAGTATAGGCAAATTCGCTTGTCGTTAAGTGGATATATGGCCATTTGCTCATGCGTTGGTGACCTAGAGAAGAGTTAGCCAATCAGATGAAATTCTTATAAACGAGCCGCTAGCGATGCAACGACATACCCTCAAGATGCGGCGAGAATAATCCTCATTATCCGCAATGCTGCCGTCACTAAGCCTGCGGTGGGCCATGATGGGGTCGAGACGGGAGTCAGTCATGGAGATGCTGCCGCTAGTGGAAGGCGGCTTGGAGCCGTTAATGAAGGCATTGACGGCGGCATTCCGGCGATGCTCTTCTTCGATTTCGGCATTCCGTCTCCGTCTCATGGTAAATAAGGCAGCTCCAATGAGACCACCCAGGACAACAACACCGACAACAGTGCCGGCAGCGATGCCGGCAACGTTGGTCTTCTTCCCGGAACTGGGCGGTGCGTCAGTAGGGGTTGCCTCTGCGGACTGACTGGCAGGGCCCGAGGGAGAGGATGCCGACGAGGACTTCTCAGAGCCCGACGATGTCGTGGAAGTAGAAGAGGAAGAAGATGATGACGAAGACGACGAGGGAGGCTCGTAGTTTGGAGGGTTGATATTGACACCGGTGTTGTATATGGAAAAGAATCCTGGATGTCCAAGGGCACCACAGGCCTCCTGGGGATACGCCGGGCAAGGGAAAGTGCATTTGTCAGTATCGACCTGAGTGTCTTCGGGCGGATAAGCGAATCCGCAAAAGCACTCATCGCCCTGCAGGCCAGAAACGGGGAAGTGGTTGTTTGAACAATAAAGATTGCACGCTCCCGATGAAACGGTCGTGCTCTTGACATCCGTGGCTTGCGTCATGTTTCCTTTAGAGCTCCAGCAGCCCTGCGATCGATAGGCATTCGGCACCGGTGGCTGTACTGGCGGCTGTGTTGGTGCCGGTGTGCTGGCTCGAATGACATGGCTAATGTCGTGGTGATATCCTCTGAGGGGGGTTGCGGCAATGGCCGTGTAGACTTGGGTTGCGGCCACCAAGGCGCCGGAAAGAATTGTTGACGACTTCATATTGATATAGCGAGTGTGTGAAGGAGAAAAAGGCGTTGAAATAAATCGTCGAATCGAGAAAAAACAAAAGAGGCCTACAAAGTCGAGGCCCGTTGGCTTGAACGTTGACTTGAAACAAGCAAAGAAAAGGAACGATTAATATCAAGCTGGCTCCGCCGGGGAGTTGTTGTCAAAGAATAAAGAAAAGAGACGAGACGCGCTTATTCGGCAGGAGAAACGAGTTGTTTGATTAAGCGTCGATTCTGCGTACTCTAAGAAGGGGGATTTTTTCTAAATTCGATGACCAGCTTCGGTTGGGAATGGCGGCGAACGAGGCCTGGGTTGCTAAACGAGAGACTCGACGGACGCCGGTCTGATGGAAGTGAGCTTTTCTCAAGATGCCTGAGCAAAGGCCGACAGCATCTGATTCCTTTGACCCGATGGGCTTTGAGAAACGCTGTCGAGAGTCGGTGTCGTCGGGAAGAAGGAGGGACTGGAACGAGCGTCCTGAAGGCGTGACTTGTTTTGTTGAAAGGGAGAGGAGACGAGAAGGAGAAACGACAGATTTGGGGGGGCGGTCGACAGGCAGGACGGGGGGTGGATGGGCAGAGGCAGCAAGAGACCCAGGTACGTACTGTACTGCCGGATCAGGGAGCTGGGATTAGGCCAGTTGGTGTGGTTAAGGGGAAATTAGTGTGCTGGCTGGTGCGGGTGTGGCCAATGATGGAAGCTGCTGGTGCTAATGCAGGTCGCTGCACGCCGTCAGGTACCGGGTTGGGATACGAAGAGGTGCAGCACCGGCGAGGTACCGGTGCGAGTACGTGTACATGTACCTGCATGGCGCGCATGAGTTCTGGAACCGGTATATTGACGATATATCCATAAGGTTTCTTTGTCTTACCACAACAATAAGTGCCAAGCTACACGCGCACGTCAAGGCTAATATTGTCATACAGCTAACAACGGGCTTATCCAGCGATGTATTCAATAGTTTTGCCTTCAATCCGGTCATCGATATGGAGGCAGAGGTAGTACAGACAGCTGCAAAAATGTAGGGGGGAAGGATTGAAAGCATGGCACCAGCCAGCTCCGGGCAAGGTACCTGTACCTATTGCTTGCAGGTACTGTACTGCCACCGCCCGCGCCGCCAGTGCTGCTGTGCACGGTACATGCCGTCCATGCGAGTACAGTACTCTACCGTACACGCATCAAAAAAAAACAAGCTGGCTGTGATGCTCGTTCCTGGACCGCCTGCCCCTGGCCAAAAGTCTTGTGCTTCGCCTCGGATCCTTGTCTGTTTGCATCGCCCAGCCAATCCCAGCTTCCATGCTGGAATGCAGCAGGCCTATTGGGCTGGCCAGCGCGTCGGCACCCGCCCGCTAGGCCTCTCCCAGGCTAGGCTTGCAAGGCCCGAACCTGTCGCGGTGGCGCCCAGAGACGCAGCAGGCACTGTCAGAGGGAGAAAAAACTTCAGGAACCGCTGCGCTACAGGCTGGGGAACAAGGGACGCGTGGAGCTCCGGCGCGCTCGAGGTAGCGGATACGGGGGCTGTGTCTGCGCGCTGTTACTGCCCAGCGCCAAAATGCGCGCACAAGCCCTAACGGCGTCCCTGAATTGGGCCAGCTATCGGTGTCGCGGATACATTCCCAAGCTCCTGCAGACAGCGTCCGAGTGGCGTTCCGTCCCATTTCCCAACTCCACCTCAATCAAAAGCTCGTCCACACAATGCGACCCTCCATCAGACATTCCAATAATAACGATGACGGACCCGAGCATTGCATCGCATCGTATCGTCCATGTACCAAGCTTGCAGCTTGCAGCGCCCAAACCGCCAGTTCCCGTCCTGCCCGTAGCCGCGCTCGAGTGTGATCCGGAAGACACGGCCATGACGCTGTGTCAAGTCGAGACGCGAGGCAGGCGAATGAGGGAATGGCGGCCCGTTATCGCGCACAGGCTGCGGTGTCCAACGGCCGCTGGCTCTCGACAGGGATCCCGCTGGATGCAGGTTGATATTAAAGGCACAAAGTCGGCTGCTGATGCGTCGTCGTGCGACCAAGGCCAGAAATTCGCGTGCCGCCTAGCGAAAAGAGAGCTGGCAGAGTCCCGTTGGCTCCATAATAACAGGAGAGCAGTGCGTTTCATGTCGTGGCATTATTTTATCCACGGCACACAGCTCGATAATCCACGTTAATCCCGGCGTGTGCAAATGCACAACTCGGGGAGTACGTGTATTATACTGTACTCGGTATGAGGCACCACTTGATTCATCCTGCCGCAGCCACCTCGGAACTGGCGTCGTGATGGTCGCAAAGCTGAGACAGAGCGACCCTCCTTTGTGCCAACTTGCGACGACGATGAGTTCCTTGGCCGCTTCATGTCATCATCTATCCGTGCCCGATTCGCAGAATCCCGCTGCACATCACCGTGGCGAGGCGACGATCAAGATGTTTGTTCCCGAATGATTGGAGGCTGATGCTTCATCCTCTGCTCCAGCATCCAACACGTGTCGGTCTAAGCTAGCATCCAAGTGTCAGTGCCCTGTTCCCTGGCCTTTGCGCAGCCCGCGGCCTTTTTTTTTCCCTTCTCATTCCTTGGCTCTCCTTATTCTTACTCATCGTCTTCTCGAACGATCTGGACTTTCACATCTGCGCCAGGAAATCCTCCTTTGCTAGCAGAATGCAGAGCTGCGGGTCCTCTATCCCCAGGTTGGCACGGCCACAAGGATCCAGTCAACGGCATTTTGCTCGATGAAGCCACAATCTTACCTTCACCGCATTCTGGCTTGTGCCATGCATAGACAATTAGAACTGATACGGTGCTTGCACCGTACACGTACTCATACATGGAGAGTGCTAAGATAGGTGATGACACCTGTAGCTTGAATCAAGGCAGCAGAAAAACCTGTTTTCTGCGCCTCGATGTGTCAACGAACTTGAGCGATTAATCCATGGTTATGAACAAGCCGCCGGGACTTTGATTTCCGGCATAGTGCCTCGGGGACTTTACGCGTGGCATCACAACTCGCAACTCGCGTGTTCCGAGCGCCACCCATTCACCTCATCATCAAATGCGTCAATGCCTGCACATGGTCCATGTGTAAAGGTAGGGCTTGCCCTTCAGCTCGGTGTCCGGCTAGCATCCTAAAGCGATGACAGCTACGGCGTCACCTAGTTAGAAGCAGGTCCTCGTTGACAAGATGCTCTCCGAGGCTCGTACTAGTTCGAGTAGTAATACTTCGTACGGAGTACTTGGTAGTGCTAATGCTTTCCAACCCATACGAGTACTCCATTCTCTGTCATAAGCCCCGAGCCTTCCGTGAATTGTTAACATCCATTACCCGGGCGAACTCGGCAGCTTTTTGCCCTAAGCCATGCTCATTCCGCATTGGTCACCTGGAGTACCAACGTTTCTTTCACGTAAACATACAAAAGGCATTCGGTGTTCTATGCGCCCCGTACGTGGATGATAAGATGCGGTGGACAGCTTCTAAAAATACCACAACTCCTTTTCTGCGGACAGGATATATAGTTTGCAGGATATCTCCAGGACGGGCTAAACAGACGGATGGTTTAATCTTCGTGGATTGTACTTTGCTAGCAACTGGATTGCGATAACCAGAAAACCAAAAGGCAGATTATAATGTACTCTACGCTGCCTGATATATACAAGAAAATCCGCCCATTTCAAGTCAATCATGATGCTCGCAGAATCCATACACATTGGGTTTTGGACCCAGATGGTCAAGATGTCTGATTCGGATCCCTTATTGGGAGAAGAAGCTAAATTGTCAAAGAGGGCAAATACACAGCATGGTCTATGGGGCATGGCCCGAGCCATAACTCTCGTCTCGTAATTGAAACAGCTCCTTTATCGTAAAATACTGTGCTGTGCTTGCCTTTCTATCCCACAATATATACACCAATTCTCTTATCTTGGTAGGGATAATATCATTTACATTTCGGGACTGTGACGGCTCTTATTCTTGAAGTTCCGATCTACGCTCTGCTCACGTAGACGCTTCCAGGCGGCATTCAAAGACATCATCACTAAGATAAAATGTTCAGAAAGTTAGAATATGGCATATGCAAGTGGTGAGAATGCAATGTTATAGCCGGCTCATGCTGTTACGATATCAGTTTTAGATACCATGCCAGAGACGCTTGTTCATAGGCACTTATTGGTTGAGATCTTCCGACATATATGTCCACAAGATAACTCATTATTTGTACTCGTTAGGCATACCATTTTTGGATCAATGAACAACGCAAGCAGCGAAAGTACGTTGGGCTATCTAACTTGATGATCTATTGAACAACATCGTGGATGGTGATCCGGTGAGGTTTGGCTGATATAGTAAATATTGTACATATCTCAACACGATGGACACACGTGAGTATGAACTCGCGCTCTCTTGGGCATGACTTACATCGCTCTGGTGAATCATAGACACACAAATCTAATTTACACGACACACGCCATATTTGAGACAACTGGGAAGGTCAAATATAGTCGTCGCCATTCTAAAACCCAGCAGTGGCCATGGCCGTGCACACTACGACACTGGCGAGCAACTCCTCTGATGCATCAATAATATGAGATTTGATGATTCATTTTCCCGGGTAGATACTTAAAGGTAGGCAGATTACAGTTGCAATGAAAGAAAACACCCAAAATGCCAATACCTACCTAGTGAGTATATGAGAAAGATTCCCTTAGATGTAGCTATCATACAAAGTATAAGTGTACTTAGGTCATCGTCACGACGACCGCCATGCCGCGACCAAAGTCATACAGACACGGGATAGAGCTATGAACTTGTTAATGATCACCATGTGCGTGGCGACCAAGCTTTTGATGATGCAGAGATGCAAATGGCTGACGACATTTGCAGAGACAAAAGGGGTCCCCTGATTCTGCCGTTACAGAATGATGCGGTGAGCGCAGTTTTGCCATATTCGTAATCCCTGCCAATTGCTTGCAAGACTACAGTCATACGTCTGAAACACCAAAAACAAGCAGCAAATAATAGACTACTTTCACAGTGGTATTCTCTTTCTCCCTTAATGCCGCATTTCGAATTTGATCTAGTCCGATTGGCAGAGATTCTCAGAAAGCAGATCTACACGCATTTGAGCTGCCATGTACATGTAGTAATACAAGATGCTTCATTCAAAGACAGTCCCTTGAATCGACTGCCTATCTACCTATTGTTTGGCGCCTCGGTGAGTCATTACGCAGGTACTCGATGCAAGGGAAGAGTACCCGAGTACGACGCGGTTTGGCCGCCACAGATACACAAGATTAGAATTATTTACCTATCTACGGAATACCTAGTAATATGCAGTTGCACGGGGTTCACTTCGTGCTCCGTTCGGACACTTAGATGTTGTAGTACTGCCCTATAATACCGTGCTTGTAGTCGAAATTCAGTAGGTACCTACCTAGACGCAACTTTTTGATACAGTTCCGAAGCAATGGAAGACAGTGCAGGAATAAGGGACTTCATAGCGCCATCGTCATGCCATGTCACAGACGCCTTGTCGCATCATGAGCGGCGGAACTTTGGCCCCGTTCCGATAAAGGCAAAGTAGCACAACATGGAAAGTAATACTGCACAAGCCTGAGACATTGGTAAATGGTACCTCGCACGGCAACTTTGGCAGTACCTTACTCGTAATATTTGGGTTGAAGCTAGCGCGGCCTGAGGCAGCGACACCACCGTTTTGTTGATCTCGGTTGCCCCATCAGCCAGTTAGGCTCGGCCCTGGCCAAAGTTGGGGTAAAGCCTATGTACCTCCAGCAGCCTTTTTAGGTGCAAGGGAACTTCCGCGGCCGTCTGGTAGCGCCCCTTGCAGGGAGTTGTGCGTCATCGGCTCGTCAGCACAGGCACCAATAGGCGCGTCCAGCACGCAAACGGCGGGCACGAGGCCAGAAGCCCGCCCTGTTTTGATTAGCCAAGTCCAGTGACCTCTCGATATCGCAGCCACCAATGCTACATTGGTACCTGGAGCACGCCGCTCTGGTACTAAGCTGCCTGCCACCCTCTTATCTAATGCCCGCTACGGCCACTACAAAGGCAGCTTCGTCATCCTCCCTCTCCTCTGGCAGCAACCAATCCATCCATCCTTCATCCATTCCATCCCATCCCATCTCCCAAACCACATCGTTAATCTCTAAGCGTCGCCCAACATGAAGAGCGCCTTGATTGCCGCTGCGGCGCTTGTTGGCTCCGCCCAAGCTGGCGTCCACAAGATGAAGCTGCAAAAGGTTTCCCTCGAGCAGCAGCTGGTATGACAAGCCCAACCCGCAGTGAACGGGCCAGAGCACGAGCGCTGACTGACATTTCGCTTTTCGTTTCATCAGGAGGGTTCGACCATCGAGTCCCAGGTCCAGCACCTCGGCCAGAAGTACATGGGCGTCCGCCCTACCAGCCGTGCCGACGTCATGTTCAACGACAAGCTGCCCAAGATCCAGGGCGGTCACCCAGTGCCCGTCACCAACTTCATGAACGCCCAATGTAAGTCATCAACCTGCACACCGCGGCAATCTCCCAGCATTGCGTGCAGGCTTACTAACTCGGTCGGATAGACTTCTCTGAGATCACCATTGGCACTCCCCCCCAGACTTTCAAGGTTGTCCTTGACACGGGAAGCTCCAACCTTTGGGTCCCCTCGCAGTCTTGCAACAGCATTGCCTGCTTCCTGCACGCCACGTACGATTCGTCTTCCTCGTCGACGTACAAGCAGAACGGATCCGACTTTGAGATCCACTATGGATCAGGCAGCTTGACTGGCTTCATCTCCAATGATGTCGTCACCATTGGTGACCTCAAGATCCAGAAGCAGGACTTTGCCGAGGCTACCAGCGAGCCCGGCCTTGCCTTTGCTTTCGGCCGCTTCGACGGCATCCTTGGCCTTGGCTACGATACCATTTCGGTGAACGGCATTATCCCTCCCTTCTACCAGATGGTCAACCAGAAGCTTCTGGATGAGCCCGTCTTTGCTTTCTACCTGGGAAGTGGCGACGAGGGTTCCGAGGCCGTCTTCGGTGGTGTCGACGAGTCTCACTACTCTGGAAAGATTGAGTACATTCCCCTCCGCCGCAAGGCTTACTGGGAGGTGGACCTCGATTCCATTGCCTTTGGCGACGAGGTTGCCGAGCTCGAGAACACCGGCGCCATCCTCGACACCGGCACTTCTCTCAACGTTCTTCCCTCCGGCCTCGCCGAGCTTCTCAATGCTGAGATTGGCGCCAAGAAGGGCTTTGGCGGCCAGTACACTGTTGACTGCTCCAAGCGGGACTCCCTTCCCGACATCACCTTCAGCCTGGCCGGTTCCAAGTACAGCCTTCCTGCCACTGACTACATCATCGAGATGTCTGGCAACTGCATTTCTTCCTTCCAGGGCATGGACTTCCCCGAGCCCGTGGGTCCTCTTGTTATTCTTGGCGATGCTTTCTTGCGCCGATACTACTCTGTCTATGACCTCGGCAAGAATGCCGTTGGTCTTGCCAAGGCCAAATAAATAGTTCAGTAGCACGTGCTGGAACTGGGTGTATCTAAGAGGAGCACTGCTTGTGTGTTGGCAGAAGCCAGTTTTGGTTAATTGAGCAGCTTTGAGTGCAGGACTACAGTATTGCGGGGAGTATGGATCAAGACTGCAACGTCGTTTATGTAATATAATGGATACTGGTTCCCATTTGCTGTGCCACGATTTAATTTGATGTCATTGAATTGTTGCATGATGCCATTCTCGGATTAATGATAAATGTCGACTTGGTACTTGACTATAGGGACTGTGTGCGAGTGCATTTGTGCCTTCTACTTGTATCGTTGGGCCTCTCTTGTAGGATATTGGTGCATGTCAACCACCAGACAGATCTACCAAGTACATGTAAGAGCTAAGGTGTGAGATTCTGTGCATTGCTAGCACCATACTAAATAGAGGTAGCTTGATAGGCAAGATAGAGTCTGCATGGGATCCATTACCCTGCATTACTGCCAAACATTTACAATCTTGACGGGTTGGTGTTTAGGGCCCAGGGAACATTGGTCATTTGACAATATGGAACAATCTCGGGCTAAAGAAACTTTGGAGGATGGATATTTTAATTTAGATACTTGAAGTTAGAGGGTTGATGCCTAGGTATAGTAGGTACTATACCTACCTCTAATTGGAAACTATCTTAGTACCCGTGGATGTTTTTGGTGCTTCTCCCCTACAGATGCATAATGCAACTTTACTTACTACTAAGGTAGGTTCTTATTAGTAAGTGCCTAGATATTTGATGTCATGTCACCGTTCATTCATCCATTTAATAAAAGGTGCATGCAAGAGACTAAATCTATTCCATGCATTAGCAACACCTTATTTGACGAGGTGGCTTTGTACTGTAAATTGGTGCCACAATGAACCTAATCGATCACAATGGCTCTCCAGTAGGGTAGCCTCGATTCTTCCAGCGCAGCCGCAGCGGGTCAGCGGCCGTCACAGAGCATCACAGGAGGGGCGCGGCGCCTGTTTTGGGGGGATTCAAGGAAATCACGTGCAGGCAATTTTAGACTTTTCCCTCGAGAGAGTTAGCGTGATCCTGGCCCAGGGAAGTACTTGGCGATCCAGGACACATTCTTCCTCAGCAGGCTCAACAACGGCAATCCATCGTGCAGCCGCCTAGAAAACCGCGGAAATTTGCTCACCATCGCCTCCGGCTGCCTGTCGTGGCGATTTGCAGGCGCGGCGTTTGATTGCACTGCGTCTGGTGGATGTAGACGCTTTGCCCGGGCCTTGATGAAAAGGTTTTGGAGTCGCACCAGCACCAGTCAGCCCTCTACAACCGCGTATCGCGACGGGGCGCGGCCAGCACCACGACGACGGACACGAGGCATCCAGCCAAAATGGCGCAGCCCACGCCCGACGATGCGAATGTCGTCACCATGCCCGACAGCCCAGCCAGCGGGCATCTTGTTGCGTCGGGCAAGCGGAAGCGCGACAATGGCGACGGCGACGGCGACGGCATGGACGTCGACGTAGACAAGGTCCATGACGAGGGCCGGGACGGCAACCAGGGCGACCGCACAAAAGAGCCGGCCGAGGACACGGCTAAAACTAGGGAGCTTGTCAAGGCCTTCTTTGAGGTTCTGCGAAGGTACGGATTGCACTCATTACTCACTACTGCCTTCAAACAGCCCCCCCATTTTCCAAGGCAAGTCATCCAAGGCTGACCATCGGCATCAGTTTCGCCATCGGCCCCTCCATCCTCGACCGCCCACTACCGCTGCCAGAGCCGGCTTCTGAAGATGAACCCCAGGCAAAGCGCCAGAAATCGGCCGAGCCGCCTATCAAACAATCCATTGCCGACAAGGTGGCAGCCGACGCTTATTCCTCCCTCGACGCCATAGCTGCGGACATCTCTTCCGCCGTCAAATCATCACTGTCTGAAATGGACCCGGCCTCTTCGGATTCCGGTGCGAGAGCTGTGACCCTTAAAAGGGCTGCGCAAATCAACGAATTCTGGGATAGAGCCTCGGACCTCGCCCGCCGCGAAAAAGCATACCCGAAAACGCGGCAGGAGCCTGCAAACGGAGAGGCCGAGTCGCATACTGCGTCGGAGAAGAGCGAAATGGTTTTATCGCTCGTCGGCTATGCGCCTCAAGAAAGGCGCTTGTTTTCCAGTTTACCGCTGTCCAAGGATGTTGACTTGTCCGACGTTAACCTCCCGCCGGGCGTGTCCATCACCCGAGTTATTCCCTCCAACCCCCAGGACCGGACGCAAACTCTCGGCGAGCTGTTTGCTCCGCCGCGTCCTCTCCCGCCTCTCCAGCCGCCAAAGCAACCGAAAACCCAGGCCAAGGGAAACCGTTTGGATTTCTATCATCCCCACCTGACGGACAGCTCCCGGTACCGGGGCAACTCGTACTTCAACACGAAACTGTCTACTGGCTACTATCTGGACTACAGTCAGGCCGCGCCTTCATGGCAGACGAAGACGAAGCAACATGAACGTGCGCAAAGTCTCGCTGGTCGAAAACCCTCACTTTCCGAGTTGGAAATGTCGGAGATGGAGACCCTGTTCCGAGGGGCCTTTTCCACATTTGCACCGTGCAAAGACGATGCTGCTGCAGTAGTGCCATCCAGCGTTGCCGGCCGGATTTGGTGGCAGCGCAGTGGCAAGCAGAGCTTCCAGAGAATGATTGAGGTAGAATATTATGGTGACCTCCAAGATGCAGAACCCGTCGATGCAACCCAATCAATGGAGGTGGACGAATCAGCAGTGCAAGACGCAATTGATAATTGGGACGAGACTGTCATTGATCCTTCCCTGGAAGACATCATGGGATCCAAGCACGACGAGCAGGACAAGGAGGCTGACGAAATCCTCGAGGAGGTTAGCGATCTAATCGAGACTCTGGCTTCTTACCAGCGCATCCGCAACCTAACGCTGCCCAACTCACAAAACCGCCAGTCCAGCGACCCGGTGAATGGGGACATGCTGGCCAATGCCGGGCCACAGCCTTCGGAAGAAGAACATGCTACTTACTACATGCTCAAGGCTCAATTGGCTCTCATCATCAAGACGCTACCGCCGTACGCAGTGGCTAAGCTGAACGGCGACCAGCTAGACGATCTACTCATCAGCACCAAGATCATGGTCCACACTGACCAATACATGGGGACGATGGATGAAGACGAGGCGAGCGCGCAAGCCCGATTGAAAGCACAACAGCAAGCTGCCCAAGCTGCCCAAGCAGCACAGGCCAATGCTAGACCTCCACCGCAGCGTACGCCCAGCGTCTCTGCCGTACCGTATCCTAACCAGTACGCGGCGGCAGCGCCACCGAACCAGTATGGCACGCCGAACCGAGCTGCACCCCCTCCGCCTCCGCAATATTACCGCCCTACACCGGCTCCCAACTACCAGCAGCCTCGCAACCTGGGACCGCCAGCTCCCCATCAGCCAAGGCCACAGCCGAACCAGTATACCCGTACCAATGGCTATCCCAACCAGTACGCTACCCAGCTTGCTAAAGCACAAACCCCATACGGTCATCAAAGCTTGCCGCAACAGTACGCGACCCAGCAGAGGCCAAACTATGGGCAGATGCCACAGCAAGGCACCCCAAATGCTCGATACACCTTTCAGCCAAACTACCAGCATCAGCCAGCCTCGCCAGCGCCCCCAAACTACGGCCCTTACGCCAATAGCCCAGCCGCGATCCCAGCCAGAACCATGTCCCCTCAGGTGGGAAACCGGCAAACATTCAGCCCATCACCTGCCGTGCCACAGAACCAGGGATACCAGGCCCCAACCCCAACCATGGCCAGCCAGATGAACAGGTTTCCGAGCGGCTCGAGCCAGACCGGGACCCACAGCCAGAGCCCCGGCTTGACTGGATACCATACCGTCATCCCTGAGGCTCAGCAACAGCGGATACTGGACCAGGCCAAGGCTCGTGTGGCGGCCCAGGAGAGATCGGCCATGTTTACCGACAGACTGTCGCAAGCTGGCGTCTCGTCAGGCTTCTCAGGCATGGGGGTTGATGCCAGTCGGCTCGCGGCCATCCGGGCGACCGTGGCTAACCAGAACAAACCGCAGACGCCCACCCCTCCGAAACCTGGCGTGAACGGCACAGCAGGAACGGCACACGTACCTTACAAGGTGACTCCCGTGCCCGTGCCTGTGATTCCTACTTTGCAGCGCAAACCGACTTCATAATTTAGGTAAAGGTCATGAAATGAACGTCTCGGATATGGAAGGGGCAATTACGCTTTGTGACTGGCAACACCTTGGCGTTGTTGAACGGCGTTAAGAGGGCTAAGGGTTCGTATAAAGGAGTTTTCGGCAAAAGAACTTGAAGAGAATGATTGCACGCTTTCGAAGACGATAATGCAAAGGGCTGTCTCCCATACCTTGGGGACGTGGGGATGTTGATATGGGAGAAATGGCTTGACTATTTTTAATACCTTTTTTTATTTCTTCTCTTTATCCTTTTACTACGGGAGTGATGAGATGGCGGCGGTGGGAGGGAGACAAAAGAGGCAGCCCGTGAGGAAGATGCCGTTGATGAGTCGGGAGGAACCTGGAAAAATCGCCATGTAGACTTGGGCACTTATGATATGAGACTTGAGTGCAAGGTCGAAACATGGTTGCGCATAGCTCTATGAAGCCCAACTAACTAATACTAGTCGGATGGGACGGAGGGCTTCTTAGACGTGTTCTATTTATTTATTTATTTTTCTTTCCCTTTTGGACTGCACTCATGAAAGAAGGGGCGAAGGTTGGAAGAGAGAGGTTTTGCTTCGGCTGGGTCAGCTCTGGAGACGGGAACTCTGGGAGGCAAACACACACTACACACCAAAAAGCGGCCAGGGAAGGATATGGACTTGTTAACTTTTTTCTTTTTTTCTTTTTCTTTTTTTTTTTCCCACTGTAGTGTATGAAATACCGTTGGACAAATATTGGGGTTCAATAGACGCCAGAAAGGAGGGCCTTTTTTTTTTTATTGCCTCACAAGCAAAATATCATGTTTAGTGGCTTTGGGATGAATTTTCTCGTTATCTCTTTTCTCTTTTCTTTCTTTTTTTTTTCTTGCGAGGCTGTATAGTAACGATGGAAGGGGAACCTAAAAAAAAAAATGAGCACCGTTTCGCATTAAAAACGCCTGCGGACATGCAAAGTGAGGTGTGAGCTGAAATTTGTCTATACAGAGTTGAGGGGGGGTATCGTTTCGTCATCCATGTCTTTTTCTATCCCAGATGATCTTCTCTCTCGGATCATCGTCATTTCAAGTGTCGTAAGATGATGATGTGCGAGATTCGCATACAAAATACGTAGTAGTAATACAAGCTAAAGGGGAAGAAAAAAAAGGGGGGGCAGTGAGGCAGTGAGAAAAGGGGTGAGGGAGGAGGACCGAGAGGTAGTCATCTACGGGGCGTATCAAGTACTCCAAATTTGTAGAGAGAGGTACAGCTATATCTCGGTGCCCAGCTCCTTGGCCAGCGCCTTCTCCTTATACTCAATAACAATCCTCCTCAGCTCAAAGACGACCTCGACGAAAATGAGGACAATGATGATCCACTCTAGCCGGGTGCCGTGCTGCTCGCTAGACATCTCGCGTAAGACCGTGGCAATCTCCTGGGCGTAGTCCATCTTCTGGTTGAGAGCACGGATGCGCACATTGACGTCGAGAGCGCGGCCAACCTGGTCGTAGTAGCCCTCGAGCCCCAGCTCCGACTTGCTGTCCCAGAAGATGTCGGGCAGGTTATCCGTGAGCTCCGAGTAGTGGTTGAGCTTGGCACGGAGGCTGAGCAGCTCGCCAGTCTTTTGCAGGATGAACTTGCGGCTGAGCGGGACGCCGGTCCCCTGGGAGAGGAGGGCCGGGATGTTCCTGGTGCTCTCAAAGTACGACGTCAGGGCGGATTCGAGGACGGCAAGCTTTGTGCTGCGGGCGAGGCCTGAAGAAAACGCAATCTTGGCGAGCGTCGTGTCGAGAAAGTCGCCGTCTTTGTGCTCTTTGCGGGTGCCCAACACGACGACGTCGCCCTTGAGCGTGCTCGTCTCCCGGCCATTGTCCGTGGTGAACTCTAGGTCCTCGACTTCGCGCAGTGCCTCAGCGTGGGGCTCCTCGGCGGCCCGTAGGATCTGCTTCGTCACGACGTCGGGGGGCAGCGACCACGTCACGATGGTGCCCGAGGGGAAGACGAAGATGTCGCCGCCGTTGACGCCCCGCGCGTGGACAACCTCTGCGGCATCGAAGCGGGTGCCGTCGGGGTCGATTGCGAAGCCGTGCGACGACAGAATCTCTAGCACTACGGGCATGTTGAAGGCCTCGGCGATGCACGTCGCGCTGACCATGTTGGACGGATCGGCTTCTGCGGCGTCGATGCCGGGGCTGCCCTGACTGCCCCGCTTCGGCTGCTGGGCGATGATGGCGACTCGGCGCAGCGAGTTCTTGGTCGGCGTGGCCCTGGTGGGCTTCCGCTTGGCTACCGGAGAGGCATTAGCAGCTCCGGGCTGGTCTTGGTCACGGCCTTGGCCTTGGTTTTGATACAGGTACGGCTTCGCATCGTCCCCGCCGGGCTGTGAGGAGAGGTATGGATTCGACGTGAAGAAGTTGCGCTTCCGGGGCAAGCTGGCGGGAGTGGTGAGGTGAAAGGACCGGCGAGGGCGCGGCGCAGGGACGAGGCTGTGAATCTGGCGAGCAGCGACATTGACGCTGATTCGCAGCGGCGGACTCCTCATGGCGGAGGTGGTCTGCTCGCCATGGAAGAAGGAAAGGCTTTTGGATGTTGGTTGAGCTCAATGACGGCGGGAGCGTGCAGGGATCTTTAATCTTGAAGATTGAAGATGCCGGCCCTGCAGGTTCTAGAATGATTCAATCAAACCCCCCCAGTTTGTTTTGTCGAGATCTGTTATCGCCATGTGACAAGTCACATGCCTCTACAGTACCTAGTACTCGTAGTAGTGCAATAGTAGGTAGTTTTTGGCTGGGGTTTGGCTGGGCTGGGCTGGCTGCCGGCCTACCTGCGCTAGGCCGCTTCGGGACACCGCCTTGACGCCGGCAAAGTCTCCACGCGCCAGCTCACCCGTCGCTAGCATTTATACCGCCACGCCGTAAAGGCAGTGGTAATTACAAGTTACGTTGCCAACCCCATTCAGCCAGGGATTCTCCTTCAACCTCCTCCCCTTTTTATATAATTTCCATCTTGCTCGCCAGGCGTCTGGAATTTTCCTCTCCTCTTCCCTTTTCCTCCACAACCCATATTCTATATCCTACAATCCACCCTCCATTCTCCATTCTCCAGCTTCGCCCGTAACCCCTCACACCAACCATCCCCCACCATGGCGCCCATAGAACTCAGCGAGAAATACGACAACTATGACTATCCCATTGAGGCGGCCGAGCCTCTGGAGGGCCACTCCGGAAACCTGACTCCCGAGCAGCAGGCCAAGGTCCACCAGCTGCGCCTGATGCTCGAGGCTGAGGGCATCACTGAGCGCCTGGACACGCTCACTCTGGTATGAGATCCCCCCTAATAAAGGGTGCGGCATTGGGTCGGGCTCGGCTATGACAGGGAGGGGAACAAGAGGCTGACTCGTCGTGATTTGCAGCTGCGATTCCTCCGAGCGCGCAAGTTTGATGTTGAACTTGCCAAGCAGATGTAAGTCTCCTTATCCATCGCCCGACTTTACTGCTGTCCAATTCTGACCGCCGTCAGGTTCCTCGAGACCGAGAAGTGGCGCGCCGAGACCAAGCTCGACGAGATCCTCCCTACCTGGGACTACCCCGAGAAGCCTGAGATTTCCAAGTACTACAAGCAGTTCTACCACAAGATTGACAATGTGAGATGACGAAAAGACGATGGGGCTCGCCCTTGCGCAAAAGCTAATCCGTGCCACTAGGATGGCCGCCCCGTTTACATCGAGACCCTCGGTGGCATTGACCTGACTGCCATGTACAAGATCTCAACCGCCGACCGCATGCTTACCAACCTTGCCGTCGAGTACGAGCGCGTGGCTGATCCCCGTCTGCCCGCCTGCTCCCGCAAGGCCGGCCACCTCCTCGAGACGTGCTGCACCATCATGGACCTCAAGGGCGTTACCCTGACCAAGGTTCCCCAGGTGTACTCGTACGTCCGCCAGGCCTCCGTCATCTCCCAGAACTACTACCCCGAGCGTCTGGGTAAGCTGTTCCTCATCAACGCTCCCTGGGGCTTCTCCACCGTCTGGAGCGTTGTCAAGGCCTGGCTGGACCCCGTCACCGTCAAGAAGATCAACATCCTCGGCAGCGGCTACCAGAGCGAACTGTTGAAGCACATCCCCGCCGAGAACATCCCCAAGGAGTTTGGCGGCACTTGCTCGTGCCAGGGTGGCTGCGAGAACAGCGATGCTGGCCCATGGCACGACCCTCAGTGGGCCAAGCCTGCCAAGTGGGAGAAGAAGGCTGAGGCGGCTCCTGCTGCTCCTGCTGAGGCTTAGATGGGATAATGTTTGTTTTGGTTTTGGTTTTTAAATACGCTAGTGTTGGGTGTCCTTGAGAGAAGAGGTATATTACTTTGAGAAGCTCAGAAGGCTCGTGTCTGTCTTTTCTCACAAGACTGGGTTGTTGGGAGCAGAAGACATCTGACGGAAGAAAAAATTATTACAATGGGCTAAAGAGGGAGATGGATCTTAGACGGGAGAATGGAGAGGGATAAATAAAGGAGGGAAGCAGGGAAAGCTACTAGGTAGCACTTTGAATTATTCACAGACTTTTTTCGCATACTAATTGGTAGTGTTTGATGTTTACATCGTCCAAGGAGAAGAAGAAGCCGCCGAGCTTGATTTTTGGGCTCTAGATTTCTGGCTCTTTTCTCATCTATTACATGATATCACATGCCATTTCGTTTGATGATGCCGAACACGACAGCTCGTTCCCCCCTTATTAAACACGAACGGGCATTTGATAATTCTAGATCCCGCCCCATTTTCTTCAATATTGTCTGCTTACGCGGTGTAATTTCCTTGATTCTAATAAAGGAGAGGGGAATAAAAAAAGAGAGATATAGCCGAACAAAATCAATTAAAAAAACCAAAAGAGCAAACAGGATAAACATGAAAGAAGCGAAATGCAATGAGGAAATGAAAAAGAGCTCGTCGCGTTAGCCACAATTGCTTTCGCAAAAGTCATTTGAACATCATCGTTGCCCTTGACGCCTGAACGCAACCACCCCCCGGCAGAAATCCCACTTGGTTTTAGTTGGGTGCTAATACCTGTAGCCAAAAAATGATAGAGTCGTAAAAAAAAAATGCCCGAATCAAACATCAGGATGGAAGCACATGGGCCGTAGCAGTGGCAGCAAAGCACCCTGTCGATCCCTACAGCCTGGCAGACCGACAGACCGTCTGTCTATTCTCGTCCTGCTGCATCCCCTCCCCCCCCAATCACCGCCCCTTGGCGACGACGTACTCGCCCGCGACCCTCGCCCGCTCCATCTTGGCCACGACGGCCGGCATGTCCCTCTTGAGCCGGCCCAGCCCCTGAACGGCGCTCTTGAAGCCGGCCTCGACGCCCTCCTGGCGCTGCAGCTGGGCCACCCCCAGCGCGCCGGCCTCGCGCTGCGCCGCGGCTGCGTCTCTGGCCACCCGGTCGTGGAGGTCGTCGTCATCCTGCCGCATGGCCGCGCGGATGCGCTCCGCGTGGTCGGCGGCCACTTTTGCGGGCACGGAGCGCTTGAGCGCCGCGACGTCCTCGAGCAGCTTCTCCTCCTGCGTGATGAGGTCGGCGACTTGGCGGCGCTTGCGCGTGTCAAAGGGCTCGTAGACGGTGTCTGGCGTCGACGCGGAGCCTCTGAGCATGTCGGGCGATACGGGGAGGCCGTTGATGATGAGGTTGGGCGCGGCCAGCGAGAAGGTTTTGTTGATGTACTGGCATTGCCGCAAGGTCAGCATTCTTCCTCGTTTCCCTCTTCTTTCTCTCCATCATTGAATCTCTTCTTCTTCTTCTGTGCCATCCCCGCCTCTCCTGTCTTGTAGAAATGACGCTTTACCTCGTTCACGAGCAGCTCAATCTGGATGCGCAGCTCATCCTCCTCGGCGCCCTCGACCGGCGGAAACGCTTCGTTGAGGTGCTCGACGGCCGCATTGCGCACGTTGGTGATGAGGTAGGCGAGGTCCTCGGGGCTCTGGAGCTCGATCTTGCGCTGGACCTGCGAGACGACCGACTCGGAATCCATGTGCTGGGTCGATGATGTGCGACTCGATTCTTTTTTATCTTGTTTCTCTTCTTGTGTAGCTTGTGTTGTGTTATACGTCCATTGGGAGGAGCATCTGCTGAGTCTGTTTTGATTGCACTTGGGCAAAGATTTTGCTAATGCGTGAAAAAAGAAGAAAAAATTATAATTAAAGAGTAAATGGGATTGTAGACCAAAGAGGTGCGATAGGACGGCGAATATGGTGGCGCAAGCGAGTTTGCTTGTTTGTCGCGTTGGTGGGATGAATTGATTGAATCAAAAGCGATAATCTTATCTCGAGAGCTGCCACCAAAAACGAACCCGCCCAAGGTGAAATGGGAAGCTAGCCGGTACGTACCCAGGATGGTTCGGTGAGAAGTGGGGGAACTGTGTGACTTCACCTTGAGTAAGTGCCGAGGCTTATTGAAGATGTTAGTATGCAGTCCGTTGTGCGCATTTGAGCAGCTCATCGGATGACTGTAAGTGTTTAAAAAAAGATCCAACAGATTGTACCAAGGACCTCTTTTTATCAAAATAATAGGAACGAAAATGTCAGAATGGGTTGCATGCGTTGGGCAGTCAGGGACATATATGGATACTACCAACGGCAAATCAACGCTCTCTCTCAAGGTGCTTTTGGATGCCACCAAGGTGACGGCCTAGAGATGAAAGATGCCGGGATCAGTACTTGATGTACCGAGATAAGTAGGTAGGACTAGATGGGTGCAAACAAAACCACCAGTAGTACACGCATCAGCCCTGGGACTAAGGCAGCCATCAAGGTTATCGGCTCAAGACCCTTGCATTTGCACCACCACTCCTGCGAGCATGGGCACTACTACCTCATGCCTACGGGCAATCATACGAGGTATATCTTGTTTACGACCTACCTAGGTAAGTATACCACAGTATGGAATACTAGCAGCAAGTCTCGCAGGTATTATAGCGCCGACATGCCTCTCCCACGTCTCCCTTCTTACAATCTAGCTAGCATGCAAATGAGCAACATAGCATGAAGTGCATCCCACTCTCTCCCCCTAACTGAGTCAAGTCCAGCTTCTTCTCCATGCGGCTTTTACTTCCCGTCGTTGCACATGACATTTTCAATGCCAACCGCAAAAGTGTCTCAGTCATGTGGGCTGATGCCCTCCAACTCGATGTGGGCTTTTGCAACACCAACCCTGCACTATTGAAAAAAGAGTTCCATCCGTCTACTGCATCTACCTGCCTTGCCCGTACTGCAGTAACTTCCATCTTTGAATCATCCGCTATTGATACGACGCACAAAATGGCCTCCGGGGCTCTTTATTTCATTGCCCGAATCCGGAGATGCTCCCTATGCCTTTGAGTCAAGTACTGGATACTTGGCCTGTCACAGGACGCAGTCTGTGGGGTAAAGGGCCTCCACCGGTTTCACCTGCTGGCAAGTACCTTCAGTAGCACGCAATACTTGGCGGTACCAAGTGGAGGGGCTTTGGTGGTTCCCCAGCGGCATGCGGGGCAGCCCGACGCTTAAATCGCTGGGCTTCGGTGACAGTGTCGGTACTAGAGACTAGAGACTCGCTGAAGCAGAGCATATTGTAGGACAAAGAAAACGACATGGAACATGGAACTGCAGGCTTGATTCTGCATCTACACAAAGACACAGCTAGAATAGAAATATGATACCTGAGATGAAGAATTATTAACGTCTCCCTCCAATTCCGCAATCAATTCGGGCCTGAGCTTCTACTAATGGCACCAAACCTCTAGACTAGCACCTCATTGTATGGAAATAGTACGAGTAATCGAGACACCAAAACCTGCATGCACGTGCTGCCCAACACAAGCTGTCAATGCAAATACATGAGTAGAAATTACCTATCTAACTACCTAACCTATTTCCATGGCCAAACAAAGTGCAAAAAGTGCAAAAACCCCAGGTGCCTCCCCAACCACCAATCCAGCCGAGGGGCCCAGAACCAATAATCCGTAAATACCATATTGACATACCGAAACCAGTATCAATGCCGCAGCATACTCCTCCAAATGCGAACGTAAAACGCCAAGCGGCCCTGGGAGTGAACCGAGGCAGTGCCCTCCAAAGAATAGTAATACCAGGCTCCTCACCTCCACGACTCGCCACTTCCGGCCTGGAGTGTGCACCGAATATGAGAAAAAAACAAAACAGGCCAACCGATAACAAGTCCCAAAACCTTCAGACGCCGTCGGGTACAGACCGACACTGGTGAATACAAAGTCAAGCAAACATCTCGTGAGAATAAAAAGGGGGGATATCTAGATGATTTAGTGTCCCGGATGAGGGGAGAAGATTGGGTATGGTGCGTGACGACAAAATGGCAAGACGGTATGCTCAGTGCGGAAGCATATTTTCAATCTCCTCGTCGGTGAGGTGGATCTCGTGTACCGGGTCTCGTCTATTCTCCAGAGGAACGTAGTCGCAGTCGATGTACGAGGGAAGAAAGATTTCTAGACATGATCAGGTTAGTCTCTCGTTTACCTGTCCTGTCCTCTCCAGGCCGTTTGGTGTTGGGGAGCATACCAGGGTTCCACATGAAGCCTTGAGCCGACGACAGGTAGGTGATCTAGCAAGGACTCAGCGTCAGCACATCTACACCAGAAAACACCGACAAGAAGACCTACGAGTCGGGGAGGGCCATCAGGCGCCCCAATATTAATGACGGTGGACTCTTGCTTGGAGAGAGCCGGGCCTGTGCAACGTGGTCAGCAAACGGGTGCAACACAAGACGGACGACACGGCGTATTGGGCTGTGCCGGCTGGCAAGCTCCTGAACCGGTCATGGCATGCGCTGCTGGAGGACAGCATAGGGTAGAGAGGCGGCGTACTCAGAAGGCTTGGACGGCGGCTGTCGAGCGCCACGGCCCTTCCCTTGCCCTTTGCCTTGCTGCTGGGGGAGGCGGACGGCGACGAGGGCGACGGCGAGCTGGAGTAGGAGCTGTCAGACGAGCTGCCGACCGTTTCGGCGGAGAGGCTGTATCGCGGAGCCATGGACGATGGAGCTGCCGGGATCTTGATTGACGAGGACATGCTTGGCCGAGGGCGAGGGTGGCGAGGGCGGCTGGGCCAAGTCTGTGTGAATGTTGAAAGCCGCAGAAGAGGGGAGTCGGAAGACTGAACAAGTGAAATACACTGGGATGAACCGAACTGCAGGCCAAGAGCGGCAAATACTGTAGACGACAGGGCAGGCAGGCAGGCAATAGACGGGACAGATCAGTCAAGTATCCAGGCGGAAGCGGACAGGATGCGATGCCGACAGCGGCGTGGAAAAAGCGTTGCGAGTTGTTGCGAGAAGTGGTGTGAGGCCAAAAGACGAAAGTGTGACGAAGAAGGTCCAAGTAGGCGAGATGAGCATCCCGGGATTGGACAACAGAGGCCTTAATCACTGTGAAGCGCCTCCAAGCCGGCGTACACACTACCTGCGAGGTACCTGGTAGCGGAAACCTTGTGTTGGAGACGGCGCACGACTCCGGAATCTTCCTGCGCTGTGACAGAAAATGGCATCCAATGTAAGGCAACACTCATGTAGGCCCCATGTACGGAGTACATCCCAGACAGTACCTACCTGGCGATCGGAAGGGAAAGAGAACGAGAGGACGAGAGGTACTGGCTACTTGGCCCGATGCCGGAATGCGGGCGCGATGCACAGTGTCGCAGGTAGCCAGTACCTCGAACCATGCCCATACAGTGCAGTGCAGTGCAGCGCCGTGCGGTGCAGTGGCTGTCTGTCACAGGCCTGATTCTGATTCACGCCTAGACATGGACGGATCATCATCCCGTGATGCCTTATCGCCCGCTGGGCACCGGTACCTTCGCGGCATTAGAGCCAGCTGTCACGGCTGGTGCGGATCCTTACCAATGGCAAGTACCAGGTAGCTCGACAGGGATCGAAATCCCCACGCCGATGCAAAGACGGCGCCATGGCTGGGGCCCAATCGGAGGGCCTGAAGTCGCCTGAGGCTGGGCTGGGGCTGGGCTGCTGGGCTTGGCTGGGCTTGGGGGGGCCTTTGCCTTTTCCACAGCTCTTACTGTAAAGCTACTGAGGTGAAGCAAGCTATACCTGTAGGGAGTACTAAAGTACAATCTTGGTGGTCATCTCATAGCAAGTGTACTTGGATCGGGCTGGGCTGGCTTTAGGCACTGATTGCTGCAAGCACTAACATTCAGCCAATGACGCCCCGCCCTGCTCACCAAGGTGCCGGATGGGGCCTTAGCGTCGAATGACTCTATCGTAGGTACTCTTTGTCTGCTGCAAGCACGGAGTACAAGGTACAAGGTACGAGTACTCCGTAAGCACAAGCTCCATCTCCAACTCCAGGAGCAGCAAGTTGTTATCGCGATAACGCGCATGCCACGTGACGTGACTAAGCAGCCCCAGGAAAGGCTGCGTCTCGTGTTGACGCCTGGCAGTCTAAGCTGATAGCTTTGGTTGCGTAACGAAGTAGCTGGCTAACACTTGTCGAAATCTTTGTAACCCAGCATCTCAACAACACAACCACCAGCCACCAGATTCACCACCAGATTCACGCCTCGATTCATAGCGTCCTCTTCTCTTCCGTCCATCCCCCCAATCCCCTCGAATCGCAGCCAAACACACACCAGCCCCACGACCTGCATCATGGGCGACGTCCTCGTGGAAAGCCAGGCCACCACGGTGCCGCCTCACAAGAGGGCCGTCCCCTCAGCCATTCCCAACATCGACGACTTCGAGGGCTTGCCTACCGACGGCGAGGATGACTATGCCACTTTGAAGAAGCTTCAGAGGCAGTTGGAGTAATGCTTCCCCCCTTGCCGCGGCATTCCGTCCTCAGTGCCCCTCTAGACATCATCGTACTTGGAACTACGGCCACTAACCACCAGTCCAGGTATATCCAGCTCCAAGAGGAATACATCAAAGACGAGCAAAGGTTCGATTCCGCCCTTATACCACATGACGAACTTAACCCATCATTCCCGCAATCCAAGACAAACGCTGACTCGTCCGATTCCACCCCGCAGGAGTTTGAAGCGAGAACTAGTACGAGCTCAGGAGGAGATCAAGCGAATCCAGAGCGTGCCTCTCGTCATCGGCCAGTTCATGGAGGCCATCGATCAGAAGTAAACCAATTCCCCAACCAGCCACTGCTTGCAAATTCCTCATCTAACCTCTCCCTGCAGCACCGGCATTGTTCAGTCAAGCACAGGCTCCAACTATGTCGTCCGCATCCTATCTACCCTCGACCGCGAACTTCTCAAGCCCTCCTCCTCAGTTGCGCTGCACAGACACTCCAACGCCCTCGTCGATATCCTCCCCCCGGAAGCCGACTCCTCCATTGCCATGCTTGGCGCCGACGAGAAGCCTGATGTGACATATGCCGACGTCGGTGGTTTAGATATGCAGAAGCAGGAAATCCGAGAGGCCGTCGAGTTGCCTCTGACACACTTTGATCTGTACAAGCAGATCGGTATCGATCCCCCTCGCGGTGTCCTGCTATATGGCCCGCCCGGAACTGGCAAGACCATGCTTGTCAAGGCCGTCGCCAACTCTACGACTGCCAGCTTCATCCGTGTCGTGGGCTCAGAATTTGTCCAGAAGTACTTGGGAGAGGGTCCCCGAATGGTCCGCGACGTCTTCCGTATGGCACGCGAGAACTCGCCCGCCATCATCTTCATTGACGAGATCGACGCCATTGCCACGAAGCGATTCGATGCCCAGACCGGTGCCGATCGTGAGGTCCAGCGTATCCTGCTCGAGCTGCTCAATCAGATGGACGGCTTCGATCAGACCTCCAACGTCAAGGTCATCATGGCCACGAACCGTGCCGACACGCTGGATCCCGCCCTCCTGCGTCCCGGTCGTCTCGATCGAAAGATTGAGTTCCCCTCCCTGAGAGATCGTCGCGAGCGTCGTCTCATCTTCACCACCATTGCCAGCAAGATGAGCCTGGCCCCCGAGGTCGATCTCGACAGCTTGATTGTGCGCAACGACCCTCTCTCTGGTGCTGTCATCGCTGCCATCATGCAGGAGGCCGGTCTCCGAGCAGTCCGCAAGAACAGATACAACATTATTCAGACCGATCTTGAGGATGCTTATTCAAGCCAGGTAAAGGGAACCAGCGACGACAACAAATTCGACTTTTACAAATAAACCATTCGAACCTCTTGTTTATCCGACGAAGGCTGTTATTGATGACATGAGATGGATAATGTTGAGGAGGATCACGGAGGGGCGGGCAGGGGGAAGTTTGTCCACTATTAGAATCAGGCGGCTTCTTTTTCTAAACCTAAGGAAGAATAGGGGGGAACCTGGGTAAGGAACAGAGAGAGGAGGGAATTGACCAAACCTCGGGAGATGAACCGAAAAAAATGGTAGCTGTTGATACCGCCTTTAATGGATCTACGGCGTTTGGAATCTAGTCGTCCTGGGCCGCTGTGTAACACTCGTCATGAATTCTTCTTTGCTTGTATTCGTAGCAACGCCATCCACATACAACAAGGGTGCTTGACACGACGAATAAGCCGCCGTGAATAGGTTGGTCGACTTTGTGCTGAGCGGCGAGCTAGATGGCATGCTTAGGTACTCCGTATAGTAATATCAAATATCAAAACAGGCAGACAAATATGAATACATTATTCTCCAACATCTACAGACATCACAAGAAACTTACAAATACACAAACCAACACAAGTATTATAAAACATGGAAAATCAGTCAATCAATTAATCAAAAACCCGTTTCTCGCTAAGTTAAACCGTGTAAAAGCCTTCCAGCAGAGAGCGCCTACCGCTCTCCGTTCCTTTTTTCTGTTATTTGAACAATTTGTTTTTTTGTTAACCTAAGAAGTCCCTTTTTTCCTAATCCGATAACTTGCATCTATGAAATTAGTTTGGCGTTTTGTTTCACCCAGCCTTGATCCTTTCCCTAGCTAAGAAAAATTGACACACGACCCATTGACCTGAGAGAGAATAAGACAGTATCATAGTCACCGCGTTGCAAACAGTAGGATAAATCAATACAGGTTGAGAAAGGAAATGATAAAAAAAGGAAAATGACACCCTCCCCCCAGACGTCAAAATGTTATGGTCGAGCTTGCTCGCGTTACCATTACTCAATACGCCTCGTTTCAATTCGTGTAAACAAGAACAAGAAAAGGACAAACACCGGTGCTATGCTGACAATGAACACGATATCAAAAAGCACGAGATTGTGCCTCGTGAGACGGTTGGGGAGTAAATCAACTCATGTAAACCCCCAGATCCCCCCTGAATGATGCTTCGCAGTGCCGTTCGGCGGGTATCAGTAGAAACTATTGGAAAGAAAACATTGTACAAGTAGGGGGACATCGGCGATCGCGCAGCGCAGAGGCGTAGAGCCCTCGCTCCCTTTATGAATTCAAGGACACGCCCACTTCGAACAAGAGCTGCACAAACTTCTTGTGCAGGGTGATGAAGAAGTCTGGCTGCCCAACAAGTTCCGCAAGGCCACGAGCTTTGAGCGAGGAGACGCCGCCAGGGCCTCCCATGCGCCTGGTGAAGCCACTGCCTCCTGTCAGAAAGCTACTGCCGCTGCGATCCACAGTCGGCGCATCGATGGCGGATGATGATGCCATATGGCTACCAGGCCCACCGCTTTGCAGGACGCTTCCAATGGGAGATGATTCCGCGGTACGCTCAGCCTCAGATTCGGCCAGTGTTTGGATCCAAGTAGCGAGCTCCCGGAAGGCAGAAGAAACGCCTGCGAACGTTTTCATGGCCAACCTCTCTTTATGGGTGCTGAGGGCTAGGAAGGCATAGACTCGTTTGTGGCCTCGGGCGTGCACATCAGGGATTCGAAAGATGTAGGCAGTGGTGTACCCAGCTAGTGAATCACCAAAGAAAATGGCACCGCCCGACGCGGCCGAACCAGCGCTCTGTGTGGTGACAAAAGACGGCGAGTTGTGATGCTGAGGGGAGGACGCTGGTGTGGCGGTCGAAGGAGCTCGCGGCAGGGTCTCAAAAGACAAAGCTCGTAGACATGAGGCACGAATCAGAGAAAAGGAGTCGGGAAGGATTGGTTCATGGGTCGATGTGTAATCCACGTAGTGCACATGACTGGGATGACGCTCCGAAGTTGTAGACGTGCTAGAGCACGACGTAGTCCGAGAACTCACAGATGACACATTTCTCCTGCTGCGTGGCTGCCTTGGAAGCTCGTGATCCGCATCAGTGTCACTAGATGACTGCGAATTTGGGGGCGAGGCTGGGTCGACGGGGAGAAAGACACGCTCAGCCGGCGCACGGGTACGCAAGGTTGGTGATCGCGGGTCAATGGCATCCTCCCCAGCTGCCGCTGCGTTCTGCTGCCTGCGGGGCAACGTCATGGCGCAATTGTCGCAGGGGCCTTGTTTTCGGGTTACAGTTTCGTCATAGGTCCTACGGTAACTCGAGTCTCGCCGTGGCTGCTGGGACAGGGGCCGCGGGCTCTCGGGAGGCGTGTCGAGGCCACTCACTGCAGTGCCGTCATGACTGGCGCCAGGACCAGTGCCAGGGGATCGACGCAAAGCTGGGCGAGGAGACTGGCCATCTTGTGATAAGCTCAAATCTCGAATACCGTCGGTAACTGCGGCTGAAGACGCCCGAGGCTGCGTTTCCGATGTAGCTGGAGCGGAGCGTGGAGGCTTGTCGCTTGCTGCGGCTGAGCCATCGTAGCAGATGCTACAGGGTGCCGCCAGGCCCTCGGTGACCATCAGGGGAGTTGGCCCATGGATGTCACAGTAATGGGCCAGACATAGCTGCAGATGAAGGGTTAGCAAGAGCGTGGGGTCCATGATGAGCCAACAGGTGCTGCATGTATGAGTAAATGAGCTGGTGGTTAGGATAGGTAAGGAAATTGGTGAAGCAGTAACCGCCAGCACGAAGGGATAATTGGGCCTTTTTGAAGGGGCATGTCAAGTCAATATGAGGATGAAATCCAACGAATGGCAGCTGCTACGAAATAAAGGGCTGCAGCGAGATACAAGAAAATTGCTAGGAAGGGCACCCCCTCGACCCCTTATCAAGTATGGCTCAAGCGTGCGGAACAACAGCACTCACAGGAATGCTTGTGCCATTTGAGCCTCCGTCGAGCGTGTCGCAGGTGGTTTTCCCTCCCCTTCCTATCTCTCTTTTTTTTAGGGGAACTGTGCTACAGACCAGGACACTCGCCCAACAGGACAATTGTCCATGCATTGTAAGGATTTAGGGGTAAATGTTTGTGCTCTCGACTGACTCCGGTGAGGCTGCCAGCAGGATGGGCAATGACCGTGGGAGAGATCATGTGGGCAGATGGGAGAGCAGACTCATCGGAAGCGGTGTGTGCGTGGGTGCACGCTCCTGGAGAGATATGCAACAAACATGACGTGGTAACTCCCGCTGCCATGACAGTGGGAAGCCGTTATGGTGGCAAATGATGAAGGCCCTCAATGGCACACGCACGATCTATCGCCAACACGAAGTCATGGTGCGGAGCTTCAAGTAAAGGGAAGAGAAGGCAGCCAAACTAGCAGCCAATGCAAGGAGAGATAGAAGGGAAGCAGGGGATAAAAAAAAAGGCAACGAAAACAAGGAAAGGGAAGCAGAGCCCATGCCAGCAGCCAACCTGTTGGGTGCTGAATGTGGTGCAGTTCTATTGGAGAAGCCTGCAGAATGAAATGCAGCTTTGTAGGATGCGTTGGGTCGCGCATATGTACATGCTGCATGGGTGAGGAGTGCATGCAACATGCATGAGAGAGAGGGGAGTGAGTAAGTGGTATTGCAGGGAAGCGAGCAGGATGGATGCATGTGATGTGCAGTAAGAGACATTGGGATGCAGATATCAAACGACTTACAATATATGTCATGGCGCACGTGGTTGGGCAGTACTGGAATATCGAGCGGCAAAAGCGAAGACGGAAAAAGAGGCGGTCCACGCGGAAAATGTCCAAGGCCTCGTCGTGCAAGTATCCCGCAATTATATGCAGCAGCGCTGGTGACAGATGACTGTTGCGTATGCGTTTGCAAGGAATTCCCAACGACCTGCGCGTGAGCCTAATGCGTTGTACGGATAAGGAGTTGCGTTGGCTGCTTGTCGTCGACGGCCTTTTTGTGCACTTGTCGTGTAATTTGTGTTTCGCCGCACCCGAGAATTCGATAGCGAGGCCCCGGTCAGGATGAATAATTCCACTGCTGGTCGCCTGTGCTTTGTAAGGCTGTACTATTGGAAACTGGTCATGAAAAAAAGTGCCCAGGCCGCCGTCGATGTAAGTCGCCGTCGCACCCAGCGCGTCCGGCTGCAGGGCCGTTCAGGTTTCGCCGCTTCGTTGGGTCTCACTCTTGTACTGAGACACGGTCTCTTGGGATACTTGATACAGAAACAGACTTCTCAAACACGTCCAGGGCCCCGTCTCGCGTAGTGTGTGGGGTTGTGTGAGAAGCGTCGAAAACGGTAGTCTCGTGACCCAGCAAGTTGACAGGAAAAATTAAAAGTAAAAATAAAAGAGAGAGGAGCCTTTCACAGTCGAGTGGCTCGGTGGCTTGGATGCTGCAAGAATTAACCAAGACGAAGAAGAAAAGCAGCAAAGGTCAATTCCGTCGAAGCCGGCGAGGCCCAATGCGTGGATGGGGCAATGAAGAAGAAAGAGAGAGACGGGAATGGATGGGACGAAGTAGAAAAAGGAAAAAGAGGAGTGACGGGATCCCGGTAAGCTTGGGGAGCTCTCCAGGAGCAACTGGCAGAAAAAGAAAATGAGGTGCCGGTGCCTTTCGATTGAAGGAGGCTCGCTATTTTGGTGCGAGCAGGGCCGGCAGTCTTGATTGATTAGGGACGGGGTCTGGGCGCTTGCAGTGGAGACCACAAGCACAAGCAGCAAGCCATAAAACAAGCCGCAGCAGCAACAGTTGAATGTGGTACGACGTGGGTACTTGGCAGGTACTTGGGCGACGACTCGATTTCTTCCAGGGCCCAGCGATGACGGCCCTGGCCTGTCTTGCCTTGCCTTGCCTTGCCTCGCCTTTCCTTGCCCTGTCTTCGCCCTGCCTTTGCCTTGCGAGTGATGCTGCTGCAGAGTGATGATGATGCCCGGCGGCAGGGCCAGTCACAGTACAGTACAGTACGAATTCATCGGATCGAAATCAACCGACCGGGCTCAGAAAGAAGGCGCAGCCCGGCTCACTTGCGAAGCGGCGACAGCCGGTCCTTGTTCCTGCAATGGAACCTCAAGACGGGACATAGGATGGTGGCTCTGGCCTGGTGTGCGTGTGCGAGAGCTCCCACGAATGACACAGCATGTGCGTGCTCCATTATACGCCATTCTTGGACCTGGTACAGTTCTCCATACTCGATGGTGTCGACATCTCATTCGACGTCAAGCCACCTCCTCCCCTTTGCCCATTCCGCAAAGCCTTTGGCGAGTAATTGTTCTCTCTCACATGCCCCAACACGGCATCGACCGTTGTGCTGCTCCAGCCTAGGTGGCACGTCCGAGTAGGGAGCTGTTCTGGCCTCAAAAAGGCGCTAGAGTGTGGTTTCGCTCAAACTCTCCTTGGTCGTCTTTGCCTAACCAAGGCAAATCTGGCCTCTGCATTGAACCCTATTTAATGAGAGGGCAACCGGTTCCCCATCCTTTGGCCGTGACTGAAAGAAGAGTCGAGTTTCATGAGCCGCCGTGCATGATTGAGCAATCATTCAACATGTTTGACAGGCAAGCGAGGGCACGGCACTGAGTAAAGTTGCTGCGGCCAAGAGGCAGAAGCCGGGGGGACCGCCCAGCCAAGGCACGGAAAAACGCACAAAACGCACGGGCAAGCAAAAAACAGCAAGTGGCAGAAGCATGGGATGCCTGTAAGAGAGCTCGACTCCATCGGGCTGCATTAACTCCGTGCGAGGCGAAACTGTGCCGGCAACATGCTTTTAGCCAGGCGGCCAAACTCGTACAGCAAGTGTTAGTGGCAATACGGTGCTCCTGTCTCTTACTCCCGAGGTCCCGGTCGGCGTGCCAAATGTTCCTGGCCAGATTCCAGAAAGAAAAAGAAGTGGAGGGCCAGAGGTTAGTTGCCGTTGGTCCAGCGAGACCATGCAACTAACTGCCCCATGCACTGCGGAGTCGGGCTCGGAAGGCCACAACGAGTATTTCCATATCAAAGGCTGTGTTTGCATGCACCGCTTCTGTCATTTTTGATTGCCGCATTGATTCACTTTCGCCTTGTCCGTCGTGCAGTCGAGGAGTGGTCGCAATGTCCGAAGCTCATCGGAAGATGTCAACGGCCTGCTACTGGTCCAGGGGTACATAGTAAGCCGTTCGACTGCAGTTGGTTCCCACGTCTGATTCCATAGCAACGGCTGGCTTCGTACTCGTACAGTAATATCAAGCTTCCCATAGGCGGGCAGGATACTTGAAAGCGACATGGCATGCTCTTTTCTTCCGTAGCTTCTCCATAGCAAGTAAAATGAATACCTACTCGGTACTTCATTCGGCATGGTACCCGCACATGGTGCTAGCAGTAGTGCTCGCACTACAAACAAGTGCTCGTTGGTGCTCTGGGCGTTAGAAGAACGATCCGACGCATTGAGGTGTCGGCCATGCCCGAATCGCTGCCGGTTTCAAGAGCGTGGCTCCATCGCCCCCATCTTTTCGTCTTTTTTTGGAGACTGTCTCGTGCGGCCAAAATGGCACCGCTCGAACTGTAGTTGCTATTGTGGCGATGTTTTGGAGAAGCGTTGATATTGCCTGTATTCAGCCAAGCCCTGTTCAAAAACAAGGATGGAGGAAATGGAGATGGAGGAGAAGAAGAGCCGCGGCGCTCTCTCTACGTTGTTCCTTGATATGTCCGCCTCAGGCAACAAGAGGATCTTGGTCGATACTTGTCTGCAGCACCTGATGTGCATGTGTTCTAAAGTAGTGTCTTGTACTCCGTACTGGTCAACATGCAATAGCCTGAAGCTCACATGCACGCCTGGCCAGGCGCTCCTTCGGTAACAGAAACCCCGTACCTGCAGATCTAGCCGGCTAATACAGCTCAAAACAGGTACTATACTATAGGTACTGGGTAGGTACCTGTAGGTAAGAATTCTACCACGTTCCAGGTTCTTTTCTAAGCAGCTGCAGCTGTCAAGTCAACAGATGATGCAAGTTACAGCCAAAGTCAATGCTAAAACGATACAGTAAGACGACTAAATAGAGGGGACCAGGGAGCAGATGCGGTAAAAGAGAGCACATGTACCTCCAAGTGCCCTAGCAGTACCTTGCTGTAGCACCATACTTCCCAATGGAGAATATCAAATACACGAAATGCCGTCTTGGTGCCCCTTGTCGCGGCTACTCGCTTCGTAAATGCACCTCCAGGCCTTTTGAAGCCTGACATGCAGGCAACAAAATTGCATCTCCAGGCGCCGATATACTCGTATTAGCTCTGCCAGCTTCCCTGTGACGAGTTAGAAGTTAGTACTAGGTATAGGTAGTTTCCGCTCCCTGTCGGTACTTTCGGAAACTTGGCGACGTCGATTTGCGCGCTCGCTTGCCATCCACGACTCGGGTTCCTGACATGGGGGCCACGCCAGGGTGGCATGATGAAGCCATCTTCGTTTTCGTCTGACTTCTGTACGATTGCTAGCTAGTCGCACCTGTACCTGTGATCCTCCTACCTACAGTAATACCCAGGTACTAGGCAGTAAAGTAATCCTCGTACGAAGCACGGGCTTCCTTTTTTCCCTCTTCGCACCGGCGGATAACCTACTCGTACATACAGGCCTTGGTTCGCCTCGTTTTTGAGCCGATGCCGGTCCGTGGCGACCACGTGGCGGCGGAATTTCAAAAATCTCGGCCACCGGGTCCTCACGGGTCCCGGCGCCCACTTACAGTACGAGTATACTACTTGGTACCGAGTATTTCGATTGCTGTTTTCTATTACGATTTTATACGGCTTACTATGCCTGTGTAATTTGGAATCTTCATATCTGTATCCCGAGCCCGGAGTACAAGTAACAAGTAGACGCAAGGTCGTATTGCCCCGGGCACACCATCATGCCCAGAGCATATTACTACCACTTCTGGGTAGCATCTCCCTCTTACAACCGTTCGTGCGACGCGGCATATAGAGTCGTGAGGGGTAAGGGAAAATCACAGCCTCTTTCAAGCTACAGTCCAGGCCGTGTGCCGCTCTCGGTGAAACTCGCCCAAAGCTGGCTGAAGGGGGCTTTCCGCAATTCGCCGGCGCAAACAGGGGAACAAGACGGGATCTATCGTTGCGGGACTGGCCGGCTAAGTAAATACCTTGGGTACGGAAAGATATTATCAGAAAAGAACGATAGAGGGGGACAACATGTGAAGCTGTATACTGTAGGAATATCGCGCGGAGCCTCAAATGTGTCAAAGGCATATTGCACGCAGCACCGAGGATGGCGCCGATTCGTGCCCAGAGCGGCGTCAATTACCCCATGGAGTTGACATTTCTAGTTTTTGCATGCGTGACCACCCCCGTCATTGTTTTCCTGCTAGAGGTCGCAGATTGAGCTCTGAAGCGACAGGGACATGGGACATGGGACATGGGACAGGGACAGGGGCAAAGGCCTCAGCTTAGCTTACCCATCAGTTCGGAGTCGCACATGCATGCGGACATGCGTGTTGCAAATCGCCATGTGTGTGTGCATGGAGTACGAGGGCTGCAGTAGTGCCCAAGTGCAGTAAGCACCGTAGCTTTTGCTCCTAAATACAAGTAAGTGTTTGCTCTGCTGTCTCTCCGTCTGTCCAGTTGTTTGCTCCTTCTGACTCTGCGTTGTTGACTACAGTACAGGTATTTCCGCTGACTGCCAAGACGTGTAGTGCACCGAGCAAATTCAAGTACTTGCTTGCCGTCTAATATGGAGACACGGCTTCGGTAATATCGCCTGTTGACTAGGTGTCCTGTCGATACGTCAGAGCTAGCACCAGATCCCAGCCACAAGCATCCCTGATGGGGAAATTGACAAAGCACCGCCGAGGTTAGCTCAGGCTGCAAATGAGATGAAGAGCCCATGATTGAGATGGCCAGCATCGTCCGAAACAAGTCGGTCGTCGATCGTCTATCAAGAACTTGCTTCGGTTTCGGTCCTTTTTTGGAACCATGTGAAAGCCGAGAGCCGGATTCTCGGGTTCGATGCTCGGAGTCGTTACTGGCCGTGTCTTAAAATAAAACAGCCCATGGCCTGCTTACCAGGGACGAGCCGTGCTTGCAACTGTCTGTGACGTCGTCGGTAATGATCAGGATCGTTGGGCGGGATGTTGACGATACTGTACTTGTAGTCTTACATGGCCGGTGTATGCTTTATACGTGTACGAGTAAGAAATTGACAAGACTCACGTACTCATCCGCGTACAGGTACAAGTCAGCATGGCTCTGATGGAGAAATACGGCAAGGCTACCCAGGCGGTACTTTAATTACAAGACTCCTCCCTCGTCTCTAAGCGCTTAGTACCTCGCCCAAGGCTAAATGAAAAAGCCGTAAATGAGCACTTCCCGATACACATCGTGCTAGAAGTATTTCCGTAGATCTCATCCAGTTTGCGAATTTGACAGGTCGCATTTTGTGGGACAAGGGTTCTATTCAGGCCATACTCTTAAGGGTAAACGATGCGGAGGTCCATACAATAACAGTTCAGTCAATGTCTCGCGGTGCACGTGTGTCTGTCTGCATGTACCTTGTCTCAAAAAGTCAAAGCTCATTGAGTCGGTAGTGATAGTAGCAGACACTAGAGATATGTGAAGATACTAGATGAATATATGTACCTAGGTCCATAACAGTAGGATTAATATTTCGCGGTGCACATGTGTCTATCTGCATCTAGTCTGCATACCTACCTATCTATACATAGATACCCTGCAATAACCCAATGGTTTGATGGCTACAGCACAAGTAGGCTAGAATGTCCTTTCGTTCTTTGTTCTACCGATGTGAATCTCTACTTAATAATTACTTACTCTGCTACCTTGGTATCATTTCTTAAGTAGATACACGATTCCTTGAGTATCTGCAACTATCGCTACTATCTTAATATATCTCTAGTATCTGCTACTATCTCAATATATCTCTAGTATCTGCTACTATCACTACCAACCCAGTGAGCTTTGACGTTGAGACATGGGATACTGTGGTGTTAGATAACCATGCCCTATTCGTGTTCTTTGTGCTATTTTCAATTTCTTTACTTACCCCTTGGCGATATTCTGTCTTTTATTTTCTTTGAACAAAGCCCAATCCAAAATTGCCATAACCCAAGATGACGCTCTGTAACAATGACTCTTTCTTCTTCTTCTTTTCACCCAAACAAAGCACCGCGTCCTTTTCTTTCCCACTCTTTTCTAGCAAGTTCTTTTACTTTTTTTCTCTTATCCTTTTTTTCGATACGAAATACTCTCCACAGCCTTGATGATCTTTTTTAATCTTCTTCGCCGCTTTTCATGCTCCCGTTGCCTTTTAAGCTGTGATACCACCTTTTTCTTACTGCCCAGATTTACACGAGTGTTGCATTCTGCTAGAGAGCCTCTTAGTTTCATTTCCTTTTTTCTTTTTTTTCTCTCTCTTCTTTTGGTTATCGTGTTTTTCTTTATTTTATCGTTTGCCGAAACTTGATATTTGGGCCAATCTAATAATCTGTCGACTAAACTCCTGTCACCTGCCGCTGAACTCGACAGGCGTTGCTGTGCAGCCCGCTGCTGTCAACAGCTGGCAAAGCTCTACTTTGCCAACAACTCAACTTGTTGTACTTTTTGTGCACTTTCTCTCCGTTGTCATCTATGGATACCCAGTCGTAACTTTGTTTGTTTACTTTTTTGCCTTCGTTCGGAGTTGATGGGATATTGATACACCTCAAGGAGTTCTCCCCCTTTGCTTTCTGGGATACCCGCTGGAGTATACGACGATATTTGGAGTTTTGTTTTGATCTCATTGGGCCTTCATAGCGTCTCGATCTGAGTCAATTGATTTGCCGATAATCAACAATCTTTTGCTGTCTTGGGGCTTGCTTTGCTGGAAAACAAAATGGGGGACGGCGCTATCTCTGAGGATACCAGTGGATTATCTGCTTTGCTTGACGGTAACAGCATTGGGAGAGAGACAAGAGTTTATTCGAGCATCAGTACAACAACAACTATTCATTCATGGCGTGCCACCGTTGTGAATCTCAACAATAGCGAACCATCTTCTGCCTTCAAGCCATTGCGATATACGCAACCCATTCGAGAAGCTCCAAACCAACACACATCCAGATTCGCATCTCCAGCATCATTCTGTTCTACCATCAGGGATTCTGAGGCCACCACTTCATTATCGAACAGCCCCTATAGAGCGACCCTTCGATCGAGCTCAATCGACTCTTTCTCTTCAACTACTCCCTTCAGTGTTGACGTACCAGAATGCGTCCTACTTGTGCCAAAATCATGCTATGAAGACTTTCAGCCTCCTGAAGACATGCCCATGCTATCAGAGTGGAGGGCCATTCAAGCTCTATCTCCAGCCATGGCGGAAAGCGCTCAAAATTTCTCTGAGATTCAGTTGGACGAATTTGCAATATATCTCGACAAGGACAAATTTCCAGACGAGATGCGATCTTTACACCATCTGAGTACCAAAATCGGACACAGTTGTTTCTACTTTGATGGCATTCTCAGTATTGGCGACACCAGAGTTTATGTGCGCCGCGTCCCGGTAGTTGCTGTTCCTATTGGTAACTACGGTTCAATTTCGAGACACACTGTCCGAGACAACATTTGGCTGCAATCTCCAATAAGTTATAAAAAGGAGTTATTCTACAAACTCGGGAAGCCGGCAAAGGAATATGAACGATTTTTTTACCCCTTTCTGTGGGTGGCAGATTTGGCGAAACATTTTGTGGACTTTCTTTGCATAATGGGGGAAAACAAACGCAGTGTCTCCATTCATCATTTTCGATCAACTTTCGTCGCATGGCTGAAGAAGAGCCACAAGCAATCACCAGAGTTTCTCGAGTGGCTAAATCAACACCCGAGCGATGACTACCGGACTTCGATAGCCGCAAACATAGGATTTCTTCACAAGGAGGCTTTGGGAGTATTAGACCATCATAAGGCTTACTCTCATGCCATTTGGGACGAAATTTGGGAGTTTCAGTCTTTCAAGAGTCAGCCCAAGATCGTGGACCCCCCCACGATTGTCACCCAATATATTTACGACTGTTTCAAACACCTTCCATTTGGCGATCGCCTTCAGGTTGTCCCTTTGAGCCCGAAGACCAAGTCTCTTCGCAATAGCTTAATCCGACAAAGGCGTCTAGAGCTCCCCTCAGAAATACACAAGTCAACTAAGACACTCTCCAAGGCTATGCGGGAGCGTATTGCGAGAATTCGACCAGGAGACACCATTTCAACTCCTCGCGATGATGTGGAATCCGGCACATTGTGGGAACGAGAGTCATCCAAAGGATTCTCCGACGTGGATCGATGGTTTGCACTAGTCCAATCTGTTCATGTCAACAAAAGGGGGGCGCGTACGTTTGATGTGATTTGGTATTACCGACCTGTGGACACCCTCTGTGGCTTGATGAAGTATCCATGGAATAATGAGCTCTTCCTCTCAGACCACTGTTCTTGCTCGGAGGCGTCCAAGATTGACGAAAGCGAAGTCCTTGGTGTTCATGATGTTGATTTCTGGGGTACGTCCGCGACAAGCGCAGAGCTCTTCTGTCGGCAAACCTATCTCCAAGGAGAGAGGAGATGGGTTACGCTGGACGAAAGCCACTTGCAATGCTGCCATACTTCGCTACTGCCGAATCGAAATAAGTCGTTCAAATGCCAACCGGGAAATACATATTTACTTCATTTGGACTTGAAAAGCTCCTTTTCGGAACCTTGTGAACTTGTGAGTTCAGTTAGAGAAGGTGGCCAAAGACGTTATCGATTCAGGAGACTTTTGCGCCGCCAGCAAGTTGACCCAAACGCTCGGGATGCTCGACCAAACGAGCTCGTATACAGCGAACAATTTTGCAAGGTCAGCAGGGATCAAATCATGGGTCCATGCTCTGTGAGATTCTTTAGAGATGGCGATAGAATTCCTACGCCGTATGACCGTGACGGCACAGGAAACCTCTTTTACATCACTCATCAACAAATAGTCGCCGGTGGATTCTCGGTGTATGAGCCAATAAAAGTAGCACCAACTTCCTTGAATCAAGGGTACGATCCCCTTCAGCAGCTGCAAAAGCTCCGTGGAATTGATCTGTTCTGTGGCGGAGGCAATTTTGGCAGGGGACTAGAGGACGGTGGAGGTATCAAAATGAAATGGGCAAACGACTATGACAGCAAAGCAATTCACACCTATATGGCAAATGTGAGCAAGCCCGGAGATGTTCACCCATTCCTCGGCTCGATCGACGATTTACAACACTTTGCCATTCGTGGTCAATTTGCGGACAACGTGCCACGTATTGGAGACGTTGACTTTGTGTCTGGTGGAAGCCCCTGTCCTGGCTTCTCTATTCTAACCAACGACAAGACGACGGCAGCACAACGCAAGAACCAGTCTCTTGTTGCAGCTTTCGCCTCTTTTGTGGATCTTTATCGGCCAAAATATGGCGTTCTGGAGAATGTGCCAGGGATGATTCATAAGAAAGAGAGCCGAGATCAGGATGTCTTCAGCCAGCTCATTTGCTCCCTAGTTGGCCTAGGCTACCAGACACAGTTTTTCTTCTTGGATGCATCGTCCTGCGGGTCACCGCAGCGCAGATCTCGCATATTTGTTATCTTTGCTGCTCCAGGGCTTGAACTGCCAAAGAAGCCGGTGCAAACGCACTCACATCCTCCTAAAACACGAGAGCTTGGAATTGGATGGCTGCCCAATGGCCAGCACATGGCAACCCGAGAGATGCCTGCAGCAACACCGTTCAAGTACATATCAGCAGAAGAAGCGGCAGCCGATCTACCGCCTATTCACGATGCCAAGCCTGATATATGTGTTCCTTATCCTGATCACCGCTCAACCTCGGGATTGACAAAGATGATGCGAGCTCGAATCTCGGTCATCCCTGTTCGGCCGTGGGGAATGAGCTTTGCGCAAGCTTGGTACGGAGACAACAAGGCAGAAGGCGGTTCAGGTACAATGACGGCAGCTGAGCGTGAGCTGTTCACTGGGACGAATGGAGTGAGAGACACATCAAAACTGCCATTGTCGGTGCAGCCCCAGTCGCGCGCATATGGAAGAATGTTCCCGAATAAGCTGTTTGACACAATCACGACGAGGCCGACGACCAACGATGCAAAGAATGGGCGATTACTACATTGGCGAGAAAACAGGCTTATAAGCATCATGGAAGCACGCAGAGCCCAGGGTTTCCGCGACGAAGAGGTTCTACTTGGGGATCCGGTAAACCAGTATCGAATTGTGGGCAACAGCGTTGCGAGACAGATTGCTGTTGCCCTTGGCGTCACGTTCCGCGAAGCTTGGGTGGCGAGTCTGAAGAGGAACAGGGAACTGGAGCGTGCAAGCAGCCGTGGTGTTGAAGAAGTTAATGGCTTGGAAGAGAATCCGGTTGGCTGTGAATCCATCAGGATCGGTGATGGAAGAGGCACATCGGCAAGACAGTCTAGGTTCCCAACACCTATAACGCAAAGCATCAGGGACTCAAGACAGTTGGCGCGTGCAAATGGCACAAGAGTCTCTACACAAACCCCAGAGGTCCCGGCGAGCAACAAGCGTCCACGTTCGACAAGCGTGGTGGTGGAGATACCCCAGTTCATGAAAAGACGGAAACTGGATACGATGTGAATACCAGTTGTATTCGATTTTTACAGTTTACTTTGATCAATTAGTACCTACTAGAAATCTAATAGTACATATTAATATAGGCAAAGCAGATCGTTAAACACAAACATATCACTCTCGATTTTGTCATCTCCCAAGTGTATTTACTATTCCATCCCGAAGAACGCCTTGTATGCATTTCCCGTTGCAACCCATGGCATGAAGTATCTTACTCTTTGATTGATCCCAAATATTGTTCGCCCAGTTCCCCCCCGCTTCACTTCACCTCTTTCTTCGAAATCGGCTATTATAGCCCGGACCGCCCTTGGCCCCATGGTTGCGCAGCTTCAGCCTGTGGAAATTTGCATGTGCCAGCTGGTTCACCTTTCGTGCCGTCTTCTTTACCACTCCTTCCTCCTTGGCAGGCTTTTTGACCTTTGTGTCGGGGGTATCATCTTCATCTCCGTCTTCGAATTCGCCGTCAGATTCGCCTGCGACATCTGACCTGCCCGTCTGAGCCTGTGTATCTGCAATGGTATAGTCTTCATCTTCCTCCCCGTCACTTTCGTTGGCCTCCGCCAGATTTGTCAGCCGCTTGGCCCGAACTGGTCGCATGTTGACTCTCCGTGTTGTTCGTTTCTGTCCCTTCTTCTTAAATATCTTCATAGGTCGTCCATCCCGATCTACAGCATCCTCTGTAGGGCTGTCGTACATTCCTTCATCGTCAAATCCACCTAATGGTAGCTGTTTAGTTTGACTATCTGGCTCCAGTATGTCCTGCTTTGCCTGTGGTTCCTGAGGTTTCATAGGAGGCAGAATTGGACCTCTGGATTCAGCTTCAGCGTCAGCTTCGGCTTCGCGCAGTGCCTCAAGATCATCATCCAGCTGCTCTTCCTCGACTTTCCGAAGACTGGCTACTATTTCGCTCAAACCGCGAACCAAGGGCTTCCGCGGTAACCTTAACGGCGGGGCATCAAATGTTGTGTTCTCGTCCAGTGTCGGGAGAGAATGCCTCTTCAGAAACGCGGGAGTATCAAACTGAAGCTTAGATACAGATGTGGGCGTTCCGGCCGTATTCTGCCCTTCTCTCTTCTTCATCGGTGTTGAGAATAGCTTTCGTTTGCTCGTGGATGTTGGCGTACGGCCGAGATTGGCTGTAGCCTCTTCGAACAAGCTGCTTCTGGGCTTACTGGGGGTTGCCAGGGAAATGGTAGGGTGGCTGGTCCCCTTTAATGGACTTTTAAATTCTCTTTCCACCAACAAGTCAAATAGGCCGAGGACCTTGCCATCTCGTTGAGGTGTTGGCCCAATAGATGTTACTGGCGCTGGGCTGAAGAGCTTCCTAGAGATGGCCGGACTATTCATATATTCGTCGCCGTTTGGAGCCAGTCGCTTGGAAGGGGTCTCGGCATGTTTGGCTCGCTTCATGGGAGTTCCAACTGGTACAACGTCTGATTTACGCTTTTCGTGCTTCTGTTTGGACGTCGAGGTATCTGGAGGAGGGGCTAGCTTGCCAGCTATTATATCGCGAAGCTTATTATAATCTTTATATTTCTGGGCTTTCGCAAAGTTAGCAAAGACAATTGATAGGCGGAAATTGTCGAGCCGCAAGCGCAAGCGCACCTATAACGGGAGTATTCTTGATGTCCTCTCTTCCTGGCTTCTTGCCGCCATGTGTCTTTGCCCAGTCTGCCTCCCATTGCTTCAGGTCTGCTCGCACTTTCTGAGCTCTTGCTTCATATTCTTTCTTGAGGTTCTCGTCCATGGTAGCCTCGGCAGCAGAGACTATAGAGAAAAGATACACCAGCTAGAGTGGGAGATGATGGTTTATATCACAAGTGACATGTCTGTTGCCCAAAAAAATAAAAGAGAGAAAAAAACAAGTTCAATGGCAGACAGAAGAGGGAGACAGACAGGGCAGCAGTTGGAGAGACTGGAAAGCTCCTTTGTTGAAAAGCGTCATGTGGGGAACTGCAGGTCGCGAATGGAAGCGCGCTGCTTGTCATCAATTTAGTACAAAAGCGCGTCTTGCAGAAGCACTTAAACGCTACAGGCTGACTCCACTAACAAGGCCCCTGTGGAATTGCCGAATCGCCGCACTTGTGGCGTATAAACGCCCTGTATGGCCACTGTGCCCCGCCAATCGAACCCCAGGATTCCGCAACCTCCATCGGTCATGGCTCGCATCTTCTGATTCTTGCATCTTCGCCACGCCGCTTGGCAGCATCCTCCAGACAGCCTCAATATCGTCGCGCTGCCTCCATGGACAGCGGTCTGGCTGATGAGAATGACGAACTACAGCGCAAAGTCCTCCAGAATACACTGCAAGAGGTGGCTGCAAGAGAGCAGCTGGCAGATGGCAACTGCTGCGTCATCTGCTTAGACGCTGTTAGCGATGCTTGCGAACTGGTTCCCTGCGGACACGACAGCTTTGACTATGTCTGTGTATTGAACTGGCTCTATGACAAACCACTGTGTCCTCTGTGCAAGAGAGATGTAACCAAAGTGCACCGAGGACCTCCCGAACATCGAGAAACAACTGTCATTGAACCAAAACCACAACGACCTGAACAACTTACTTCAACAAGGACATACTCTCACCAGTCGTCGTTTCTTCGCCCTCGAAGGAGGACAGCGAGGATCCCCAGGATTACAACCAACGAACTTGATGCTGAAAGAATCCAAGCACATCGGCGCGAGGTTTATTTGCACAAGAGATTCTCAAAGCATGTCGGCTCAAACAGACTTTCCCTTTACCGGGAGCTGACACCAAGGCTATTCTGCAGCGACGAGGCTCTCGTTTCCCGCGCACGGATGTGGATTCGCCGCGAACTGCGAGTGTTTTCATTTCTCAATGCTGATGAATCTGGCCCTACCCCATCTACCTCTCGTTCAGGTTCCGGAGATGCAGCTCAAGCCCAGGCGCGGCGAAGAGCAAACAACGCCGAGTTCTTGCTGGAGTACTTGATTGCAATCTTGAAGACTGTGGATATTATGGGAAGTGCCGGTCAGGCGGAAGACATGCTGTCCGAGTTTCTTGGCCGAGATAACGCCCGGCTGTTTCTGCACGAGCTTCGGTCATGGCTTAGGAGCCCCTTCACAAAGCTCGAAGACTGGGATCGAGCGGTGCAATACGACCCGGTTGTACCAAGGGGTTCATCACCTTCTGCTTCTTCTGCTCCAGAATTGGGACACACTCGGAATGAGCGTGCATCGTTGACGCAGCGCAGCCAGGACCGGTTCAGAGGGGATTACTACCGCCCCGGGCTGGCTCAGCCTTACCGAGAAGATAGACGAAAACAGCGGCACGAGCCTTACAGGCGTGAAAGGCGAAGAAGGGAGAGGAGCGCTTGATGCTGACGATAGGTGGGGAAGGCTAAGCGCTGAGTTGATGGTGAGGGCTCGTATGGCATATTTGAGATATGATACTTTGGACATGATGGATAGAAGGAAATGATACCCAGAACTGCTAGACGGCGATGATTCTACAAGGAGTTATTTAGGCATCCTCATTAATGAAACCATCCTGGTTTTAAAATTGCATCCGTTTTGATGTGTTTCTAATGCCCACCGTGGCGCTCCGCAGCTAATCAACTGGTTGTGTCGACGATGCTCCTATTTCTCGCTCATGATGGTTACCATTGGTCGCTGCCTGGGGCGGACTATAAAGACGTTTCTGGTACTCCGCAGCGTCTGTGTGTAAGTCCGCCAGCGCGATGGAGCCAAACACGCAATCGAGATTGGAAACGAATCTCGGCTTCGTCTAGGCTGCCTCTTTTATCTGTTTGTAGTGTAGGATTCGCGGAATATTATATAAGGGAGGATCTTCCATCAACGAAGTCGGCTTTGGAGCAGTAAGCAAGCATCAGCTGTGTACCAAGTCCAGGACAGGAGCCCATTCTCAACACCACATCTCCCCTAATTAGACCACAATATAAACAATAAAAGACACCCATACCATCTAAAGCAAAGACACAATGGCAACCTACGACATCAAAATCATTTCCGACACCGTCTGCCCCTTCTGCTATCTCGCCCGTGCCCGCATCGCCCGCGCCATCACCCTCTTCAAGAAAACCGTGCCCGGCGCATCATCATCCACCTTCGCCATCCGCTGGCACGCCTTCCAGCTCGACAAGTCCATCCCACAGGGCCAATCGACTTCCGTGCGGGACATCGCTGTGCAGCGCTTCGGCGCCGACCGTCTGGCCGCCAAGCGCGCGCGGATGGCGCAGCTCGGCGACACAGAGGGCTTCGGCTTCACGTTCTCCGGACGCATTGGCAATACCCGCGACTCGCACCGGCTGTCGCATCTGGGCCGCAAGTTGGGCGGGTGGGAGCTGGAGGATAAAGTGCAGACGGAGATGATGAAGATGTTTTTCGAGCTGGGAGGCGATATTACGAGCTTTGATGACTTGAGTGCTGCGGCGGAGAGGGCGGGCATTGAGCGGGATGTGGCGCGGAAGTGGCTCGAGGATGGGAGTGGTGGTGAGGAGGTTGATAGTGAGGTGGAGGAGATGGAGAGGCAGGGGATGAAGGGCGTGCCAAAGATCTTTATTGATGACGAGTTTGTGGTGGAGGGCGCTGATGATGTGACGGCCATCTTTGAGCAGCTGTACAAGGCGAAGGAGGCGAAGGAGGCCAAGAACAAGGTCGAGGCTTAGGAATAACTGCGTTATTTCTGTTCTGTTGGTGAGCATATATGTATATATAGGTAGAGTGTGGCTATTTACCTTAGTAGGTAGGTAGAGTCATTAGAAGATATTTCCATCATCAATGCATACTACAAGTGGCAGTTGACACGTCGCTCTCATACAAGGGGTATCATGGTTTCATTGCCGTCTAATGCTGCTGCTCTCATCGAGTCTCCTACGAGTACATATTTCTCAGCGCCCCGAGGTCGTTATCCATAGACCTCAACCTGGCTTGCAGCTCCCTCTTCTTCGCCTCCATCTGCCTCGCCTCCTCCTCTTCCCTCTTCAAATCCTCCTCCGTCCACGCATCTCCACCCACGTCTTGCGGCTCATCTTGGTCCTGCTTCGCGTCATCGCCCTGGTCCATCCAGTTCTTATTCATGCTCGACAGCTGCTCGGCCTGCTCCGCCACCTTGGCCTCGTAGTAAGCCATTGTGTTTTTCCCATGCCGATATCTCGACCGCAATGCCGTGATCCTCTCGCGCGCTCCAGGCAACTCGTACACGCCGCAGAGTTTCTCGGCGCCGCGGAGCAGGATTTCGACGTCTAGATCGCCTTTGCGATCTGTTTCCCCGCGTCGCAGCTGATCGTGCATCTCGCCGCCCAAAACGGCGGCCACTGCGGTACGGCGATGAGGCGCACCCCGGGTTGTCGGGCCAGTCGTTACTTCTCCCGAAGCAACATTGAAGACAGTTTGTCGGCGGTTCTTGGGCTTGATTTCGCTCTCGACGGCTTTTGAGGGCTTGGTCGCGGCGGCAGTGGCAGGAGGTGGTGGCGGTACGGAAAACAGAGCGCGTTCGTGGGCCTCGGTATCTCGAATCAAGGCTGTGATGTCGTGATTTGATAGCAGAGCGTTGGTGAAGATCTTGGGAGGCGGGAAACTGCGGGGCTGTCAACTTGAAGCTCTTGTTTTCTTTGGGCTTGGCGTTGTGTCTTACGGAAGGGCATCGATTCCCTGACAGGAGCTTTGTATTTGCTCGAGGTGAGCTGATAACAACGACGAGTCCATGGCTTGATGTGAGGGTCTAGTGGTACGCGTCCAGAGGAATTGGAGCGGCCGAATGACGTGTTCGTCTTTGTTCCAGAGAGCGGTGAGAGAAGACGAGTGTTATGGTAAATTGAGAATCCGTAGAGCCAAGAGCGCAGTAATGAAGACCAGCAAGTCGGAGAATGTTTTGATGACACGAGGTTGATGGTAGCATGGATTTGATATTTAGTAGATGCCGGCGCCACCCCACCAAGATCTGAGGCGGCTTTTGAGCTTCAACGGCGGTCCACAGCGGGGCTTATCTGCTGTGTTCCACTCAAGATAGCATGGATGTAATAACATGTAATGAAGTGATTCAAGGCAACGACAGCTTACAGCAGGAATGTCCTTCTATTGTCTATCAACTGTGTGGTTTCTCCTACACATGTCTTCAAATATCAACCGCGAATATCAAAGCACATCTACCTCCACATGTCCGCTCGTCTAAAATAAAAATAAAACAACTGATGCAGGCTCAAATGATCTAAAAGGTATCGAAGGAAGAACCCCGTTTCGGTCCATGCTGAAATTATGCTGAAATGTAAACCAAAGACGAAGTAGCAGGGGCCATATTGCATTGGTTTCTCTTGGCCAAACACATGCCCTCTTGTCGCATCTCCAGTCCAGGTTAAAGATATCCAACAGTTCAGATTGCAGGCAGGTCGCCGTGTAAGTATATATCAATCCCAGCGTCCGGTAGGCACTTCGCTTGAGGCTTCGATGTGCCTCTCTAATTTTATCGTAACATCATTCGTCATTGCGTAAATGGTTTGTAACATGTCCCGCTTAACAGCCGAAGCTGCTTATATCCTTCTTTCTTTTTTTCTTTCTTTTCGTTTCTTTTATTTTCTTCTTTCTTCTCTTTCTCGGTGTTGCTTCTTCATTCTCCATCTCTTTAGCTCGAGTCCGTGTCCATCACCTCCACTGAAGGGTATGGTAGGTTCCGTGCGATACGAATCTCTTTGACATATTCATCCTCACTCGAGTTGGGCTCCTCCAGCTCCTCAATTCGCGGCGCGGGAGGGTCCTGGAAGAGCAAGCTACCGCGGTGGACTCTTTTGCGGAAGCGGCGAGCACTGGAACCAGCTTCGTTGACGTCGAGAGCACAGTCGTTGTCATCTGAGTCGCTTAGCTCGCTGTGAGTCCTCTTGCCGAAGCTGCTCGACATGCTGACTCTTCGAATGCGCTTTAGCTCCTGCTGCCTCCTCATGAACTCCGACTCTGCATCATCCTCTTCTTCAGGCTCTGCCTCATTATCGGATGCTTCGTTGCTGCAGTTGAGGTTCTCGAGGTCTTGCATCATATCCTTATCCAGGTCCTTATGCCGTGACGTGGATCTACTCCTGGTAGACTCGGTGTCGGACTCGATTTCGATGGGATAGAGGACATCCAGGCCATCGCACTCGCTGTCCATCGGATCGATGTCCTCAATCGTAAAGCCACAGTTGTCATGGGTGCTTGTTGCGGGACCGTGCGCGGATCCCGTTCGCTTAGGCTTGTCCGGCTCCGCTTCAGATTCAGATTCAGAGCCAGAGCTGGCTGAGTCCAGATCTGGCTCGTCATCTGCATCTGCATCTGCACAAGCGTCTAATTCGTGCGATTCAAAATCACTCTTTCCCGTCGAGATTCGTGGTGATCGTCGCGAAGAGTTTGGCAGGCTGACAACGCTAGCGCTTTCGGAGGATTCATTATCGCTCACGTCCTCGTCATCAGCTTCTGACGACGACGACGATCGGGGACTCAATTGCTCTAGTGGGCGATAGCTGAACTGATGGCCACTGCCATATGGCCTGATGTTTGGATCTTGAGCTAGGGGATTCGTGAATAGATAAAATGCCTCCTGGGCACTCTTGCGGGCGAAATGTGGTGAGGTGATGGGCGTGTCGGGCGGTGAAGCTGGGTCGGCGGTCTGTAGCGCCGACACATGAGCCGGCGAGAGCTTTAAATTTGGCGTTGATGACCGCCGCAGCGAACTTCTGCTGTGTCGGCCCATGGCTGCTTGTGATGATGGCGAGGGAATTAAAGCAAAAAAAGGTGTAGGTGAGCAATTTCAATCCGTGTGAAACGTATGACTGAATGAGTCGCTGGGGGGTCTGTCTTTCTTTTTATCTGGCCACGGGGTGGTCCGTTGCGTCGGTTGTCGATGACCCTCGTGTCTCGGATCAGAGTCGCGAGAAATTGCTATCAATTGGCCGTGGGTCTTGAAATTGCGTGGGGTGTTTTCGCTTGGAATGAGAAAAAAGGGTAAAGAAAAAAAAAAACAAGACGTTGCTGCGCGGGGGTTGCAGCCATCAGCATCAAGGCAGGGGAGAGAGGCAGCAGGAATCATGGCACGTACATTGTCCTTGTAATTGCGCAGTCTAGGACCCGTGGCGATTTGTGAGGGGGGTCTGGTTTAGAGAGGCAAATAAACAGACACAGGCAAGCAACACCAGATAGACAGACAAGGCAGAATCTGGTGCGAAGAGGGCGAAAGGCGTCAAGGAGTCGGGATCCAGAGCAGGAACCTCCAGCACGGAGAAGTAGAGACTCGGGCTGTGTTCGGGAGCATGATAATGTTGAAGGAGGGCCTGGGGCTGGTCGGCGTGTTGGTAACACCTGATGGCACCCACACGGCTTATACTCGCAGCTTGTTGGAGGCTAAAACGAGAGAGAGGGATAAGGAGGCGGAGGTGGGAGGTAGGAGACGGGAGAGATCCAAGGGGGGAGGGGGGAGGCGAGGAAACGAGGAGAGTTAGAGAGGCACCAGGCGCAGAGTAGAGAGGGTGGTATATACAAAGTAAGAAGGTGTCAAGGGAAAAGAAAAAAAAAACAACTGGGACGGCCAGAACCTGGGGCCAAATTCAGCCCTGGGCGGATCTGCGATCTGCTGCCTGGATGCTGCAGACGAGCTTTGCTTTTTGCGAGAGCTGCAGGCGACAGACGAATGACGGGCCGTGAATGGCTGGCCGAGGCGCTGCGGACGGAAATCAATGGATGGCGAGGGCCTTTTAAAACGCAGGACATGGAACTCCATGTGCCTCAGCCGAAGCGTCGGGTCAACGGGGTGCTGAACCTTGTTTCAGCATCTGGAGAGGTGCGGGATCCTGCAAAGGTGGTCCATGCATGGCATCCATACAGCTAAAGCATGACGCCCGATTTTCCCATCATCTATCATCTACAGGAAATACGGAGTACGGAGTAGTACTGTAGGTAGTATTAGGTACGTTGTATCTGGCGTATGCATGTGCTGTATCTGGAGTACATGCAGTATAAGAGATGATCTGGTGTATGACAGCGACAAACATGCCTCGCCTTGCTTGCACGTGCCCGCCTGTCTAGCCCCTACAGCTTCATTGCAGGAGACATGTCCCTTCTTCTCTGGCACTTCCAGAATACTCATGTATATTAAATTAAGTTGCATTCTGCATAACGCACCGCGAAACGAAACCTGTGTGGGATTTGGCCAGACTGGTGCGGTGGCTGCTCTAGCTTCCGAGGCGGATGGTGTGGCACGACGCCAGCGCTGAGAACTGCGGCCGCCTGCGAATCTTATGATTTGCTCTGGTGCTCAGGGCCCTCTGTTTACGACGCATCGACAAAATGCAATCAATCGCTCCCTCTTCCTGTCGGCTGCAAGGGCGCGGCATCCTGGCGGCTCTGACAGCTCCGTCCTGGATGTGTGAGTACTCGTGCTGTGCTGTGCTGTACCTTGCTGTACCTTGCTATACCTTGCTATACTATGTATGTACCTTGCTATACCTTGCCCATGATCCACCGCGACAGGGGATCGCCGCTCGCTTTGGGCAGCAATGCTTCGACGAATTGCCTGTGGTGGCCTTATTGCCCACTTGGACTGCTCCCAAACCTGCTTCTATGGAAAAAGAACATTCTATGTCTCGGTGGAAGCCGCTAGAAAAAGACGCGGGTTTTTTCTCCTTCTCTTCTTTTGGCCCCGTGTCTCTCTCAGTCTCTCCCATTTGGGTCAACATGAGATTACGAGTACATACCGGATGACTGGTTACTGGTGTTTGAGCGCTTCGATTGCTCCCCCCTTCCGACAATGCAGCCACCTTTATGCTTCTGGAATAGATGGGGGCTGCTTACTTGGGTGGCCATGGTGAGCAATTGCATACATCATCCGTTGTTCGGGACAGTGGTCTGTGTTAGTGGACAGCACATGTACAGCGAGAGAACAAGACGACTCCAATCAGATACAGCTCAAGCTCACTCAGGGGAGTTTTGTAGTCCATACACTGGATCTCTTTTTTTCAGGAGTTAGGAGAAGTCTGCATAAGAAGAGGCTTGAATGCAGATGCAGACGCACTGGCCACAATGGGCCTCCAATTTGAGGCATGCGCTGTTACAGAAATACTCAATAGGCGCTGTTCTCTGCTTTGCTTTACCAACAAGTACCCCTCGTATAGTAAGCTGCCACAACTACTAGCACCTAGTAAGCATCCAATGCTGCTGTGTGTTTGTGGAGTTATACGGGGATTCGTCCAGCTCACGCCAACCGTGGCTTGAATCAGGCACAGCAGACAAATCAGCAGGCTTAAGAGGGTCCACGGAAGCAGGAGGAGCTGCCGCGGAAAGCATCTCCAGTACTATATATGCAGCTTTCAGGAGACTTCTCCACGGCGTGATATGCACTATGTCATTATGCCATTCCTCTCCTTCTCCATAGAGGTGGCACCAGAAAGCTCATAGAATTGTGGATAGATGCCATTCTTGCCTAGTAGCAAGCCAAAGATCATCTGTTGTTCGTTCGAGGAAATGAACAGCTACTTTAGTACTGCTACTGACCCAATATTCACGTCTCGTAGCCCCTACCTCAATTAGATACCATCTAGCACTTACTATGAATAGTAAGGCAGGTATTGTACATGTATTTCAACTCGTTGCTTGCTTTCCCTTGAAATTCACTTACACGGCGAAATGGGCTTGGAGAGTCATTTCATGGATTTGATCTTGAACAAATATGGCAAAATGAATGCAAAAACTAGAAATGAACCAAGCCGCAAGCCAAGAGACACCGGGAACGGATACGCCGGACATTGCAAATAGCTGTTCAAGCTGAGACTTGCATTACTTGCATTCAGCAAATGAAAACCTCCATTTTTGGATACGCAAGCGTCCTACACTGTGGCGTTCTGAGAGCGATACTCGCTTATATAATGATTTCGTCTCGCGCGTCGGTTAAGCCCCGGCTCCGGCTTGGTACCAACAGTAACCCGTTCCTAGGGCGCATTTGATTGGCGGAACAGCGGATCGCGAGGCAACAGTGATAGGCTTCCAAACCAACTTTCAACTTCACAACGCGTCTTCCGTTTGGTGCTTCTTTATCCGACTCGATTCCAGTACCATTACGTACAAGTTCATTCCATCGGTACCGCTCGTCGTGTCGTGTTTTACAACTGCCAGCTTCATTCCATCACCGAATATTGGCGCGCACCCGATCGGCGAACGATAATGAATACCGCCCCGGGCCAAATGGCCCAGCAAGGCCAGCCCCAGCCTCAGGGCGTGCAGGCTCCTGCTGCTCAAAATCGGCCTCCAATGTACCAGCCCGGCCAGATCAAGAACCTTCCATATCTAAGCGATGACGAGAAGACCAAATACGAGCAAGGATTGCGGGGCCTCTGGACCAAGATGAATGGATCTCCAAACAACAGCTCGGACCAAATTGCTGCTCGACAGAAGATCATAGAGTTCTCCAGAATGCTGATTACCAAGATTCAACAACGAAGGACTCATGCTGCCCAACAACAACAACAACAACAGCAGCAGCAGCAACAACAACCTCAAGCCAGACCACAAGTAGCACAATCCCAGGCGCAACCGCAACCCCCGAATGCCGCTCTGCAAGCCCAAGCCCAAGCCCAAGCCCAAGCCCAAGCCCAAGCCCAGACACAGGCTCAGGCTCAGGTACAAGCTGCACAAGCTCAACAACAGGCCCAACAACAGGCCCAGGCACAGGCACAGGCTCAAGCTCAGGCTCAAGCTCAAGCTCAGGCACAAGCCCAGGCCCAGGCACAGGCACAGCAGCAGGCTCAACAGCAAGCTCAGCAGGCTCAGCAGCAAGCACAGCAACAAAAGTCACAAGGTGCAGGAAATGAAGCTACAGCCGCTGGTGCTGCTGGGCAGGTACAGAATGCCCAAGCACCAACAGCGGCAACGGCTGCCGCAGCAGCAGCAGCAGCAGCAGCAGCACAACGTCCCAAGATACCCGAAGCCTTCATGCAACACGTTAACAAGATGACATTTCGGCCTCCAGTGCAGCTTGCTGATAAATCCGTCGATGCTGCCAAGTGGATTGAGGAAATGAAGGAAAGATATGCTCGGGCTCTCATGACTATGGAAACAACTAAGAATAAGGTTGCTAGTTGGGAAAAGCTAATAACTGACCGGGCAGCTCAAGGAAACCCTCTCAAAGAAGAGGAACAGAGACAGATTCAGCTGAGGAAGGATCAACAGCTGAAGCTGTATGCCGAAGCTCACAAGTGGGTGGAGGGCGTTCGCAAGCAGCAGGGGAGCCTTCAAGGAGTTGCCCAAGCACAGGCTCATGCCAATCAAGCGACTGCTGGCGCCGCCGGTGCTGCTCATGCTGCTACCCAGCCCGGTAACGCTACTCCAGTCATGCCAGCTGCCTCTCCAGCTGCAGCAGCTGTGAGCAAGCCTCAGAACAGCGCACAAATGGCCAACAATGCCGCTGCAGAGGCAGCCAAAAACCAGCAGCAGATGGCTGGTGCCAATCGAGTCCCAGGACCAAACGGCATTGCGTCCACGCCTACACCGCAGGCGCAAGCACGGCCCGTCCCGAACGCTGCCGTCACGGGGCAACAGCAGCTGCAAGGTCAATCGCAGATGCAACCGCAGATGCAACAACAGATGCAGGCACCACAGCAGCCGCAGCAACCCCAGCAACAGATGCAGATGCAGATGCAGCCGCAACAACAGGCACAGCTGCAACAACAGGTGCAACCGCAAGGGCAGCCCCAAGGACAACCTCAGCCACAGGTGCAAGTCAAGACGGAACCACCGCGGCCCGCACCAGTCAACACCGCTCTCGCTTCGGCTGCTGCACAGGCCCAGGTTGCTCAACAGACTGCATCTCCTGCTCAGGCAGCGGCACGAGTAGCAACCCCACAAACTGCAACACCCGTTGCTGGCCCAGGACAGCCAACACGAGCTCTCAGCCATTCAGCGGCAATGTCTCTCGCTAACCAGAGGGCGGCTGGAAGCACACCTGGAAGCGCACCACTGCCCAACCAGCCTGCAAACGTCAACACAGCTGCCGTTACGGCTACTACCACGAACCCAAATATGGGAGTATCGGGAGCGCAACTGCAGCAGGGCCATCCTCATGCCCACCCCACGCAACAGCAGCCTACCGTCCAGCCTAGAATGCCGATCCCCAAGCAGCTACCAGAAAAGGCTACTGCAGTGCCCCAGGGAGTGGCCGTTGGCGGCGGCGTTGTCCCTGGACGGCCAACCATGTCCCAGGGCGGCGGAACGGTGGGAGGTGTCATGAATCAACCAGCAGTGCCTAGAGTACCTGCATACAACCACGACGCCGAGGGTGACCACGTTCTTAGCAAAAAGAAACTGGATGAACTTGTGCGTCAAGTCTGTGGAGGATCTGCAGAGGGCCAAGACGGCAACCTGTTGACACCAGAAGTAGAGGAGGTGAGGACACATTGTTTGCATGAATTAACCGCACTATTGAGCCTGACTAACTGTTGTGACAGAGCGTTCTGAACCTGGCCGATTCGTTTGTTGATAATGTTCTACACGCGGCATGCAGGAACTCCAAGGAACGCGGCTCCAAGGTGCTCGAGATACGCGATATCCAACTCATACTAGAGCGAACTTACAACATCCGTGTTCCGGGCTACTCTTCTGATGAGCTGCGTACGGTACGCAAAGTTCAGCCCTCTACTGGATGGATTGCGAAGATGAGTGCTGTGCAAGCTGCCAAGGTGATGCCCGGAAAGGGCGAGTGATGTATCTCGAGCAACTATCATTTTCACGACGAAATTCAGGGGTGGGCGGTAATGAGAATCGGTATAAAAAGGCGTTTAAGGAAAGGGCAATACCTGGCCAGGAGGCCATCTACTATTTACTTTGCTTTTCAGCATGGAGGAAGGGTTAGCATTCCCCTCCCAGATGTCAAGGCTGGCTTGTCCTGAGGGACGTGGGCAACCATTGTGATATTTTCCTCTTAGGACTACCGGGAGAGATGCGGCTTGATGATACAGGGGCTAGTAGTCAACAAATAGTCACAAATTGCAGTATTACATCTGGCACTTGGAGAATGTTGAAGCTTCTGTAGAGCTCGTGGGTTGGAGCCCTTTAAGTAATGGGGCAGCAACGGCGCAGTAGTAGTCTTTGTTTTTTAATTTGGTGGTTTATGGCAGATGAACAACACTACAAGAAAGGGTATGTGCATTCTGTAGGCTTTACTTGGTGTCGTGTTGTGCTGAGGATGAAGGCTGAAGGTGTTGTAATTGTAATCAAATGCGCACTGTCGAGTTATTGCTGGCCTCTCCCTTGCTTGTAGGCACCAGGATGGCAAACGTCACTAAGGTGGTGGCAGCCCCACAGCTCGCACGGCTTATCAGAGATGCACGGCATTAGGTAAGTCCACGCTACCTCTGTGCCCGCCCACCGCACTGCGAAGCTCCTGGTACCGCGACATCGCTAGCCTTGTCCCTCATATTCCAGCACTTCTCCCACGCCTCCAAGCTTCGAACCTTCCACCTGCTCCAGACGCCGAGATTCACAACAAACAACCTTGGCCTCAGCGTTCGCAGCCCGACCCTCCCGGCTTCCCCAGAAGCTCCCCACGATCTCGAGTCCCCTGGCCCTGTTGCTGGCCTTGGTCTCTCTCTTTGTTCCGCCCTCGTGCCGTGGACAGACACATACGCACCGTTGACGTCTGACGGACCCAACAGCAGAGGTGGTCCATCCACACCGTCGTTTTCGAATCAATCGGACACGCCATTCCTTGTGTCTCTCTAGAACCTCGAGGGGCGGCATCCAAGTCTTTTCGCGTCATCCCCAGCTTAGATTCTGCCAGCCATGCCTAGCAAAACACCCCACAACAACGGTAAAGAACCCCCCTCGAAATTGATGTATCAGCAAGACCAAGGAAGCTAAGATGAAAGGTGGAAAAGCTGCCAAGGACGGGGACGATAGCATGACTGTAGTCGTGCCTCCTTCTAAGTCTTCCAAGCAGCCTGCTCCCTCAACCGATGCGGAAGGCGACGTGGCAATGGACGTGGACAAGACCGAGGAGGAAAAGGTTGACCCGGCTGTGCAAGCTGTAGCAGGTGAGCAAACCCGATGCGAAAGACGATTTACATATATCTGGTGAGCCCATGGTTTGCTGACGAATGCCTCGTTGCAATAATGCTTGCAGACATCAAAGCCAACTTTGCCCTCCTTGACCGTGCGGTTGCGCTCTTCGACGCTCGCTTTTCCCTGCGCGCCCTCCGATCCATCTCCCTCATCCGCAAACACCTTTCGCCAGATGTCATTGCACAGGCGATTGCCGACACATTCCCCGCCACCTCGGCGTCGGGCAGCATTGCAAAGAGCCTTTTAGCTGCGGTTGGCCGAGAGGATGTTGCGCTTGGCCGGGCTGCCGGCGCTGAGATGGAGGTGGACAGCGACGCAAAGGCTGCCAAGAACGGCACCTCCAAGAAGGAGGTAAAAGAGATCATCCCCGAGATTGACGTGTTCCTGGGCATTCTGGTCCAGGTCTATCTCTTCGATGCCAAGAAATACCAGCAGGGAGCCGACTTCTCCAAGTACCTGTCGGATCGTATCCAGACGCTCAACCGCCGAACGCTGGACTGCCTCTCGGCCAAGGTCTACTTTTACTTTTCGCTCTTCTGCGAGTACATCGTCCCGCTGCCACCGTCTCCCGAATCGCCCATTGTCGCCATCCGACCTACTCTTCTCGCCGTCCTCCGAACCGCCGTCCTGCGCAAGGACACCGATACTCAGGCTTCGGTCATCGTTCTACTGCTAAGAAACTATCTGCTGACGTCGCACATCAAACAAGCCGACCTGCTTGTCTCACATACGCAGTTTCCCGAGAATGCCGCCAACAACCAAGTGGCACGATTCTTGTACTATCTTGGGCGGATCCGGGCCATCCAGCTGCGATACACGGAGGCACACGAGCACCTCACAGCCGCCACCCGCAAGGCGCCGTCGAGCGGCTGTGCCGTGGGTTTCTCACAAACCGCCACCAAGCTATTGCTGGTCGTTGAGCTGTTGATGGGAGACATCCCCGACAGAGCCACCTTCCGACAGCCATCTCTGGAGGACGCCCTCCACCCATATTTCCTGCTGGTTCGGGCTGTGAGAGTGGGCAACTTGGAGGACTTTGAGACCACCATTGCTGATAATGCGGACATCTTCAAGCGGGACGGCACTTACACACTCATCCTCCGCCTGCGTCAAAACGTCATCAAGACGGGCATTCGAATGATGTCGCTATCATACTCTCGCATCTCCCTGCGTGACATTTGCATCCGCCTGCATCTTGGCAGTGAAGAGTCTGCCGAATACATTGTTGCCAAGGCCATCCGAGATGGCGTGATTGAGGCTACTTTGGACAGAGAGAAGGGATTCATGAAGAGCAAGGAAGTGGGTGATGTATATGCTACAAGAGAGCCAGGAGAGGCGTTCCATGACCGTATTCGGGCGTGCCTTGCCCTCCACGACGAAAGTGTCAAGGTAAGCTTTTTTTTTTTTTCATCCCATTTTATGTGCTTCCAAAGTTACACGAACTAACATGAGCAACAGGCCATGCGATTCCCCATGAACCAGCACCGTCTCGAGCTCAAGAACGCCCAAGAGGCACGCGAACGAGAGAGGGAAATGGCCAAGGAGATTCAAGAGGGCGATTTGGATGATGATGACCTTGGCGGAGACTTGGATGGCATGTAATAATTTTTTCCTTCACTCTGCTGATGTTTTTACTATGGCTACCTCTTTTTTCCCCCCCATGACATCCAAAACAATAGCCTCAAATTTCTATACGGGATCTTTGGGACCAGGTCTTTCTTATTGCAACCAGTGTGTGAGCTTCACCTTGAGATGTTTTTGGCGGGCGGCAATGGAGAGGTTTCTGTGACGTGAGTTGGTTTAATCTCATACTTGGGAGCCGGCCTTTTAAAATTAAAAGTATAGAGCGGTGCATCTGTATGGGACATGGAAGGTAAATGGGGGGGAGGAGGGCATCAATGACGATTTTATCGACGTTATACAAGGGTATGCTGTAGAGAGGAAGAATCGTAGCGATGGTGATGCTTGTGATGATGCAAGGTTAAGGGCAAAGACGATGGAGCTGGGAGTAGTAGCCAGCTCTTCTTTCTGGGCCAAGTAAGTAAATCGGGTAGCAGTGGCAGCCATTGGCCACAGCATCATTACTTAACTGTTAACGATTAATTCATTTTCATTCACTTTATTATTTTATTTTATGTTATTTGTTATTGTGATTCAAATTAGTCTAGCTCCTGAATCAAGCAAAGCCTCGTTTATGCGGGAGGCCGAAATGCAGTAACCCAAATGGCAAAGGACGATCGTCGGATCGCTTCCACGACATTCTTTCTGCCTAGACCAAGACATGAGATGCAGCCTTACGCCCTTTCCCCTCTGCGTCGACACTCATTTTTCAAGCTACATTTGACGCCCTGTCATTTCATTCATGCATAATGCACGCCTAACATCGATCTGATTCGATCGAGCAGGGGGCGGCGGCGGTGGCTTTGACTCACCTTCTCAGCCAGGGCTCTTCGGCGAGCCAGATTTGGGGTTGGAGAGCATTGACCGGGGGGGCGGGCGAGTTGGAGTAAGTATGCATGCGCCTTTTGACATGTCGTTTGTTTTGTTTGCCCTGCGATTAGTGCGGCGGTGACGATGGATTTGTATCATTTTTTGGAGTAAATTGGGAGATTGGATCGTGTGAGGCTGAAAAGGGCAAGGACGAGTGAGGGGAGGCGTTGGGCTGATTGGGCGAGTTGTCGACGTGTGAGTCTGACTGTCGCTAATTGAACGAGAGTCTTCGCTTTCTGGAGTTTATACATCTCTGTCTTTCTCTGTGTGCATACGTGCATCTGTATATGTAAGAGGATTGGATGCCGCCTCATTTCGGAGGAGTAGGTAGATATCAGTCGTGTACTCTGGCAGCATCTTGGCTCCGAATCAATCGCTTGCTGCATCGTCAGTCACAGTCCTTCATCATGGCTTCCGCTACTCAAGTCAAGCTTCTCGACAACTCGAATCCGTCTCTCGTGATCCGAATCAAACCTGAGAATGGCTCCAATGCAGAATCCAACGTTTCCATGAACGAGGCAATCTACCTTGCCGGGCTCTGCCGTTCTGCCCTCAACAACCTAACCACTTACATGGCCGATGTGCTCAAGCCTTCGCAAGGCTATACTGCGGACGATATCCTTGCACTGCCTCTTGATAAACACAGGATCGAAGACATCCTATACGATCTGCCCAGTCGCAAATCTACTCGCCACAACTTAGCCGTGGCCATTGCCTCGTTGTTGCATCCAGTCCACGATGGCTCACTCACAGCCATTATCCGCTACGACGCCGATCGAGTCCGTCTCCGCGCATGGGCATCTCTCCAACGTCGCTACGACCTGCTACAGGCCACCAAACGCAACGGCAGAATGGCCCCGGGCATGACTGGCGGCGTCGAAGCCGGTGTCCAGGCGCCTGCATGGGCTAGCCGTATCACCAGACAAGGGCCGTGGGATCGGTTTAAGAAACCCATCTCGCTGGACGGCACCAAGGCGATCCCCATGCCGGTGAAAGTCGCCCAGGAGGCGGAACTGGCGCCCTTCTTCGAGCATTTGTCCAACAACGGCAGCCACGAGATTGACGGCATCGAGGGCGCTGCCGAGCTCCATGACGGCCACGGAGAGCCATACTATAGCGTTCGCGGCGCAGAGTTCCGCAAAGGCGTCGTGTATGAAGATGGCCGGATGGATCTCTGCAAAATGGTTGTCGGACCTGACCATATCGGACGCCTGATGGATAGCTTGCGTACCAACACACACGTCCGACACTTCTTGCTGGGCAATAACATCATTGGTCCGGCTGGAGTCGAGGCCATTTCTCGATTCATCACCGAGTTTCCGGAGCGCATGGATACTTGGTATCTTGCCGGCAATTGCATCCAAGGAGGAGAGAGCTTCAAGATGCTGGTGGATGCGTTGATCAAGTCGCCAGCCGTGTCGAACGTCTGGCTGAAGCGGAATCCCCTTGGCCCGGATGCTGCCGAGGACGTGTATCGCCTCATTACCGAGACTAAGAATCTTCAGACGCTGGATCTTGACCAGACCGAGCTTGGGAACCGTGGCGTTGCTGACTTGTTCACCCGTCTGGCTGCCTATTCTCCCCCTGATGGCGGCAAGCTGCCTCTTCGACACATCTACATGAATGGCCTCGGCATCTCAACTGAGGGCGCTGCAGCTATCGGCAAGTTCCTCGCATCGCCACATTCCGGCGTGACGTCCATCTACATGTCCTGCAATCCCCTTGGTGACGAGGGAGCTCAGGCCCTGGCTGATGCACTGCCCAAGGCACCGTATCTGGCTCGACTGTTCTTACAATCGGTTGGAGTCAGCACCCAAGGTGCCATGGCGCTGTGCGAAGCCTTGACCGGGCACCCCAGCATCAGGTCTCTGGATATCGGCCAGGCATATGCTACCGAAGACCTTGGCCAGGCGTATAACTATGTGGAAGACGAGGCAATCCCAGCCATGACTCAACTCCTCAGGGGCACGCCTCAGCTGCAGTTCTTCAACTTGGGACACTGTGCCACCACGCCGCCGGGCCTCCTCAAGCTGACCCCAGCGATTCTTGAGAATCCCAGCATTTTGTATTTCTTTGCAACATCGATCTTAGCTGATACGTCCAGGAAGCCGGTGGCTTTTATACCGTCAATCGACACAGCATTCCCTCATCCGGATGCTCCATCCGCGGAACAAATCAAGTCGGACAAGGCCATACGAGAGCATCTCGAAGCCAATGTGAAGACAACCTTTGGCCAGGACATGTCCTATCCAGACTTCATGGCTGAAGAGAAACGCTGGCTCGTCAACGACAAAGTAGTGCGCAAAATCGACAGTGTGTATCGCAACCGGGATGCAGGACTGGCGCGCCGTCGCTTGCTGACTCTGGTCAAAAATTGGGAAGAGGGAGATGACACTTTGCAGAGAGTCATGAATGCTCGTGGAGCACCGAGCTGCTCGTTGCGATAAGTGGTGTTGCTTTCATATATGTTAGGCCTCTGTTCCTGTTCTGGGGGGGATGCGTGATGCTGCGATGGTGGATTGGAGATGGCTCTTTTGGTGATTTATATGCCCTTGAAATATTGAAAAGCTGGAGGAGGAAAAAAAAAAGAAGGGAGTGCCAATGTTTGATATTTTATTTAGTGCTTTCATCAGAGTTTGCTGCGAATGGAAATGCCTGTCATATGCCTGCTGGTGTGACGTAGATGATGGGTGCTATCAGCACATGAAGGCTGCATGATAAACCACCCACCACAAGGGACTGCATCAAGCCCAGATGATGGTAATTCATTATAAAGGGGAGATTCTCAGTCATCGAGATGCTTGTGAAGTTGTCAAGACACAAAGCAGTCGCCATCCAAGATACTCACCTCATGTACGCCCTTTACGCGACCCCACGTGACAGGTCCAGACGCGGGCTTCTTCCTGCCGCAAACCACCACAGCTCCCGTCTAGCTATATTCACCAAGTCTCTAGTCTATACTCCAAACCTCTCTGTACTGCTCGATACTGCTCTAAACGCTGATTTAACCGTTTCCTCTGCTGCTCCTAGATGGCTTCGTCGCATCCGTGTCCGCATCCAGCCGTCCCGTGACATCCCAGCCCATGCGCAACGCTCTCGAGAGGCTCCTTTTCCCATTCGCATCCCAGCAAGAGGCCGCTCTGGCCCCAGCATCAAGCGATGCCGCAAAAGCGCAAGCGACCAGACGAGCCTGATCCTGCGGCTGCGGCTGACCAGCAGTCCGATCCGCAATCCTCCACACGCCGTGCGACGCGTCAGACTCCTGTCCTGCCTCCTCCGGTTCCCGCCTCTGCGCTCGTGCCGCCGAATCCTGCGCCTCCAGTCGCCGCGACGCACAAAATGACCGCTCCTGTGCCCGCCGTCACCGCCGTTCCTCTGCCTCCGATCCTCGTGGCCGATCCGCTGAAGCGAGGCGCGCGCAATGGGCCTCGCCCGCCTGGCGCGAACGCCTCCCCTCTCCCTCCTGCTGCTGCCACTGTTCAGCCTCTCCCGCCGCTCCCAAACCTCCCGACAGCTGCTCCCCGCAGCGCAATACCTCCGCCGCTCTCGCCTGGCTCCAGAGTTGCGGCGGCTCCTGTTGTGCCAACCCCCCCTAAGCGGACAGCTGCCATGGCCGAGTTGAACAACAGCGTCTCTTCCAAGGAACGTAGGCCACCCTCGGATCTGGTTGCGCCCGAGATCACGTACCACGTTCCTCAGGCGAATCAACATGGCCGACAGTCTTCATTGGTGCGGCCTCACGGGCCCTCAGCACCGCCTCCAAGACTGGATAAGATAGGGCCAGCACCAATGGTAATTACGCCGGTACTACCTCCTAAGCCGCCAACGCTGCCGGTATCTGATCGACCACCTCCGAGGACAGATCGTAACATCGACAAGGTTGTTTTGGGAAACTTATGCTTCCGCACGTGGTATCCCAGCTACTACGGTAAAGAGGTTCTAGGGGCTACATCGGGCAATGCAAAGGGAGGCAGCAAGGAGGGGCTTCTTGACGTGGCCGGCAAGGGGCCATCAAAGAAGGAAAAAGATGGCTTGCCCATGTTGGAGAGGCTCTACGTCTGTCCCAGCTGCTTCAAATATGCCAAAGAACTTGTGGCCTGGTGGGGTCATGTCAAGCTCTGCCAGCAGCGAGCTCATGTCCCGGGCAATAAGATCTATGTACACCCCAAAGGCAGGCGGACCGTGTATGTTCCGCAGGATGGCAGTCGAGGTTCAGGGCAGAAGAAGCGACGGGGAGAGGGAAACATACGATACGTTGAGGAAGTTGTTCAAGATGAGGGAGAATGGAGCCTCTGGGAGGTGGACGGAGAGCAGGATGTGGTCAGTCCTATCACGCGCAATTGACCCCTTGAGAGCTGTTAACTAACCTTGCTTGTCTCAGCTCTTTTGCCAGAACCTGTCCCTCTTTGCGAAGCTCTTCCTGGACAACAAGTCCGTCTTTTTTGACGTGACGGGCTTCAACTATTTCTTATTGGTATATACGCCGCCAACAGTGGCAACACCGTCTGGTATGCCTGCTCCCCCTGTGACACCCCAAATCACAGGCTTCTTCTCAAAGGAGAAGATGTCGTGGGATAACAACAATTTGGCGTGCATCCTCATATTTCCTCCGTGGCAGCGCAAGGGACTCGGCGCCCTCCTAATGGGCGCTTCCTACGAAATCTCGCGACGAGAAGGCATCATGGGCGGCCCGGAGAAGCCTATATCTGATTTGGGCAAGAAGGGGTATCAGCGCTTCTGGGCTGGGGAGATTGCCCGCTGGCTGCTAGGCCTGGACGTTGCGCAGACGGATCCGGAAAACGGGCAAGAGACGCTTGTAGATGTAGAGGATTGCAGTCAAGCGACGTGGATTACACCGGAAGACTGCTTGGGTGTGCTGAGAGACATGGGTGTCGTGGAGGATGCTGGTATTGGGCCTGGAAAGCCAGAGCCTTTGGATGACCAGCAGGTGCCGCTATCGGAAGAAGACAAGAAGAAGAAGCAGGCAGCAACTAGCGAGGAGGATGCGGCGAAACAAAACATCAAAAGAGCATCGGCCGAGGCAGAGGATGAGAAGCCGAAGCCCAAGCCGGCCGTCAAACAAGTCCCGAGAGTCCGAGTCGATAAGGAGGCAGTGCGGCGATACGTGGCGGCTCATCGACTCGTTTTGGACAAGACGTGTGATTCGGATGGTTTCATAGAGGGATATGCCATGAAGACGGCGGAGAAGGCAGCCAGCGAAAGTGCTGAATCTAGAGACGAGGCTTCGGCGAGAGGATAGAAGATGTGGGTGGGCCTTGGCGCAATGGGAATTACAATGATACCCCTTTGGATTTATCTTTTTTTTTCTAAGTCATCTGCTGGCTTGATATTGCCATTTTACTGTCTTGATTCTGTGCTGTATTAATTACTGGCCCTGCGTGGTTAGTATGCTTCTTCCCAAGAAACTTAGAAGCTACTCCGTACGATTTTCATCTTAATCATCCATCGTTAGTAGGCATAGGATGGCGGTCCGGTTCACGCTCCATCCCGATAGTCACAGGAATAAGCCGAATTAGGCCTTGACATGCATACAGATACAAACCAAATCTCTAAGACTCGCCCAAATAGGAAGTCTAGCGTATCTACGGAGCATTATAGTAGCTTCCGACTCGAAGCTCTTCAAGTCTCTCACTGGCTTGGTAGAGTTAGACACCATGTGAGAAAACCACTCGGAATCCACATGATGCCAGGCCAAGGAACAAAAAGGCCTCTCTTTTTGTAGCCTCGGTCATACACATGGAACAGCAATGCGCGATATAGACATATCACCAGGCATCGTCTACATCATTCTCCATAGTTTCTGATCCGGATAATTCTCGTCGTTCGGAGCCAGGCATAGCGACACGCCCCCATGTCGTCTATCGCATATCCTTGTCGTTTTTCAAAGGGCCACTTCGGAGCAAAGAGAACCGCTACGTTGCAACAAGGTCAGTGTGAGTGGGAAGCCAAACCCTTGCGACAGGCGCTGCGTGGGATGAATGCATGCCTGAGGACAAGGGGGTGTGGGAAAGGCCAGCTGAGGCGGCAGATTGACAGATCCATCTGCTTGGTTTGAGCCTAAGGCAACCTCACACCCATGACAGCTCGACAATCTATGGTAGGAGTGCGGAATGCTCCCTTTTGAGCAGCCTAGCGTATCAATCTTTATCAAATCGAATCGCAGCCGCAATAACTCGAATTGGGATTTGTTTCTGGCTTTGTCAAGCTTGACCCTCTCGGAGTCGTAAAAGTCACTTGAGGCATTTGGTAGCAGCGCGACTCGTCAAGTGGCCAAAACTCGAGAAGCACGAAAGAACATATTCCGTGCACGTCACTGGGAAAATCCTGCTGCAGGATTCGACTTTGTGCGATGCGCAGCTGCATTGCTCGTGCACGGCCAGATCCGTATCTGTTCAAATGCGTCATTTTGCGACATTTCTTCGTCTTCGAGCAAATGCGATAATGCCGCCGCTCCAAGGGTCCAAGGCCATGGCGAGCCGGACTAGTGGGACCCTGGATTTGCCAGCTGAGCAGCGAGGCTCGGGCTCATGGAAAAATTTTCGCATCCGCCATCGGATTGTGCGCCGTAAATTTTAGGCCGAGCAGCCGGGCGATTGGCCTGTCACCGCCAGACATCCCACCCCTGCGTATTGCGTCGTTAATGTAACGCGGCGGCACGAATAGCGGCGGCAATAGCGCTGAAGAGGGTGTTGGGCATCTTGCTCCTATTGGACACACCGTGACGCTGGAAAGGCACAGCAAGATTGATTGAAATCTCAGCTATCCAGGGCACGTCATGCTGCGTCGTAGTAGCGGCGAAGCTGCGGCAAGGTTCGGCAGTCAGCGTTCCAGAGCATGCTGCGGAATACCGCTGGTCTCCTTTGGTCGGTATCGTTGCGTTGATCCGTTGCTTTTCGGCTGATGTTTCATTTGAGCTGTTATCGTCATCCATCATCGAGTGTATCGTCTCATCATCGTGCATCGATGCTTGCTTGTGCCGAACACTTGGCCGAGGATCAGTAGTAGATACGACGGGCGGAAGGGCGGCCGGAGCTCGGTATTAGTCGTCGCATGTAGTAGCAGCCGGTAGGAGGTATTGTTGTGAGGGCCAAGCAAGGTCACCCTGCCAGCTGCATTTGCTGGGAGGGGGTTTGACACACATCCATATTGTGCCTGCAGTTTGGCATTTCACCAAAACTTTCAAAGAAAAGGTCGGGGAGATGCGGCAGGAATACGGCTTCCCTTTTATACCGCTACGCAAACTTTGCTTCTTGCTTGCAATGGAAGAGTCATCAGGGGCCCCAGCCCAGGTCTGACGACAGCTCGAGCCTCGAGCACTTGAGCATGAGCTGTGACTCCTGTCCCCATCCTTATCTCAAATGGCATCAACTGGTTCCGAAATCACACGTCTTGTACCCGGCCTCAAGGTATAGTTGTGATCCAGCAACACTGCTCGCCGCTCTGTAAGCTCCCTTGGAGATACATTGAGTCGATGTACTTGACACTTCCATTTCCTCCTTCACACCCCTCCAGCGTCCGTGACCGCAAGAAGCCAGGCAAAGATGCAATCAAAGTCGGAAAACCCTTGCAGGTCCACCCACGTGTCAGGCACCCAATTATCTGGTTGTTCTGAGCTGTACGGCACAAGGCGGCATTCGTATCATTTTTGCACGGCTCCTAACCATGACGCCAAGTGGGGCGTGGGGGCTTGCGCCAAGGAGCCTCATCCAGTCGTAGAACCTCATGCTATCTGAACGCGGCAAAAATTCTCTATCCGATAAGTCGATCCTGATATAGGAGTATCAGAATTTGCCTAGCCGGCCTTTCTTTATGCCTCAGACAACAACAAAGCAGAAAATTTTTCTGGGCTCGCTGGGCCAGCCCATAATACATGGGACTGGTCAACCACCAACCTCGGATGCAATCACTCGCAGCATCATCTGGAAGAGGGGGATTTTATTGCGTCGTAGAAAGTTGGTGGTGGTGGTGGTGGTAGACATGCGTTTGGTTCGATTAAGGTTCGCACCAAAGACTTTTGCCGTGCTGCCAATAGATACCTTGAATGAAGCCAATGGCTTTTTTGGCAAAAACGTCAATAGCCACTGGCAATCACCCTTTGCTCTTCATTGGAATGCCGGCAACTCAAGGTTTCGGCTCCCACAAAAGCTAACCGTCTGTCGAGAAGATGGACGCCTCAGGCTGTAAAACTTTCGAGGGAGCAAACGAAGAGCTTGCCTCAGGCTGTTTGCAGAGGTTGTGAATCCGTACCCGGCTTCCCCCGATTGGACGAGAGAGCATTGGTGGCATGCCTTGACCGGTCCTAAGATTTGCACCACAACTTTTCCAATGCAAATGGCCTTCGGCCTCAGTCATCCACTTGCTCCGGCGGTGGGAATTTCACTCGTTTGTCCAACTTGGCCCCGGCTGACCTCCCTCATGCCCCTAGGCCAATCCTCGAGGTGGGTCCTCTTTTCTTGCCATTCCTCCATCCAGCTCCAGTTCTCTTTTTCTCTCTCCTTCTTCCTCCAGACTTGACCTTTACCTCACTCCATCCAACCCTTTCAGTCCAACCTTCCAATCCCTCCTCAAACCATCACAATGGCCTCCCGTGTCTTCGCCTCCCGCCTGGCCTCCCAGATGGCCACCAAGGCTGCTCGCCCTGCCATGCGTGCTCCTCTCGCCGCTGCCAAGCGCACCATCACCACTGGTGAGTCAAGAGAAAACTTTTTTTCCCTCAGCAAATGGTCTTCAAGTTGGAGCTTTTCGATCCTCCAGCGAGGTCCTTAGCATAGCTCAATTGGTTGAAACAATGGCTGACATCAATTCGTGTAAAGGCAGCCCCATGCAGGCCATGAAGCGCCAGACCATCCAGGCTGCTGGCCGCAACGCCTTCCAGGCTCAGCGCCGCGCCTACTCTTCCGAGATCGCCCAGGCCATGGTTGAGGTCTCCAAGAACTTGGGTATGGGTTCTTCCGCCATCGGTCTGACCGGTGCCGGTGTTGGTATCGGTGTCGTTTTCGCTGCCCTCATCAACGGTGTTGCCCGCAACCCCGCTCTCCGTGGCCAGCTCTTCTCCTACGCCATTCTGGGTTTCGCTTTCGTCGAGGCTATCGCTCTTTTCGACCTCATGATTGCCCTGATGGCCAAGTTCGTAAGTTTTGCCGAGGTTTACCGAGACATTGAGTTGAGTCAATTTCTAACCATTCGCCCTTTAGACCTAAATTGTCTCTCGAGAGATTGGAAAAGCTCCGGCCAGTGGATGGAGCAACTAATATAAGGGGACGACGTTGGACCGTCCGCCACTTGGAGTTTGATGGTTTGTCAAATGCAATTGGGGTGCCAACGTGCACATAAAACGAGGAAGACGCTGCATCATAGACGGTGTTAGAGGTTGGGGAAGGTGGCCATCGATGAAAATGGTGTCCTCTGTCTCATAGATCTTGGGTAAAGCCCATCATGCTCCTTCATGGAGTCGATTGTAAAATAAAAAAAGCCTCAATTTATTCCGGCTCTTCGTTAATGGAGAGTGTTGATATGTTCAATCCTTGACGTGGACCAAGAGATGCCAATGTCGATATTATGGTAACACTTGTTACGGCTGCTTGAGTATCGGAATTTTTCCCCCGTCCTCACACATTCAGAAATTAGCTTCATGAAGACACCGGATGAACAAGCTGAAGCTCCGTAGACAGAGCTCCTACCATGCACAACAACTATAATTATACAGGCAATCAGCTCACGCCAGCGCTGTATTTTCAGCTTTCACCGACTTGGTGAGGCCTGAGGGTTATGATGTGCGTGATATATCAACCAAGGTGTCCACAAACTGAAGGGACGAATTGCTCCACACGGTGTTAAAGTGCAGAAGCCTCTGGTAGTGGGGGAGGGGTTTTGTCGTGGTCTTGTGCTTCACTGAAAGCTGACGTGATTGTTTCATGAGTGGACTGGGGAATAATGGCCTTTGGTGATTTGGTGGATCTAAACGAGATAAGAAGAACGAGTCTTGTGCCCCATAGTGGATCAAGATCAGGCGTAGAGCAGGAGACGATATATACCAGCTGAATGCCTGTTTACCAGTGGCTATCGCAGACTTCTTGACATGAGATGCGTATTTGATTCTTTGGAGGTACGATGCGTTGACTGCTCCAGGTTTTGAACAGGCGTGCGTTTGTCGACCAACCATGGAAGTCATTTCGAGCAACTCATCATTTGCGATAGCGGAACCAGCTTCTTTTCACTACCGAAATGTGCGGCGCCCCGATGACACGCTTTCTCTGAACACATGGATGGACCATTTCGACGAATTCCAATGGACTGATGTGAAGTTTGCTTTGATAAACTGGCATGCATAATGAAGATCCCAGGAGGATAACCAGGCTAACATTAATCATTCGCCTTGGCCCCATATTGGTCGAGTTGACGAAAAGGGGACATCAAGGATCCAGAGGCTCTCTTTTCATCGAAACATTTTCTTTTTGCACGTGCCATTTTCATCATCTCAGATGTGATGGTGCCGTTTTGGGCCAAGTGGACTGAGGCGTTCATGTACTCGTGTTGACATTCTTGAGGGCAACCGACTTGGCGATCAAGTGATTGCACGATGCTTCCATTCGAGTTCGCATTCACTTCAGGACATGGGAGATTCCTACTGAGTGTTAGCTGGCTGCGACTTTTACCGACGATTCAAGGAAAAACTCACAAGCAAGCACGCGTCACGGCATCGTGCATCACCTACCGTGCCATCCCGGTCAGAAGAAGCAATGCCTTCACCCTCGTGGCATGGCGCTGCTCAAACAATCGAAATTGCAGCATTTGACAGGTCCGCTCGTAGCAGATGAACGGAAGATGCGTGGTAAATGAACAAATCAGCAGAAAGGGGAACAAAAGACATGCAGTCGAGATGCCTTCCCCTCACGATTCCCCTCACGTGTCACATGACCTCTCCTGATGCAATGCAAGAAGGTTACATCAGCCATTCACTTGGAAAATTTTCTCTGTTGATTGAGCCTTGTCGAACGATTTGAAACAGGGATTCAGGATTTCCTTTGATGATCGGAAATATGCTGGGCAGTAGTGCTGCAGCAAGTGTTGCAGTTGCAGTGCGATGAAAGGGTTGCGTTGGCAAGATTGAGTTTAAGCCATGGCTTGAGGTTGCCGAAGCCACCAACCAGGACTGCATACGTGCTGAGGCTAATGGTTTTACAGCATACATGTAAGGTAAGGAGTCGCGTGCAGCAAATAATAAGGGAGGGAGAGGCCTGATTGCTGTCAGACGATCAATCAGGCCACAAGCCTTGATCGGGCAAAGCTGTGATGCAGATGTGCTGTGTAATGTGCGACTCCTTGCCGCATTTACCAGATTACTGATAGATTGATACTACCCTGATGCCGAGAATTTCTCTTATTGAACTGATAATTGTTCACCATCATGTAGGCAGCAGATATAGAGAATTTGCACGGAAGTAGTCATTGTCTAACATATTTAACAAGCATATCTGTGTACATGTAGGCTACTATTTACATGCATTCATTCATCACGGTATCTTAGACTCTATGATTTCTCAAGTAATCAGATTCAACTCGAAAAGGGAAGCTCTGAGATAGTTCCCCCCTTGTCAGCTACCTATGTGCAACGCCGTTCTCTGCCTGTATTCCCAATTGATGGCCAATGCTATTAATCTATGCATGTAGCCAATTCCGACTTGAATGTTTTTTTCACTTCTTAAATGTAGCACTCTTCTCGCCCCTAATTGGTGGCATCCGTCTTGCCGGTTTAATCTCATCATCACCTGTCTTCGCGTATGGGTCAAACACCTTCTTCTTGTCTTCTTGAGTCGACTCCTTGGCCTCATCCCTCTTGGCATGAAGGACTGATGCTGCTTTGCTGTAATCGAAAGGAACAGCTTGGTACGTGGCGCGATCTGCCGTGCCCACATGCTGTTGTTGAGTCTTCCGCTGCTCTTTACGGGCGAGCTTCTCCTCTTGTCGCTTGGTACGGAGCTCCAAGCGTTGTTGCTCCTCAGCCATCTTGGCTTCTTCTCTCTTCCTCTTCTTCTCCAGCTTCTTCGCCCTCTTCGCAGCCCCAGGGACTACGTCTTCAGCCTCTATCTCAATGACAGCGCCATCGCCCATAGCATCGTCTTGCATCTCGCGGTCACCATCGGAAGCTGAATCGACTTCACTAGATATCGGCTCATCGTTTTCAATGGCTTCGGATTTTCTCTTTCTTCCTCTCCGCAAGGTAAATTCCTCGTCCTTTTCATTTTCGGCGGCGGGGACGATGGCTGCTTTTGCCGATTCTTGTGTTGCAGCGGGTACCTCTTGGACAGGCTCAGTTCCAGCAACGAAGTCGGTAGCGTCCTCGACAAACCGTTGCCAAGGGAAAGGGAAGTAGTCTTCTCGTACGGCAACGGCTCCCTTTGTCTCATCCCATCTTGAGCTAACAGCAACATCTCCAAACAACTGCGAGCGTTGTAGTTTGGTGGCCGTAGCAGCTCCTTCTAATTTGGCGGTTTGGCTCTGGGCCTTTGTTACCCTAGGAATTCCACCCCTTTGCTGTGATGATGGATCTCGGGAAGTAAAAAATTGCAGCAGGGTTGGTCCCCCCTTTGCCTTTTCCTCTTGTATCTGACTCCAAATCTCGTTCACTTTGGATCGGGCCAGGGGAGCAGTAAGCGGTAGTAGACTGTGGAAGGCCTTGGCATCCGGAGGGTTGGCACGTGCAATTTCGGTCAGGTTGGAGGTGCCCAGTACGAAATTGGGATTCTCGTCTTCTGTGCGCGCAGTCACGTCTCGCCACTTCCAAAGAGCCCTGAAGATTGCAAACTGATCACTCTTGTAGCCAAAGTGCGAATTCTTCAGGACGAAATTGTACCAGCCCCTGGACCCTTCGCCAGTTTCTTCGTTGAACTCAAGATTCTCATGGCGTGAAAGTGAAAGCCCTCGCGATTTTTCTAGAACAATACTAATGAGATCTTTGTCAGGGTTGCTACGGTCCGATAACTGGACCAGGTCGTTTCGAATTTTGTCGTAGATGTAGAGAAGGTAGTGGGTATCTGAGCGGGCGTAATACATCATCTCTTCAGGGAGCGGTCTAACAGGTATTAGTGAATATGATGATAATACGGAGGGTTGGTTGTTGCCTCTTACCGTATCCTCCAATCAGCCAACTGATATCTCTTGTCGGCTTCGAAATTGACAAACTTGGAAAGAAGAAATGCTAAGCTTCTACTCGAATAATGTAAAGCTTCGCTTGCGAAAAATGTGTCGAAAAGTCCATTGACGTAGAGTCCAAGATCTCGCTGAAGCCAAACCATGTCCATGTACGCGCCGTGAAAGACCTATAAAAGGGTATGAGCAACAACTAGAATATTTGGTAGACGAAATCCTTACCTTGACAATAGTTGGGTCAGCGAAGACCTCGTTGAGGACTTGGAGCTTATGTCGCCAAGGCTTCAAAGTATCAACAATCCAGTCCTTTTCTCTAGTGCTGATTTGCATCAGGGATACGAGGCCAATATATGTCCTGAAATCGTGATGCTCTAAATCAACAGCAATTTCTTTTGCCTTTTTCAACTCCTGGAGCATGTCGACAACGCCCTCGTACGTGTCAACCCATGTGGCTGCGGTCGACTCGACTGGTTGAGGTGGCATCGGGTCCTGGATTTGGAATACTCGATCGGGGTACTGCATACTTGATATCTCTGCTTCATATGGATGCTTGTATCTAATGTGAAAAGGGAATTGTTAGTAAGGAGACTAGCATGCGCCGAATGTCTCTGACATAAACTTACTGAGGCGCCCCATTGTCCGCGACAAATGTGACAAGGCTGTCATCCAGAGATACATCTGCGTGTGGTTTTTCCGTCAACAGAGGCTTCCATGGACCATCAGGAAAGTTATTCGGTTTGAGTTCAAAGTCCAACTGTGGCTTCTTCACGTTGGCGTTGCGGATGACTTTGCCGGTGGGCTTGGTTTGCTTTGCCTTGGAGTTCTTGGTTGGTAATGATGAGTTAGAATTGCGTGTCGCATGTTCAGTTGGAGCAGACTTACGGAATCGGAGTCTCCATTCTCTCGTTGTTTGACCAGTCCCGTATACTCGTCGATGGCCCTATCTGCCTTTTCCAGAACAGAGTCCACCACGTCCACCACTTTGCGCCAGTTCATGTCCACATCTTCAGGGTCTTCTAGCTTTGGAGGTTTTAGACCACAGGCTCGAGCGGCCGAGTTCAGAAGCCGCGTCGAGAGGTCGAGAATGCGCGACGTTTTATCGTCGAGCTGCTCAGCAACGTCTGGGTTGACGGTGCGCTGGAAGCTCAGGTCATGCGATGCGATGCGATTGGCCGACTTGATGGTTGAGATGAGGGACTTTTGGACCTCCTCTTGGAGGGAATTGAAATCTTGCGACGATTCCATGGCGATGCGCAGCTCCCCCAAGGCGACGGGGTGATGAAGTCGTCGCCGCCGCGATTGGCATCAAAAGGAAAAAAAGGCCCTTGCCACGGAAGATGCTTATCGATAACAGAAGTTGATGGGTCGCGTCCCCATGCATCTGCAGCTTTGCAAGCGCACGGAAGAGTGGGACACCTCTAGAGAGGTACTACTTCTAGGCAGATAATAACGATTATAGTAAGGACCCATTTTGTGTTAACTTATGCCAGCTTGATACTACTGCCAGCTTGTACTGGTGAAATATTGTTACATGTTATGAACATGATTTAAGGTACCTTAGTACCTACTGGGTAGCACTGCTGAGGTACTAAACAGAGATTGGAAGACAAAAGCCAGTTCTGGCCTCGTCCTGGATTTTTACTCCTACCATCTGAGAAGCTTCTCCCAGTTTGTAACCTAAGCAAATCACAAGTTTAACAGCTGAAAAGGAAACCTAGAGTTCTCAATTCGGTCCAGCGGCCTTGACACCTGAGTCATCCGTTCCACTGCCGCTACACTGCTGCCTGCTATGAACACGAACATGAGCTATACCAGAGAGACCACCATTCCCCAACTTGCAGAGAATGAGCCGCCGCTCTACAGATTTATTTGTCCCTCTTTCTTCCCGTCCGTCCGCTGTGCATACTGAGCTGAGACACTTCAACACCGATCATCAGTATGGCATCGCGCCGCTCGGCACGGGCAGTTGATTCCCTGGTGGAGCCCATCCCCAGATATCGCATCGACCTTGACCTTCCTCCAGCTGAGCGTTATGTCAAGATGGCCTCGGATTTTGCGCCGCAAATGAAAGAAATCACTCCGTTATTTGACATGGTTCTCGAGTCAGCAGTGCCGTGGTTATTCCTACGCTCCATCATTAAATTTACAGCGTCCCTCATTCTTCGGCGGGTATATTCATCTGAAGAAACGCAAGAATTAGTAGGCATTGCGAAGGCTAGCGGAGTAGATATGTATTTCCTGGTGGCCTTTAATCTGCTGCTTGATACTTTGTTAGGGTGTACAAGCGGCGGAGTCCTAACCCGGCTCAAGAAGGGAGAGAGGCAAACCCATACGGAGCCGAGCGCGAGGATGATGCATTTTCGAACTTTAGACTGGGGAATGCCTGAACTTAGGAGTGTACTTGTTGTCTTGGAGTTCGTGAGGTCAAAGTCTGAGGAGCCTCAGACGGTGATTGCGAGGACCATCACCTATGCTGGGTTTGTTGGCGTGTTGACCGGAGTGAGGTAGGCCGTATTGCATTGAGACTCTGGAGCTGTTACAAGCTTACGATCCCGCAGGCAGCACCTTTCTTTATCACTCAACTTCCGGCCTGGCCACAGCTGCTCTACATTGTCCCTTCGCATTCACCAGAGCCTCGTGCTCCTCGGTGTCCGGCCATCTATATCATCAGTCCTCCGCCAACACTTTCTCCGCCCAGAGCGCCATCATCCAACCATCACCGACGTGGTTAAATCCATCACGGGAACACGGACGGCGCCCTGCTACGTAATACTCTGCTCTGGCGCGGAAACTACCGTGGTTCAGAAAGACCTCGTCAACGCGCAAACAAGGTCAGCCGTCGACTTCATTGTGCACACAAATCACGACTTAGCGCCAACGGACCAGTCACCTCAGGCATATAAACAAAAGGAGAGCAGTTCAGTCTTGGGTATGGAAGCACTGGTTGAGGAAAGTGAAGAGCGAATGGATTGCATTCTGAGCAAATGGACTGCACTGGCCAAGAGGCATGAACGTGAATTAAAGAGAGGAGGAGAAAGAAAAAGCCCTGCTATTTTCGAACATACATTGCAAAGATGGGTGAAATCGTATCCCATTATGAATGAATGTACTCATTTTGGGTGTATTCTGGATCCGGGGACCGGGACCATTCGTTGGCTGGAGAGAGGCGTTCTGGACCTCGAGGATACCGAGATTGTAGGGGAACTAGTATAAAGCGACTATACCTGCCAGTGATGGCAGCATTATCCATGGCAATGAAGCGATGCAATGAGCGTTTTATTTATAAGTTGTAGCGAATATTTACCAAGGTCAGCAACATATACGTCCATTCGAGGTAACCAATGGTACAAACAGTGGGGCGGAAATATCCTGTTTTGGTTTTGGTCTCGCCTTACAAGCTCACCTGCTACCTTGAATTCATTCAACAATTCCTTTGCTTACCACTGATACTGTATGCGACAGCACTCTGTCTGTCCAACCTCGGGCAAGAAAGAGGCAGCATTAAATGTCTCACGCCCTTATCTGACAGAGATATTCCTGAGCATCATGTGGCTGGTTTGTGCTACCTATCAGAGTAGTTGGAGGCATCTAAGCCATATGAGTGGAAAAGGAGCCAGAGCAATCCCATGAAAGGATGGATTTGAAATTCGAATGAAGCCTTTATCTCGCTCGTCCTCTCTCACACCGGCACTACGAGTACATGGATGCCACATAAGACCAAATTTCTTCGGCCCGGTTGAATAACCCCGTCAAAGTATTTGCGCAGTCCAATGTCATGCATGGCCATGCTGCTCTCACTCATTGGCCAGCGCCCTCAGGAACTGAATTTGACGCACCCCCCATCTTACATGTTACCTGGGCTACGGTAGAATTTTCCGGGCTGTAATGCCAGCGCCGTAGATTGACGTCAATAGAAGCTGGCAAGCGTCAATTACTTCAATATTGTATAGCATCAGCATCAGCATCAGAGCTTAGTCGTTGTTGCATATTTTTCTAGCAGCTACCTAGTTTACTAGCATCCATGGATGTCTAAGATTCTCTTCCCGCTTTGATTGCTGATCGCTGATCCCCAACATGGCAAAAACGGACTGTTTGCTCCGACCTCTCACATGCACAAAACAGCCATGCTCCAGCTGACGAGCACAAGCATTTCTCCGGTCCTTGCAGGGCGTGTCACAGTACCGGCATTGATCCCTAGAGGTAGGCAATAGAGGTAGGCAGGCAGAGGAAGAGAATATCCCTCATCACCGTTGCAAACAACAATCCTCGCTGTGCCTTGTATGCGTGACTGCGTCAGGGAGCTGTAATGCAACCTGCTTTAGGCCTTGCTTTAGGCCCTCGAGCTGTGCTAATACGGGCAATGGCCGCTAAAAAGGGCCCCAAAAGCTGCCCCTCCCCCTCCCTGCTAAAGGCTGTGCCGCCCTGCCCCTCCTCGCGAAGCTTTATATAATAAGATCCATTGGATGCGACATAAGCTTTAACACAACCATACACGCAACTGCCTGCTTCTCCTCCGTCTCTGCTTCTAGCATAGAATCGTGGCAAATTCACTCGTCCCCCTGCCAAGCGCCTGATGGTTGTGAGTCCCTCTGCGCGATAGCAACTACCATCCCAAAGGGCCGCCTGGCCGTGCGCCTCCCGAAGCTTTTTTTTGCCTGAGCTCAAGTCTTGAGCTACGACGCAAATTGTCGTCATCCCGAGCCCATCAATCAAGTCGCCACGCCTAGCCGAGCTGTTAGTCGCAGCCACTGTCGTCGTACCGAATAGCTTCATTTCGAACCCTTCGCCCAGCTGAACCAAAGTAGCTGGATCTCGACCGACAAGCTACAACCAAGAGCTTCGGCGGGTAGAATCAACACAATGCCTGCTGCTGTTGGATCAAACGGAGAGGGCACCAACTCGGGCCGTCTCCTTCTCCTCTCGAACCGTCTTCCCATCACCATCAAGCGCTCCGACGATGGAAGCTACAGCTTCTCCATGTCGTCCGGTGGGCTGGTCACCGGTCTCAGTGGCCTCAGCAAAACGACCAGTTTCCAGTGGTATGGATGGCCGGGTCTCGAGGTCCCCGAGAACGAAGTCGAAGGAATGAAGAAGCGTCTCAAGGATGAATACGGCGCCCATCCCGTCTTCATCGACGACGAACTAGCAGACAGACATTACAACGGCTTTGCCAGTGGGTTCCTCTCGCCCCCATGTCCCAAGTGCACATAACGATGCTGACATGTATACTCTCTTCCCCGTTTAGACTCGATCCTGTGGCCCCTCTTCCACTACCACCCCGGTGAAATCACCTTTGACGAGTCTGCGTGGGCTGCGTACCAGGAAGTCAACCGCCTCTTCGCGAGGACCGTTATCAAGGATGTTCAGGACGGCGATCTTATCTGGGTCCACGACTACCACTTGATGCTGCTGCCCCAGATGCTGCGGGAGGAGATCGGCGACACCAAGAAGGACGTCAAAATTGGCTTCTTCCTGCACACACCCTTCCCCAGCAGTGAAATCTATCGTATTCTACCTGTGCGAGAGGCTCTTCTCACCGGTCTCCTTGACTGCGATCTCATCGGCTTCCACACGTACGACTATGCTCGTCATTTCCTCAGCAGCTGCTCCCGAATTCTTGATACCCCAACCACCCCCAACGGTGTTGATTGGAACGGCCGCTTTGTTACCGTCGGCGCCTTCCCTATCGGCATCGACCCAGAGAAGTTTGTCGAAGGCCTCCAGAGACCCAAGGTCCAGGAGCGTATTGCCACCCTCAGCCGCAAGTTCGAGGGCGTAAAACTGATTGTTGGCGTCGATCGTCTTGATTATATCAAAGGTGTGCCCCAGAAACTACATGCTCTCGAGGTCTTCTTGACAGAGCACCCCGAGTGGATCGGCAAAATTGTTCTCGTCCAGGTCGCCGTTCCATCCCGGCAAGATGTGGAGGAATACCAGAACCTCCGGGCCGTTGTCAATGAACTTGTCGGTCGTATCAATGGCAAATTTGGAACCATTGAATTCATGCCCATCCACTTCCTTCATCAGTCCGTCTCCTTTGAGGAGCTTACTGCGCTATATGCCGTCTCGGACGTGTGCCTCGTCTCATCTACGCGCGACGGCATGAACCTCGTATCATACGAGTACATCGCCACGCAGCGCGAAAACCACGGCGTGATGATTCTCAGTGAGTTTACGGGTGCCGCTCAATCTCTTAACGGAAGCCTCATCGTCAACCCCTGGAACACTGAGGAGCTCGCCAACGCCATTCACGACGCCGTCACGATGAGCCCCGAGCAGCGGGAGGCCAATTACCGTAAGCTCGAGCGCTACGTGTTCAAGTATACGAGTGCTTGGTGGGGAGCCAGCTTCGTCGCGGAGATGACTCGCCTCAGCTCGGAAAATGCGCAGACCAAGACGCTGCGCAATGTCGCCGGTGCCGTCGTCGGTCTTGGTCAAAAGGTGAAGCAGGTGGCCGAAGATGCCAAGGACCTGATAACAGGCACCGGGCAGCCTTCTTCCGAGGTGCCGGAATCGTCTGAATAGGTTAATAGTTGGTGTTGCTGGATTTGTTTTTATGGTATCCTTCTTCTTCTAATTACTGTGTTATGGTAGCCCAAAGGATGTTTGCTTCTTTTGTCTTTGTTTACGCTGGGTTAGCGAATAAAAAACGTGTATGTATGAGTTATTCTTGAACATGATTAATTTCCTCTTCTTCTTTTGTCAAGGAGTCTTGTCAAAGAACATATTGTATTGAAGCTACCTAGTTATCCCATCCCATCCTCACATGTGCATCTGCAACCAGCATCAACAAAATTCGAGAATAAACGTCATTGGCTTTATTCACCAGTTCGAAATGTACTACGCAGACACAAGGTATCTAAGCGGGAAAAAAATCATAAACTTAAAAAAGAATCGTGAAGCCAGCAAACTCCATCTCCCACCCTGTCCGCGTTATGTAAAGCAACCTATGGTATCCCATCATCGTCGTCGTCGTCGTCTCATCCTGCAGTCCCTTTTCTACTTTCCGTTCCTTCAAATATCCCATCTCATATACTTTGAAAATGTTCAAAGATTCGATACGTGCCAACGCTCTAATAAGGCGACTCCACAATGTCATCTCTTCCGAGCTTGTACTGGCCGCTTCTGGCGTTGCCAATCCGTCCCGAAGACTTCCGCCCACTACCAAGTAGTCGGACGTCACCGATGATGCTTTCTCGGGTAGGCATCTTGAGACTTTGCTTGGCAACCATGTTGACTTCGTTGGGCAGAGCAACAATGACGTTCTTGTCCGAGCCGAACTTGAAGTCATCTGCCATAACCTTTTCCTCGTATCGCTTAATCTTGTATGGTGTCTTCTGGCCGCGAATAACCCGCTTGAGGTTCCACTCGATGATGTAAGGTCCGGAGGCAGTAATGATACTCGTCTCCTCTGCACCCTCACCAGTGTTGAATTTGGCAGGCGTGAAAGACACAGGTTGACCAGTCTCATGGTAAAACTGAGCAACGTGCTCTGGGGAAAGAGCCAGACGACGAGGACGAGGCTTCGAGTCGGCGGCGAATGGCTTTTCAAAACCAAGCTTTCCCTCATTCTTTCCGCCGTGCTGCTGGGCGTCGACGAGGAGGATGTAGTTCTTGGTAGTTCCCAAGATCCATCTGCCATCAGCCGAAACGTCCATGCCAGTAATTGGATCACCAAGGGCAGGGAGCTGTGTCTTGGCTCGGATTCCAAGACGATCAAAGAGGCGAATATCACCCTTGTTGCTTGCCACAGCGATGTAGCCCTTCTCAGTGGTAGCAACGGAAGAGAAGTCGTTCTTTGATACGTACTGCTTCAATTCTGAATCGACAATCTTGTTACCCGCTTGACGAGGGTCGATTCGGAAAACGGCGTTGTGAGAGATACCAAGGAACGTCTGCTCTCCGGTCATCTGCGCAAACTTGTTCTCTGGGGTAAATGTCGTGACAGGTATGTCATCATGGACATTCCACTCATCGACAACCTTGCCGTACTCAATGTCCATGCGGTAGAGCTTGTTCGGGTCCACCTCGTTTTGCATGATGAGATCTCTGTCCTCCATGTGGAGCATGACCTTCTTGGGGTTCATCAGTTTGCCCGCAGGGGTGGTCACCTTGGAAATGTTGGTGGAGAACTTGAGGTGATTATCCGGAGTGTGGGTAAAAACTCCAATCTTGGAGCCGCGGACAACAAAGGAGCGGTCATGTTTGTAGCCCACGGCAAGCTGGGAGTTGACGTCTCCGTCACCTCTCTCTTGTTGCTCTTCATCCTCGTCCTCTTCATATCGTCCAAGGTCTTCTTCTTCATCGATTTCTTCCTCTTCCTCCTCCTCCTCCTCTGGAGCATCTTCCATGGCGAGGTCATTGAACGAATCCAAGACATACTCACGCTCCTTCTCCTGGATCTTCTTCCACTTGGTTTCATTTAGTTTCTCCCAAATGGCCTGCATCACCGCCTCCTGGAACTTCTCCAGTGTTGGCTGATCCTTGAATCGGATTAGCCAAGACCTTCCAGTCCCATCTTCAGACCAGTGGTTGAAAATGAAGGACAGGTGCTCAAAGTCGAATACAGGGTTGAATTCGGCGGTGACAGGGGTGCCTAGAACAGACTTCCCGGCAGCATCAATTTGCAGCCAATACTCCCATTTTCCAACTTCAGAAACGGTAGCAATGACGGAGTCTTCGACCTGGGAGAAATGGCCTGCTTGTGGATCGTAGAGATGCAATTCGCCAGATACGGCAGCATAGATCTCCAAAGGCTTAGGGGGGGCATTTGGGTCCCGCGCCCGCTGAGGAGCCTCGACCTCATCTTCTTGATGTCCCTCAAGGGGTTCCTCCAAGGATTCTTCTACCGCGGGCCCGCGCTTGGCCGAAATATTGGCAGTCCTCTTGGCGAACATGTCGTCGATGGAATCGATGGACCTAGTGAGAGTCGGGCTATGAATGGGGCTGGCGGGTGGAATGGGTTGCTCCTCGGGGAACTCAAATTGTTCAAGGTCCTCGTCTGAGGCTGTCGTGTGCGGCTTGCGGTACTTTCGCTCGTACTGACACTCCTGCGCTGTCCGGAGGAAACGCTTCACCTCTGTAGATGTGACGTTGTCGCACACAAATTCGTAGAGGTCGCCGTTGTCGCCACTCAAGTCTTTCCAGGCGAGAACAGTCTCGTCACCGTCCTCTCTGATCTCAATGCGGAAGTGCAGAGACTCGTCGAGTAGAAAAGTCTTTTCGTCGCGTTCGCCCGCAAGAGCGTCGATTTCAGCGTCTTCTCCCTCTTCGTCGGCGAGAAGTTCAGCCTCGCCTTCTTCAAACACGCGCTGCACGACGAGCTGGTATTGGAAGTCTTGATTGGTTCGGCGGATGCGAATAGCAGAGTCCTTGAAGATGAGCTCTGAGTAGCCCTTGGGCGAGAGGGGCCGGACGAGGTAGAGCTGGCCTTGAGGGAGCTCGATAAGGGATTCCTGTGTAGCTGAGCCGAAGAGCAGCTTGCCAACTGGAAGATGGATGTTAGCGAGAGCGATGTTGCGGGTGCAGAGAACACAAGCGATGAAGGCAAGTCGAGAGGGAAAGGCGTGAACAAAGAAAGACGGAAATCGTGGGGCTTATATAGGGCAACAGAGCTGCAGCGCATATGCGGAGTCGCGCGGGCTGCAGGCTGCATTCCCGTCTTTACATACCGTTTCTAAGGACGAACATCCTGGCAGGTGTGTTTGCCTTTGCTCCCCTGCAGTCGTCGTTGCTGTTTTCTGCGTTTGCGATGTAGCAATGACGAAGGAAGAGAAAGAGAGAAAAAGAAGTCGTGACGGTAGTTGGAGAGACTAGGTGGGGTTACGGAGTAGAGAGAGCAGAAAAAAAACAAAGCCTCGTAGCAACGGTCGTCAGGCCAGAAAAGGGCCTAGTAGGCGAGCACGGCAGTAAATCCTGCAGTATCAATAGCGGCACACGCCGACAGGGTTCGAGGCTTGAAGGATGAAGAGAAGAGAGGAGAGGAATTGAGAGGATTTTAGCGGTTCGAGAACTTAAACAGCCAGCACAGGGCAAAATTACTTTAAATTAGGGGTCCAGGTCTTGAATTCGAGACTGAGTGCGTCATCGCAAACAAGCTTCAGCTAGGCAGAGACGAGCAATGATATCAAACGAACGACCTCTGGAACTTCCGCTGTTGCAGGCCCGCTGGAGGGCAGAGGGGATGGAAGGGCGGGCGGGCAATTGGATTCGCTGGCTGCGTCTTAGGCCCGTCCAAGGTCGCCCCATTTCGCCACGTCCTGCCTGCTGCAGCCTTGATTTGCTGTTGGATCGTGAACTGGTCAGTGAGGCTGGCGGTACCTGGACAAGGAGAGCGGGCGTGAATATCTTCACGGTTGCGTACTTGTACAATCCCGGCCCGTCGCTTAACTCCTCAACAACCTTGTTGAACATACCACCATTAGTATCATTCGCTTGACCTTGGCACAACGTCTTCATTGGACATCTTCCCTATTATCCCAACAATCTACAGCCACCTGCGACAAAGCCAGGGCAAGGCAGTTTACCTACTCTCGTCACACAAACCGCTTTCTTACCTGAGAAATGACAACAGGCATGTAAAAAAAGTAATTACAACAAGTTAATACCACGACTCTTTATTCAGAGAAACAGCCCTCATCTTGGAACATTTGTTGCCTTCTACTCTGTATGTAGGGTAGGTATCAATAACGGATGAGATCGCCGCGTCTTGAGCTCAGACGTAATCGTAGCACCTTGATAGTACACAATACGAATCCCGAATTTCAACGAATGTGATTGGCGAGATGGCCGAGTTGGTTATGGCGTCAGGTTAAGGCTACCTTAACAGCAATTCCTGGTGGAGCAATCCGCGTGGGTTCGAGTCCCACTCTCGTCATATTTTTTTTCCTTTTTGACTCTTTTGCATCTTTTTGTTTTGGTGTTTAGCCTGTTTCGTACTGTTTCGGACCCGTCAACTTATAGGTAGTCTTCAACTCCAAAGTTTGTCCCCAAAACCCCGAGACAGCCCAAAAAATCGGCACATAGGTACCCAACTCCGTAGGTAGTTCCAATCCCCTTGCAATTTGTATGTAAATAAAAACAACGACGCGTAATATACTGTTGAAATTGATGTTAAATGCAATGGACGAGTTTCCTCCCGCCTTTAAGGCTGCGGCCGCAATTCTAGAAGATCGCAATCGACCCCTAAGGCTTTGAAAGGCTTATTCTGTGCGCACCGCCGCCGCACAATTTAAGATCAGCCCGTTAGCTGTGCAAAGAGCCATTTCATCGCTCATGAGGCCTGATCCCATTCCTTGCGCCCCCGGACGGCCACGAGCCCTTACGAATGACTAAGATGAAGCCTTAGTGGCGTATGTGATGTGGCTGCAACGAGGAGGGTTTCCGGTGACTAAACCACAGTTTATTGCCGCTGTTAATGACCTCCGACGACGACGAGATCCTGATGCCGGGGAGTTGGGTAAGAGTTAGTATAGTCAGTGGCTCTTAGACTACCTAAAAGTTTAGAAATTTTATATAAAGGCTATGGAGAAAGACTGGAAGTTATTTAAAGCCTTGAGTGTAGAGAATCTCATGACATTCTTCGATAACTTAGAGAAGATTATTAAGGTCTATCGTATCGGTGCCTTAGAGTGTTGGAACGAAGACGAGTGCGGTATCCGACTCGGCTGCCTTTGCGAATGCGTTCAGGCCCTTGTTGTGCGTATAACTCGTTCCGAGCGGCCACAGGTCCTCGGCCCAAGCAATAAAGAATCCGCAACCCTCATTAGCAGCGTTAACGCTGCCGGCGAGTCTACGCCTCCTTGGATAGTCTTCAAGACCTTCCGCTAATGAAACTATTTATTTCGCCCGCTCCGAGACTGGCTTCTTTAATAATAAGATCACGTTGGAATGGCTTCATCACTTTAATCTGTGGTCTTAGGAGAAGTCAGCATAAGCTCAGCGGCTAGGATAAAGATTTGACGAATACTTTGGCTGTAATATATAGTTGCGAGACCCTGAGAAGCCGTGGTCGCTACTATACGAAGTCCCACCAATCTAGCGGCCAGAAGAAGAAAAGATATATTGTCTTCTCGTTATTGCCGGCTTTACAGGCCATAAAACTCTCGATTTTATTGAATATTGCATTAAATTTGATATCCTCGTCGCCGTATTCCCTTCCCATTCAACCTATATTCTTCAGCCTTTTGACGTTGGTGTTTTTTAACCTCTTAAGCATGCCCATCAGAAGATATTACGGAAAACTCTCTTTAATGGTGATCTGGCTTTCGCTCGGCAAAATTTCCTTGAAGCCTTCCAACATATTTATAACGAGGGCTTCACAAGCCAAAATATCATCTCAGGCTTCAAAGAGACCGGCATCTACCCCCCCAACGCACAGTCGGCCGTTATGAGAGTCTTTGCCCAACAGCAAAGGCGTTAGGAGGCGATGAACCCGGCGTTCTCGTCTCTTCTGCCCAATCCACAACGCCTGTAAGAAGTACGGTGAACTTCTGAGCTCCTCAACTCGCGAGGGACTTCGTCAGGCCAAATTAGAGGCGAAGACTCTAAGTTGATCACGAGAGGTGGAACCAACGGGTATATTCATCCATACAAGTACTCATGCATATCTAGTATTATAGCCCACATTTGCTATCAGAACGCTAATTTCATGAACCAGGAAGGAGGGATCCCCTACCCACGTAAATCCCATCAGGTATCTATCTCATTCTATATGAAAAGAAAAGACAGGAAAAGAAAAAAAAATAGAGAAGACATTCTTTGCCAAGCAATGCTTCAAATCATGCATCAAATCATGCTCATGACATCGGCCCATCTTACTGTGAGAGACTCTCGACACGACTCATATGTCTGCCCGTGAACTGTCTCATAGCGTCGAGTTCCTAGCGATCCCGATCAACTCGGCTGGCAACATTTGTGACTTCTCAGGAGGACTCATTCCGTTCCTGTACATCCACAACCTGCTGAGTTCTTTGACTTTGACGTCCTTTTTGTGTCTCTTACGCGCAGAGAACTGGTCGTAAACCTCGATAGGGGTCGTTATCTCACCCGTACCGAATCCCCCTGTACCTCCATAACTAATCTCAAAGGCCTCTCGTGCGTTCTCCATAGCGGTACCCTCAATACCAAACTTGATAACCTCCTCCATGAACTCATTCTTCTCGTCAGCTCCAATAAACTCTCCAGTTTCCGGGTCGCGTTTCAGAGGGAACATGCCGTCCAGGTAATGCTGCACGAGAAGATGTCCGCCGTGACCATTAGAACGGTTGAAAAGGCGGCCAAGGAACCGAGGCAACTGCAAGCAAGCCATTCTGTTTGTTGCAAAATGGAGAATGCCCCATATGGCAACAAAGTCGGTGTTGTGCGTATAGTGCTCGATATGGCCAATAGCTCTGTCCTTGGCAGCAGAGGCGGTGTGGTACGAAGCCAAGGAAGAAGATCTTCGCAGCATAGAAGCAGTGATCATAGGATCCTTCTTTACCTCCAGCGGGGTGGTGACTGGAGTCTCGTAGCAGGCCTCAGAGACGAGCGTCTGCATCGCTTCAAGAGGCCTTGACCTGGTTAAATCTTGCGATATGACGTGGCGGTGCGGGTTATTGAAATGGTTGGCGGCGCTGCCAAATGTATACACTTCAAGCTTTGCAAGTAGATCCTGGGGCATCTCCTGGAGGAGCCAATCTAGAACCATACCGCCTTCTATGGCGCCCTGAGAGTGCATGATGAAGACGACCTTTGACTTTTTTGGGTCGTAAAGAATGTCCTTGAGGTGCTTATAGCAGACACGAATATCGGTAGTTGCGTATGAGAAGTTGCGCTGCACGAGGCACTCGATGACATCGAAAAGAACACCAGAGGTCCGGTTGTGGATGCCGAGAATTGGGCGACCAAATGTAAGGGCTAGACGATTTAGATTCATCTTCATCCAGTGTTGGCTGCATTGTTGGTTCGTGTTAGTAAATGAAGTAATGACACAAAATCTGTGGCATTATGAGGTGACACTTACCCGACGGAGACGCCATTCAAAAATACCCACTGCTCGTTCTCATGCTCGGGTTGCGACTTTGCATACTTTTCATCAGAGTGAAAGATGAGTTCCGTGCCATTCAGCAGCATACAGATTAATCTGTTTAGAAAATGGAAGGCCACAATACCGGCGATTCCCATCCATGCAGGGAAAATAATGACAAATGGCAGGGTAACAAGAAAGATGAACTGAAAGACGAACAAGAAGACATGGACGGCGACACAGAATATGTTCATCCAGGATGGATATAGCTCGTCAAGCTCATCTGAGCCATACGTGCGAATAGGAAACAAAACCCAAGGTAGAGCCCAGCAGTAGACAAAGAAGTAGTAGACGTCCTTGGCGAGGAGCCTCCAGGGGAAGTCGGTGTAGGCGTAGTTGATGACGGATTCGCCGCCGATTTGCGAGCGATAGAACTCGGTGACAGAGCTCATGATGAAGGACTTTGGCGAAGCACCATTTCGGCGCCCTGGAGGCTTCACGGCCAAGGTGCGAGAAGGGGAAACTGGCGGCATAATATAGCACCGCAGAATGAGCCAATCAGTGCGGCTGCTTTAGTGCTGAACGAGCATCCAGGCTTCAAAGGAACAAAGAGCGAAAGCCTCTCAGCAGGATAGATAGGGCTGAAACAAGCTGAGAAGCCGCAGGAGCTGCAGCTCTAGACGATGGTGGTGAGCTAAACGACATGCTCGTCAACATATACTTTTTTTGCTCAACTCATCCCTGACACCTTGCGAATGCTAACCAGTAGCTGCAGCTGCAGGCACCCGGGGAAATAATCCCACGAGAATATACGCCCGCCATCATCATGTGCGGCTATGTTACTACGACAGAACAGTGGACACGTCTCAGCACGCGAGAGAGCAAGTCAGACCGCATCTCTGACACATTCTCTGGCTAAATTCTTGGTGACGCCGGCAGGAGAAAAAAAAAGCACAGCCAACTTGGCGTTAGCAAGGCTGAGCGGGATCAGCTGCATTGCCTGTGGTGTGGAGGAGCGTCAGCAGACCTGCAGATGCGAAACTTAGCATCTCGGCATTGATGCCAACGCTTGGCTTTTGGCAAGGGGGGGAGTCATAGGCAGACAGGGGAAGTCGACGCCACCAAACTAAAGTTGTAGGAGAGAGTTGAACTTGAGGAATCAAAGGATTGATGGATTCGAAGTGTTTTGTTATCAAAATAAAGAACAAAGAACGTTGGCACGGGTAGCGAGATGAGAAATACGGTATTGACCTGTATTAATACACGGGCGTAAAGTTGAGACTATACATGCACTAAAGGGCACATGAACCAGATGCGACGGATCTCGCAGCGTCTCAGTCAAAGTCAAATCATGCATCAGCAAATGACTGTCGGAAGCGTGATTTGACCACAAAAGGAACCAAGTCTCGTGCTTTGTTTCAAGCTCGGCACGTCATGGGCGGCAATAGCTGCCTGACTCTGAGAAAAGACGACGGTAATCCAAGACATGACCGGCATTTGGTCGTTTAGGTGATCAGACTGACCACTATGTGCGGTATCGTGGGGGCTGCTCCCCTGAAAGTTTAGTGGGGATGATGGCCGTGCTGTGTGAACACCAGACCTCAACAAGACCTAAACTCTTCCTGCTAGTTGAGGTACTCCAGCCGCCGCCACCGATCCTCCATTAGCAGCCTCAGCTATCTCTTCTGTCGTATATGATTCAGGAGTTGTCAATCCTCTTGGGAGTGGCTGCTAAGTATCCAGTATTAATCCCAAATTACATGACACATAACGTGATATATATAGGGAGCTCTCTATACCTCATGTACCTATATACCTATCTACCTAAGGTACTATGTACCTATTTAATGGTTGATCCTTCGGTGGGTCTCACTGGCGTATTGGATCATGTACAGTAATTGACCAGATCCTTTTGGGGCGGTGCTCCCAAGGCAGCCGATATTTATGATGGGTTGGCCTTGCCTACATGTATATTTACATGCACTCTCTTCAGCGCGGGGTTTTGAAGAGGCATTTTAAGATGATGTAATGCAAGATTCAGTGCTTAAGTAGAAATGCTGATAAGAACAGTAAGTGATAGAACGGACGACGCATTCTATTATACCTACTAAGTACATGTACCTAGGTACTATAGGTATCCTCTGAAATGGAAAGTACAATTATGTATCGCAGGCCAACGTTTAGGCACGACACAGGTAGCTTTGGTCGGCCAAGGCGTAGCTCAACTATCAACTCGGCATACTCAAGCCACGGCCAGGATGTTGACCCTTTCTATGGGGATATCGAGTCGATACCACAGAAAAGCAATGAAACGGAACAAGACCAAACGCAGAATCAGGCCCAGAAGAAGACCCTCATTATATTGGCCTCATGGCAATCCAAGATGGACAAATTAACGCCGAAGCAGCAGGAACTGTTTCTACAGAATTCTCAACCTGAGGGCTTCCAAACCTTTGCTTCCAAGCTGCAGCATATCATTCAGAAAAGAGTGGACAATAGTAAACTCTTTGAATTTACTCGCAAGATTAAACCCTTCTACGACCTTGTTAATTTGGTTACTCCCGTAGTATCGGCAGCTTCCCAGTCTTGTCCCGTGCCCCCGTCTGCTATTCTGGGTGGCATTACTTGTATCCTTTCATTGGGGGCGCGACTGGATGGCTATCAAGCTAGGATCATCGAGACACTTGCCTCTATGGCCGGTGAATTGAGTATCCTAGACAAGTACCACACGGAAAATCTCTTTGCCAACGACCCGGATATTCAAGCTTCACAGATCGACATTGTTACCGATGTTCTGGATTTTTGCACTACAGCAGCCAAAATATTCTTTGATGATGACGGCAAGGAAAGGAAGGGCTTGAGTCTACTGTTGAAGGCGCAATTGAAGAATTTCGACGTCACCTTTCGTGATATTAAGGCAGAATTCCAGCGACATGTCATCGAATTGGAAAAATTAATAACCTTGGCCAATAGCCGACGACTTCGCCTTATCCAACGGGGTATCGCCGCTGTTGATGCATCTAATCAAATCAAGAGGAGACAGATGGTGGCAGAGGTGAAAAGTATCGATAATCGACGGGCTCTAGGTATGTTATATTACTTTCTTCTCTATGACTACTAGGTGGAAAAGTTAATCTGGCCGTTATAGATGAAAAGAATAGCCATTTTTTAAAGTGGCTCCCCTCTCTACCCGTTGGTAAAATCCAGGAAGACACCTATGATAGGAGGGTCAAAGGAACTGGAGAATGGCTAATGGAGCATGACATGTTCAAACATTGGCTCGAAGAATCTGCATCTACCCTCCTTTGGATTTACGGCAAGCCCGGTTGCGGCAAATCACATCTCGCCTCCCGAGTAATTCACGACCTGGGCACCCAAAATGGCGAATCCGACTCGGCTCTTGCATACTTATACTGTAGCTCAACTCGGTATACCGTCAGAATGGACCTAAATAGCCTCCTGGGGTCTCTTCTTGCACAGATCTGTCTAAAATTGACATCTGCTGATGATATCGAATCTATTCTTCAGATTACCATCTCAGAAACCAGAGAGAGCCCTTCTAGAGCCCAGATGAAAGAATGGATTCGTATTGTCTTGAATAAGTTTCAGTCATGTTACATCATCATAGACGGTCTCGATGAATGCAGCAGCTTCGAGGACAAACAGTTTGAGGATTTTTGTGCCTTCATCACGTCTCTCGTAGAAAACATACCATCTCCGCCTCATATCAAAGTCCTTGTTTTTAGCCGACTGCACTACCAAGTCATAGATCGCGCCTTCAACCACTTTCCACAGATTCAAGTTGATGATGGCGCTAATGAAAATGATATAAAGTCATACATATCCGAAAAAGTGGACGAGGTAAATCTTGATCCTTCTCCTGAAGAGTACCAAGGGTTCGCAGAGATCAAAGATTTAATGCTCAGCAAGGCTGGAGGAACTTTTCTGTGGGTTCGCATAAAGGTGAAAGACTTCAAGGACATTGGAAGCGTGGAAGACATCAAGGAAGCTCTGCAGGACCCGGTGGAAGGGCTGGATGAGATATATGGCCAGGCAATCCGCAGAATTCTAGCACGCCAAAAATACAGCCGTGATCGTGCTTTGAGAGCGCTGCTGTGGGTGGCTAATGCACATCGATCGCCATCGAAGCTGGAACTGCTCGAGGCCCTCGCCATAAAGCCTGGTCGGACCGGATTGAGCGCAACGCAGCGATTGCCCCGTGATTTCCCACTCAGTACAGAGTGCTTTGATCTCATAGTCGAGGTTGACGGTTACTATCAGCTCATTCACGCGTCACTTAAAGATTTTCTTCTCTCACAGGACCCAAGCCTGTCAGACTACGGAAAAGATCAACTCAACGCTCATGATATCTTGGCTGAAACCTGCTTAACATATTTGACCTTCGACGTGTTTCGCTCAGTGTCGAAACCGGATGTGAACGACCTTGAAAAGCTGCTGACGCAGTACCCTTTTCTCGATTACGCTGCCCTATACTGGGGAAAACATTTTGCCCTGACAAAAGGAAGTCGGACAAAATCGCTCGACAAGTTGCTGGCAATTCTGCTTCGAACAGAGACACTGGTGGCTCTCTGTATCGATATAATCGAACTTGACGAGCTCACGCGCGGCAGGCTCTCAATGTCCAGTACTGCAACTCCTCTACACCTTCTAGCCATCTTTAATCTCCGAAGCCTAGCTGAAACGATGCCGGAGCTGCAACAGCATATAAACACGCATGATCAGTTCCATCATCTTCCTTTAGATTACGCCATAATATACAAAGCAAGGGACATGGTTATGTGGCTTTTGGATATCTACCTCAGACAAGACGGAGAGTTATTTGCCACCTGCCTGGACTGCTGCCAGATCCGTCTCCTCGAGCAGCCGATAAAATGGGACTGGGGTGACGTAGTCGAGTCTCTTTTGTCTTTAGGAATTGACCCGATTTTGGTCAACAGCGAAATAGTACCCTTGGAAATGGCGATATCTCAAGAATCGTATTCTGTCTTGGATGCGCTAATCAAAGCCGGCCTGGATCTAGAAACAGAGACCGCCGGAGTTACGCCACTTTTCTGGGCGGCAAGTAAGGGTTTCCTTAAGGCAGTTGAGCTACTCATCACAGCCGGGGCAGATGTGGAACATACAGGACCAGATGGATGGACGGCCCTTCATCACACGGCGGCCTACGGAAACCCATATGTCATCTCCGAGCTCCTTAAAGGAGGCGCAAAAATTATGTCCTCCATTCCGGACCACGGTGCAAATGCGCTCCACCTCGCGGCTGACCGTGGTAACCTTGAAGCCGTTGAGCAGCTTTTGGACTACTGTGAGAATCTGGAATTCGTCGACGCTTTGGATTCCTACGGTCACACACCGCTAATGAAAGCGCTTCAATGTAATGATACCGAATTAGCCTTACTACTTCTCCAACACGGTGCGCGGCATGACTTAGATGAGTGGGCTCAAGTAGTGCCGAAACGTTTCTTCTCAGAACTTTGCAAGCAGTACTCCGAAACGTGCTGCGTAGCAAACAGCAGTTCGAGAACAATTATAGCAACGCTTACTTCAGTGTGTGAAGTTGAGATGCAAAAAGATGCCGAGGAGGCACATAATTATCCGGAGACGACGATGGACGTCCCTCCGATGCCAGCCGCTATATCGGATGGTGAGGACCCCCTAGAAGGCGATATTCTGTACGTCATTCTGCTAGAAGCTCTGGTCTCGTTTCTGGAAAGTACGATTACTCAATCACGCGATAAGACCCTGAGGGTAGAGGGTGAGGAGCAGGGAGATGAAGAAGTTGTTGAATTATCACCAGCGTACGAGATGTCGTGGCAACTTTCCAGGGCTATCTTGGGGCAGGCAAGTGACCAAGATATCATTCTATCCGCTCTCAAAACAATCCAAAAGCGCCTGGAGACGAAACCCAAAGAGGGAATAGCAGGGGAAACAAACTTAATGGAAGATAGTGAAACTGAAATCGGCCCTGATGAAGAAGAATCAACCCTCAAGATCCCAGAGAACAAGGATATTATCTCAGACTCAAAAGCCACAAATGGGGCTACAGTAGAAACTCGCACGCAAGTAAGGATCATAGATTTTCTACTTATTCGAAATCACCACCTCGAGCCATCGACCGAAGCTAATGTATTCGGATTCTAACATAGAACGAACTTGCCGAGGCATTCACATCTTCAGATGATAAGCAGCGGAGCCGAAGGGAAACAGTAAATATTTCTCGCCGACCGCTAGAAGTGCGGGCATATAAAAATGACCGAAGACTCCGCCCTCATCAAAACGCATATCCATCAGGCATGTTGACTAGACTCGCAGATCACTTAGTCACAGCAGAAGCCATTGATAAGCTGGGCTATACGTTTGATCAAACGGGTTACTTTTATTACATACACGGGAGTATAAGTAATGTGAGTATCTGACATTGCTATTGTCTTGACATAATAGCGCTCAATAGTCCTTTATATTAAACGGCAGGTTTAGTTTCTAACTAGAGGACAGCATGCAATCGATGAAATAGTCGAATTATCTAATACGATGCGACTCTTTGAGGCCTGCGTCGATTAAAAATATATTGAAAGGGACCGAAAAAGAAAGGCCGCCGAATGCATGAAGATCTGGAAGCTGGGGGTTTGTTGAATTGTGAGGAACCACCATACAATCATCTCTGGGGTATCCAAACCGCAATTCATTCACATCCATCTGAAGGTCTTGATGTGAGGATTTACAAACTTGGGGAATGCTGCGACCAACCCAGACAGCAGCTGCTGGTAATGTCTAATGACGGCGTTGATAAGAGACTTGCTGGTATAACGTGAAAATACCGCTCTGTACATCCAAGGAAAAGTGCTGTCAGTGTTTGTATTTGCTCTGAAGTCGAGAATAATGCTGCACCACTCCCTTTGTTCGTGTATCTGTTCTTCTTCCTTAGGATTGCTGTTTACAATCGACTTACAGAGGACTTCCGATGCCAGCCCCCCCGAGCCGGAGCGAATCATAATTAACCATGGCTCAAGGATGACGATGCTATTTATTATTTGATTCACGCTTCCATCCAAAAAAGAAGGCCGCACTAGAAGCTCTAGTCTCGGCCTCGCTTCGTTTTGAGGAGCAAAATGCAAAAAGAGAAATCTGACGAGAGTGGGACTCGAACCCACGCGGATTGCTCCACCAGGAATTGCTGTTAAGGTAGCCTTAACCTGACGCCATAACCAACTCGGCCATCTCGCCGTATGTTTTCTCATGGTAACAATTTCGTACTATGAGGTAAGCAAGCTTTTTTTTCGAAACAGCAGGACTTCAGTCGAAGCCGACAATCACCAAGAGTTACGATTCACAGGAAAAAGACTGTCGTGATATTTGAATAGGCAAGTTTGCATCATCGTAACGATTCGAAATGGATATATATCAGACAAAAGCTGAAGCAGAATACAGTGAAGGTTACATGACTTTGGAGCTGGCGCTTTGATAGCTCCCAGTCTGGGCTTCACTCCTCCTATTTAATTGGAAAAAAAGGAACAAAGCCAAAACTTCAAGTCAGGAATCAAGGAATGGCTTCCATATTGACATGCAAAATGCCCATAAGTGCCTAATGCATGTCAGAGAAAGACGCTCTTTCTTTTCACGGAACAAAAGCACGGACTCTGACAAAAGCAAGGACAACACGGGCCAGGCAGTGTTGCTAGTATATATACATCTACCCACAGCGGCTGGTCTGGCTAATATGATGCTGGAACATGCAGTTTCAAGAGTCCATTTCAAATTCGAGCAAGCCGGCGGCCGTCTTCAGACCGAAGCGTCACAGAAAAGTACCAGTCTATATTTTCGGACTATTGTTAAATAGTAATCTGAACAACTATACCACCCAGCTAAGTCTGTAGAATATACAATATCAAGGGTATATATCATCTATATTTTTATACTCCACTAGTTTGCCCATCAGAACCACCCTTTGACTATATGAACCAGCATTGAACTAATCTCTTGTCTTCAAATCTACCCGTACAACCGTCTAATGCTGCCAGGATCTGTTGTTGACGATACTAGTCTCTGACCCAAGATGCTGCCATACGCGCACTATGGCGATCTCGGAAGAGGCTTGAACAGAAAAGTCCGTCTCACAAAAGGTACATGAGCCACATGCTTCGGTTCCTCCCGAGAGAGCATTAAAAATGGTAAGTCCGATAACACGTTTCGGACTTGTAAATAGAATGTCCCACCATACACTGCAATAGTGCTGGTTGGCTGAGGGACATTGGCCATTATGTAAGTCATGGAAGTGAGATTCGGGGGACAAAAACTGGTGTGGGCATATACTGAGCCATCCGATAGATTTAAGGGAGACATTTTCGATACCTTTCGTAAATGTATATTTTGAATGGAGAAGGAATCGTCCATCTGTAGTGACCTTTGGGAATACAGATAATGTCCCCTTAATCTCACAGGTCATACCATATTTATGTGGGCGGATTGGCATTGAGACTGGCTGCAGTAAGTGCTTGAGGTGGTTTTTCTGTGCTCTCTTCAATATCGTTCCCGCTATCTCCAGGCGAGTATATCTCAAGGCGAATTGGATATGTCGATACCAGACCATATAGCTGTTCTGATAGTAGAAAGCACTCCTGTGATGGCAGGGCTTCGTAGACTGTGGGGATATCGGAGTGTCATGACAGTCAATGCGATGGAGCTTAAAGCATATATGGCAAGCCCAGATATTGGGTCGACTGCGAGCCAGAGCAACAAGATACTCCAATCGTTGATTCGGATCGAAGCGAGCGGACAAATTATAAACCTGGCTTCTCTCGAGGATAATGAGGCGTAGTTGAGCGCAGGTTTGGGAGAGGATTATTTTTTGATATTGCGGGAGGTGGTCAAGGATTAGAAGAATGATCTCGACAGGGAGGTTAAGCAGGGGGGAGGATAGACTCTGCTGGGCCCTGGTGCTTGTTTTGCCAAATATGAGGCGGCAGAAGGCTTGATGGATATGCATGATGGTAGTTATGCTGGTGCTGATAATAAGAAGGATGTGATGATAAGTTGTTTTCGGATGAAAAGCAGCAGTTGAAGAAGGGGGGGAAACATAGGCTTATATAGAAGTCCATTTGTGTGAAAATCATGGTTGAACGTTATATTACCTTGGGTTTAACTCAAGAGGAGAAGAAAAACGAGGAAAGGGTGATAAGGGATATTTTGTGTACTCAATCATGAAGCAGGGTTTCACCCGGGATAAACCACTGGACCTATATTGGGATAAAAGATGGGATCTCACAAAACGCAGTGTGAGAGTTTTAGGAGAATGCCATCTGGCGTTTCTGAGTTTATGAAGGCGAGACGGGAGAACCCAAAGACGTTACTTCCTGAACGTTAATCTCTTATCATACAAATAAACGAGAGACTAAATGGGTAGGACAGTACCAGGAAAGAGTTCCCGTTGCAATGATGAATCATGTTCCATGATATCAATACTTACCTAGGTAGTAGACAGAGGGCCCTTTGTTTGGGGAAGAGATGTACATTTGTCTACGTCTTATCAGTGTGACCCATCATCTTTCCTCTCCCTTCTATCCTCTTCTTCCTCCTCCTCTTCTTTAAATTTGAGCCTCGATACAACCGCCACCATGAGCGTCCCCGCCACGATCTGCGCTTCTGGCACCCTCATCGGCACCATTTGCGCCGGCGTCGCTTGTACGGTCATCAACACCGCGCCGAAGGTTCTCAGCGCCTGGGAATCAGTGGGACGATGGTTCCGCCATATCTTCGACCTTGGGGAACCAACCCAAAACCCTTGAAGAGGCCTACAGTAGGTCTACTCAAGAATGTATGCATTCCTGTTACTGTTGCCGATACAGGCCTGGCCTGCCACCCATTCCTATCCCTTTCCCCATCCTCTGCTCCCTCTCATAAAATCGTTAATATTTGTATATTCTTATCATTTAATGTAGGAGGAGAAGAAACACCCTTCATCTACCACCTATCAGTAGATACTTACTAGCTATTTTCTTAATACTTGCTACTACCGCTGCTTTCTGCTACTATCGCTAGTCTCTTCAAGTACTGCTCCTATGGGTCGAGCAATCATGGGAAATGGGAAATGGGAAGTGGGAACCGCGTAGAGGATTACGGCGCGAAAATGGGAATCAACTTTGCTATACAAATGGGATTGGAAATGGGAACGGTTATATCCAAATGAGGCGGAGCTGATCTGGGAAACAGGCTATGACATTTCCGTTACTGATACTCCAAGAGTTCACACTCGATGGGATTCGGTTTTTGCCTAAGTACCTACATGTATGTATCCGCAGATCGATTTGACACATTACTAAGGCAGCAGTAGCCGCTTTCTTAGCTCAAGCCCCCACAACTATGCGAATAATAGCGGGGAGATAGCGTGACTTCATACTTAGAGCTCTATCTCGTGAGCACGATTTGCGACGACATCATACACCTCTTACATACTTCACTGCATCTAAATCTTGCATCAGTTCTGCCCCAATTGGCCACCAGAACTACCGCTACTGGCTAGCCGGTCAAGCGATATGACCTCCCATATCCTCCTCTCACAGCTACTTCTTCTCTCATAACTGCTCTATCATGGCTATCAAGCCATCCGTTGCCGTCCTGCCCACCATCGTCTCTCCCCTCTGCAGCTCCCATTATCTCACCCACTGCGCCCGATCTACTTCTTCACCTCTATGCAAACGATTCAAACGACAATACGCCACTGTGCAAGACACCGGCGAGAAGAAATGGTCCGACTGGAAACCTTCTCCCGATGAAACCGTCCACGAATGGCCAAAGTCACCACGGCCCACGCCCTACGAAGTACTCGGCATTTCCAAGGGTGCCGTCTACGATAAGCGACGCTTCTATCATCTCGTCAAGCTGTATCATCCCGACACGCACGACCATCACCACCTCCACCATCATGCGTCCTCATCATCCGCATCCGCATCCGCATCCTCACACGTCAAAACCCTTCCCCACGCTACCCGCCTCGAACGATATCGCATGATTGTCGCCGCCAACGAACTTCTCAGCAGCTCCTCCAAGCGTCGCATGTACGACACCTACGGCCTAGGATGGTCGCATGGCGACCGCGCTGCATCCCTGCGCGACATTGACAGAACCTGGCGGCACCAAGAAGGCACCGCCGCGAACAATGCCACATGGGAAGACTGGGAACGGTGGCGGGAGGCCCAGGAGGGGAAATCGAGTGAGCCGGTGTACATGTCGCATGGCGCGTTCGCCTCCATCTTGGTGCTCATGTGTCTTGTTGGCGCCATGGCGCAGACCAATCGTGCCGAGACGAGCGGCGCGCAGTACGTTGGGTGGGCAGCCGATCACAGCGCCGAGATTGGCGGCCGGCTGCGAAGGAATGGCACGGCGGTGGCTGGTCTCAACAAGGACGAGAGAGTCGATTACTTCTTGCGAGAACGTGAAAACACCAATTTCCAGTTTGTGCCGAACAAGTACGAGTCAACCGACCATCCTAGACCGTCGTCATAGGCTGTCGGGTTTTATTGAGCTAGAGACTATGAGTCTCAGCAAAAGGAGAGGTTCATGTTCATTGACCAAATCCTGTGTACAATTATTAGATTATGATATTACGACGTCTTTCCAATCTAACCATCTCTCAACGATATACTAGCTAATCTATTTACCGATGGTCTACTAAATACTGAGGAGTAAATTAAAGGTGATGTTACATTCATCATGACGGCGTTAGTCATTATTCAGCAACTCGTACAATCGTAAGAAAAAAGAAAAGAAAAGTCCTTCAATCACGTCCACCTGAGACAAACCTGTCTCCAGGCTCGAAGAATATCGTCTCCGGCCGGGAGTAGGCCGTTCCCGCAGTCTTCACATCTGGCCTAAGAGTAAGCGGCTCGTCAGCCTGAAGCGTTACTTCGTCGTCGTATTCTGATATCAGCCTATGGTTAATGATGTTGTCTATACGTAGTCGTGGCGGTCCAGAATTGAGTCGTTCGCCGTTCTTTTGCGGTCCGGCTATAACGTTGTTAGAACAGAAAAGGAGACGGTATGGCGGGGTGGCCTCAATGAGGAAGGACTCGACTTACATATGATGAGGTCTACCAGCTTCACAATGACAGGGCCCCAACAAGTAATGGCAATAATCTGCCCATATGACCACTTGTTGGCCTCAAAGCTCTTTGCGCTGATGACCGTGACGAGGGAGACCATGTAGAGAATATTGATGACGAAGTAGGATACTTCCAAGCCTCTCCAGAAATACATGGTAATCTTCTTCCAGTGGCGCCGAAAACTGTTTTCAGGCCATCGACCGGGCGTCCAGCGACCAAACTTCAAGTGTTTCGTCCGCCTATGTTTTCGCAGCGTCCAGCTCAACTGATCAACTACAAGCGCAATGAAGGCGATGCTGTCCAGGCCCAAAAACACAATCTTATAAAGAAGTGGGTGCGGGAAAAATGTCAAGTGTAGTCCAGAGACGCCATGCGTTGCGGCGCAATACGTCCGTGGACTTGGGTTGCCACCGCATTCTTCAATGCTGTGCTGCTGCTTGAACAAATCAAAGGTAGATTTAAAGCTAATCTTTTGCGTCGACGCAATGATTGCCAATAGGTATTCGGCGCAAAAGCCTAAAAACGTATGCCAGTTGCGGATGCCTTCATTGTGAAGACACACTTGGACTAGAAACATGGGGAGAACGCCGTTGAGACTGACGTGGAAGGCAACGGCACCATTGACGATGATCTCGCCCCAGAAGGTGCCTTCTTGAGAGTTGATGACGATGGCAAGGATAGAGGCGATCTGCAATGCAAACACAAACCAGCACTGGGCTTCTTGAAACTCGACCAGGGTTGTGGCCATGGCCACGCTGGTTCGTGATAGGGTGGACGTGTCTCTCCAGACTAGCGACTGGGCACGGGTGAGGCTAAAGGGCTCCCTCTTCTTCTCAGTGCGGCGTGCCCAGATGGTAAATCCTTGGACGGCCAGATACAGCGATCCCGAAAAGCATACTTGAAGCACATATGAGATTAGGACCTGTTGCAGTAAGGTTAGTGCCACTTCAGTCTACAAGTGAGTATTCGTTTTGGATATTGGCGAGTTAATCGCTAGAATGGTGATCTTACTCCAGGCCCAAAGATATCAGGATCAATATTAGCAGGAATATCTGGGCAAAAGGTATCCATTGCTTCAAATATTTGATCAGCACTCGAGTTGTCTCTCGAGAGTGCCTTGATCGAGGGGTCGCATGGCACGCTTAACAAGTCACTTCCACATGCTGCTTGGGCGCAAGTTATAAACGAGTCGAGAGTAGGCTTATAATCGAATTCGGCGAGGCTGCCAGAGCCCATGATACTGCTGGCATTTTGCTCCGCCTCAGGAGTAATGTAGTAACTCTGAGTGTCACGAGTCCAGTGGGAAATGGAAGATAGGGCGATGCAATTATAGAATGACTCGAGAGAGCCGAAGAAGGTGTCAGTCCGGTTGCAGGCGCGAGTACAGTCCTCGACACCGTCAATCTCGCAACCGGTGCTGAAGAGCAGAATGCTCTGGTCACCATCAATGCTTGCTTGGATGAGATTCTTGAAACTGAATGCATCATCGTCCGGGTTCCCGATATTGGCCAGGTCGCGAAAGGGGAAAAAATCCAGTGTTCCCCCAATGTCGGGCTCAATGACGATTGTGAGCGGCAGAGAAGACGGAGTAGGTGCCGCTGTAATCGCGGTGGAAACAACAAAAGATGGAGATAGAGTACTAGTCACTGCCATGGCTCCTCTCAAAGACCGCGCGTCGGCCCCCAGCGACGATTGGGTACAGATGCCAAAAGCATAGACGCCCTACCGATGCCTTGAGCGACAGTCGGCCTGCTTAATACGCAGCCTCGCTAGATTTGCGCCAACAGCCAGGAGCCCGCCCAGATCTGCTTAATGGCCTGCAACGAGAGTCATCTCCCGGCCAAAGTGGTACAAGGAAGACGAAGTCGGTGAGACTGGCAGGGCGCCGTCGTTTCGGTGGTTCTTTATATCGCTACTGACAAATATTCCCTGATGGCGGATAAGAAAGTGATTTGCTGTCATCCGTCTAGTAGTGGGTCGATACGCGACCAGGTCCATTTGGGCCAATTGAGTCTCTCAAGAGAAGCAGGCATCATGTCGATGGCGAGCTTGGCGAGTTGGGCCCCAGAGACCAGCAGGTAGCCGAGTCGATATCGGACGGGTTGGCGAGATCAACACACTGGTTGCCGCTGCGAACCACGCCGCCGTCTGCACATCATCTTAGACACAATCAAGCCGGGGTTGACAAAGCAGACAGAAACAGCCTCTGCAGGGTTGCTTGAGCCCGCGGCTGACACGAAGCTGCAGTGCTGCGCCTCCCCCAGATTAAAGCACGCGGTAATCACTGTAGTGCATGACTGAGCGTGCCAATGGCAGCTAGCGGCGGAGCGGCGTGAAGCCCTTGAGGGTTTTAGTGTCGAGGATTTGCGTTGATGCAACATGAGACAGTCTTCTGGAAGTTTGGATAGTTTCTAGAAGATGCGGATCCAGGTTTGAGGACTACAGCTCAGGCACATATATTAATTAATCATGCAATGACTAATAATCAGCTGAAGCCTTGGATGTTGAGGTCAAAGGAAGGTGCGGCTGGCCTAGTGCGGGGATGGCTCTATAACTTTAATTCCAGCCATCATACCTCTACCAATTTATCATCTGTAATATTTGATGCCATCTTCCATATCCTACCTATCCAACAACTCCATCAAACTCATCAATAACGCTCCTCGGCTTGACAAACGCTCCCAGCGGAGTAAATTTTAGGTGGTCGATCCCGAAACCTACTGGGCCGCCGAGTTCAATTCCCCTTTGGTTTCCTGTCCATTTATCACTCGCGGCCAGCCCCAGCACAACTACCAGCAGCCCGTATCTATACTCTGGAGTGCCGATAGCTTCGCCATTCTGTGCATCAATCACTGTGATCAGGTCCGGGACAATGGCTAGGACGTCCTCCTGTTGCTCCTCTTTCCCATCGTCTCGGACCTTAAGAGCTGCAATGTTTTCGTTCTTGAAAGGAATCTTGATGGTGCCTCGGAATGACGAAGAGTTGACATCGTCTTGCTGTAAGCCATCGCTGTCCTGCCTTACATCAACTCCTTCGATGAAGCATTCGCCATAGACGTATCCTCCCCTCAGGGTCCTCTCAACACCCACAATCTTGCCCTTCCAGAGCACTTTACCGGCTGCTTTTCCACCGCATTCTTCAATGATGGATTCGGCTACATTGTCAACTCTGTTCTCCTTCCGGGCACGAGCAACGCCTCGTCCGATTCTCCACGCCTGAGAAATAGTGTGCTCCACCACCCATCGCTTCGTCTCTGCTCCTGTCACCGGCGAATCAGCACAGCCCGCATGTGATCCCATCTGTGTAAGAGCCGCCCGCAGAATGCGCTCAACAGCAAGGTCAGAAGTTGCCTTTGGCATAACAACAACATTACCATTGCCGTCAGACATGGCGATGGGGGACCAGATAGGAGACCGTTCGTTAAAAACAACAGGGGTCGTCTGCCATTTTGTAGGATAAGCCCGCCCCATCCAATCACCATCCACGGCTGGTAGGTTCATATTCGTGCTGGCGCCTAAGATCATCGCCTGTAGGCCATTTCCGCCTCCAATTTCGATGGAGATCATGTGAGTAGCTGGGTTAGGACAGGCTTTGAACAATTCGTGTTGAGCTTCCAGTAGTTCATCGGCGGGCAGCTTCTCGATGCCGACTGTAGGGCTGCCCACGCCTCCTCCACAGCCAATCTGGTCATCGTCGGCAAGGTCGTGAGGATTTACAACCCTCACGATTGCACCTTTACGGAGCTCTTGCTTTAGACGCACTAGATGGGAATAAGGAGATCCTCCACCGCCGGTACCAAGGATGTAGCAGCCGGTGGCAATCCAATCAGCATCCGTTTCCGATACATACCAAACACGGTTCTTGACCGTCGGTCTATATACAGAGATGTCAATATCTTTGTCAATTTGCTCTTTGAGCGTGGTTGCTGGTGGCTTTGGAAGTTTTTCGTATTGGCTCATGTCATTGCCATTTCCTTCGCCATCCGCTTCTGGTGCTGCCTGATTTTGGACTCTTCCCAGATCAAAATCACCGGCTGCCCGAACTATGAATCTCGTTTTGTGAGCGATATACTGCACACGATATAAAGTCAGCAATATTTTTTTCTTTTTATTTTACATATGGGATCTCTTACTTGAAGTGGCAGCGTTTCCTTTTCGACAATCTCCACGGATGCAGGAGATGCCCCGGCAGATATCGTCTTTGCAATCGCCTCTTTGCTAATTTCTTCCAGCAGCTGAACTGTAGTCTTAGACTCGGTGGATTTGACAGTGTCCACAACTGCACTGACTCTGGCCATAGCAGCTCCAATGGCGTTTGCAACTTGCGACCACTCTGGCTTTATCACACGACTCGCGCCCTTGAGCTCGTCAGGAGATAGGATAGCTCCACCGCCAACAAGTAGCACTGGGATATCTTCTGGAGAAGTTTTCATCTTGTCAATAGCCTTTTCAATCTTGTTCTTGAGAGCGACTCTGAAAAGGTTCAGCTGTTCATCAGTAAGTACAGTCTTTGCTAGATCTGCGTTCCCTATGTTTAAATCAGGATTTGCTTGCACCATACAGTCAGTAGCTGTGATAGTACTGCCACCGAAAATAATAGACTCTTGCTGAAGTTTGTGCCCAACACTATCCGGTCCAACAGTCAGACCGTTGTCGATTCTGACAATAGATCCTCCCCCAAGGCCGATGCTCTTGATGTCTGGACAGGAAAAGTTGACTCTGATGCCTGCAAGATCGCTGTAAGCAGCCTGCTGCCGGGGAAAACCATTCGCATGCAGCAGCCCAACATCCGTCGTTGTGCCCCCAATGTCAACGACCATGACCGCTTCAGATATCTGGCCCTGGGCAAGGAAGGCCGCGCCCCTCATGCTGTTCGTTGGACCACTTGAAAAGGTCCTGATGGGCAACTTCGCTGCCATGTCCCCCGACAAGACGGTGCCGTCATTTTGGGTGATGAAAACGGGACAATGTAAGCCAAGGCGTTTGATTGGCTCTTGAAAGGATCTGATAGTTTTCCTAGCGAAAGAAAGAATGGATGCGTTGAGAATGGCTGCGTTTTCGCGCTCCAAGAATCCTAGGTTGGCGATGTCTTTGGAACAAACAACATCGCACTCGGGTAGTTCTGCGTTGATAATAGCTGCAGCTCGCTCTTCCTGCCTTTCTATGGTGTCGATGGGGCTAAAAACTCCATTGACCACAACGTTCTTGATACCTTTTTCGCGAATAATGGCACACTGTTCTTTAATCTCGTGCTCATCAATGTCCGAGATGAGGTTTCCGTCCACCTCCAGGCCACCCTTGAGCAATGCGTAATGGCCCAGAATCATCTGTCTCATGTCATCCGGCCAATCCACGCAAGGGGGAGCATGCTTTGAATAAGGCCCACAGAGCCGGATAACCGCCACAGTAGACAGGCGTGAAGCATCTCGTTCAACAACAGCATTGACGAAGTGAGTCGTGCCAATGGTTACGCTCTCAACCTCGGATGGGCTGATGGCAGCGGATTTGAACATGGCAGTAATGGCATCGTTGATTCCAATGCTAGGATTTGTCGTCGTGGGAGCTTTATGCCATGCTAGGATGCCTTTGCCCGGAGACGATGCCTGGAGGGGATCCAGAATGACACCGTCTGTGTTGGTACCGCCGACGTCGACTCCAATGCGGAGGTGCCTAGAGATATTTGCGTAGGGCATAGTGGTGTTGTGTATTTGCGCAATAGTAGACAGACGCCTTTAGTAGCGCATCGATGGGATGATGAAAGGAGGATCAGGAGGGCTTATCTGAAGATCAAATAAGGTGGGATCTGCATTTACATACATCATCTCCACCAGGGCAATGCAGAGTTCCCGATTGCGGAGATGGGCGGGGTATAGCAATTAGTAGTAGCTAGGCATGACTGTAGGAAGAGCTATGAGAGATTTCTTACCTTGTTGATGAGCTGATTTTAGAACAGCCGATACTACATATACCAACAATGGACTTTGACATGTGCCATAAGGAGTATTAGACTAACGATTACGGCCGACAATGGGAGTACTCTAGCATATTAAGACATTGTAAGTATCAGACGCAAGTCCTTTCCCCATTCAGTTGGACTGTTTTATTTCAATATCTTACACTATCGAACTCACATGGGCAAGCTTTAAGGTATTTACTACCTACCTACGCGCGGGAGGGGGGTTTCTGGACATGGGTTCTGAAAGGGGTGCTGTAAGATTATTACGTTAGAATACTTACCGTAATAGCCGATATATTGCTACACATAATATAATATCTTTCGATTTTTATGTAATTTACTAGGCTTAAGTAAGCTTTTAGATTCGCATAACCTTACCGATTGTAAATCTTTACAATAGTATTTCAGCTGACGAAATATATAATCTATTAACTGCGCGCAGCTTTTTTAATTAAAAGAAATCTGTTAAAAGTCCTGTTAGAAGCCCTGTCAGGCTAAATTTAATGTTAAGCTATTTTACAGTACTACTTAAGTACTTATAAACCTTAATCTAACGCAATGACCTTAATCTAACGGGATAACCTTAATTAAATGCGATTACCTTAATCCAACGCGATGACCTTGATCGAACGTAATGACCTTGATTGAACGGGATAATCTTGATCGAACGGGGTAATCTTGGTCGAACGGGATGACCTTGATCGAACGGGATGACCTTGATCGAACGGGATGACCTTGATCGAACGGGATGACCTTGATCGAACGGGATGACCTTGATCGAACGGGATGACCTTGATCGAACGCGCTGACCTTAATTGCGTTGGATTAAGGTTATCCCGTTCGATTAAGATTATCCCGTTCGATTAAGATTATCCCGTTCGATTAAGGTCATCCCGTTAGATCAAAATCATCCCGTTAGATCAAGGTCATCGCGTTGGATCAAAGTCATCGCGTTAGATCAAGGTTGTTGAATAAAAGAAGTTACAAAAAGCTTAGGCTAGAAAATAATAACTTAAGGTATATTAGGCTTTAGGGAGCTAAATGCTATAGCTATAGCAGTTATAATACTATAAAATCGGAACGCTATGTTAGATTATAAACGCTGTTAGAATATAAAAGCTGTTATTAAGGTTTAATAGCTGTTACCGGGCCTAATAGCTGTTGCTGGGCCTAATAGCTGTTGCTGGGCCTGATAGCTGTTGCTGGGCCTGATAGCTGTTGCTGGGCCTGATAGCTTGCCGGGCTTAGAAGCTGTTGAATTGGAAAGCTATTGATGGCCCTGATAACTGCTGCTAGCTTTGAAAGCTTGCTAATGACCCTGACAGCTTGCTGGGCTTGATAGCTGCTTTTGAAAGAAGGCTGTTGAATTGGAAAGCTGCTGTTGGCTTTGATAGCTACTACTGATTGGATAGCTGCTGGGTTGAATAGCTGCTATTGATGAAAGGTCTTGGGTTGAAAAAGCTGTAGTTGGAAGGGAAATCTGATCTGGAAGGTGACCTGTTTGGTAAAAAAATCAGATAGCCTTTAGATAGCTGTATTTGCCTTACAATGCCCTTTTGGCTGTGAATAAGCTGTTACAGTGCGAAATTCTTGTACTAGCACTGTCCAAAACACCCACCCCTCGCGTAGGTAGATAAGTATTAGGTGGTAGCAAAACTCTTGCGATATGGTACCTGGATTTCATAGCCGCTCTCACCACGGGCAGCTTGTATAAGACGACGATCCAACGCAGAACCAAATACATGCATTGAACCAATTTGCTCTTGGGAATTACGCTGAATGTAACTTTTGCTTCAATTTGATGTTCTGCACATATGAAGAAGATGGGCAAAACATGAAGGGTTATCCATCACGAAGAGATTAAGACGAGGGTCGGGTCTATGGGGCCCAGATGGAAATACTCATATGTATTATTCCGTCTAAATAGTTCCAAGGATACTATTATCTCTATCTTTTGGCTGCAAAATATATTTCATAAATGAACTTGACAGGAATAAAATTAACAAAACTTACCTTCATCGTGTGCAGCACACCCAGCAGCTCAATTAATGCCGACTCCCCTGCCAAATCGCACAACCACCGACACAAGCCGCGCCAAAAATTAAGCTCGGCTCATTCGCATCGACGTCACCTTTAAGCCGAAAACCGTCAACACCAAAACCTCCAATATTTCTTCCTCCAGCTCTTCTCAACTCCCCCAATTGAACCTCCGCCAAACCCTCCCATCAAATCATCATCACCGTCCAAAATGCCTCCTCGGATCCGCCTCGCCATCTCCTCCTCCCCCTCCTTCACCCTCCGCCGCCTCTATTCCACCGCAGAGCCCCTCATCCGCGTCACCAACCTTCCCGCAGCGTCAAACGGCCACATCCGCATTCTCGAGCTCAACCGGCCCAAGGCCCGAAACGCAATCTCCAAGGACCTCTTGGCCTCCCTGCGCGCGGAAATCCACGACGTGCAGAACCAGTACGGGCCCGACGGCGAGGAGATTGCCCCCGCGCAGCGCTTTGGCGGAGCTGCTGGAGTGGACGAGAAGGGCCCTACGAGAGCTCTGATTATCGCCAGCGCTGTTGATACTTGCTTCTGCGCTGGTGCGGACTTGAAGGAGCGCAAGGGCTTTACCCAGGAAGAGTGCGTCTAGCTATGCGATGTGTCCAATCTGCCCAATTCGCATTCATTTCCTCTTTCCCTCCTCCACTCTCTCATTTCTCCTTCTTCATCCTCACCTCCTCCTCGTCTCACTTCATCTCCCTGTCCAATCTCACTTTGCTTCACCTTGCTAACAACCTCTCAGAACCGCAGAGTTCCTCGCCAACCTCCGCGGCGCCTTCACCGACCTCTCCAACCTCCAAATCCCCACAATCTCCGCAATCTCCTCCCTCGCCCTCGGCGGCGGCCTCGAGCTCGCCCTCTCCACCCACTTCCGCGTCCTCTCCTCCAACGCCACCGTCGGCCTCCCCGAGACCAGGCTGGGCATCATCCCCGGCGCCGGCGGCACCTTTCGCCTGCCCGCCATCGTCGGCCTCTCCCGCGCCCGCGACCTCATCCTCACCGGCCGCCGCGTCGCCGCCCCCGAGGCTTACTTCCTCGGCATCGCTGATCGCCTCGTCGAGGTCCTGCCCGAGGATGAGCGGGAAGGTTCTGATATCCTGCAGACGGCGCGCAAGTCTGCCCTCTCCGAGGCCGTCAGGCTGGCGCAGGAGATCTGCGAGGGAGGCCCCATTGCTATCCGTGCTGGCTTGCAGGCCGTCGCATGGGCTAGGGAAGAGAAGGAGAATGAAATGTACAAGAGAGTTGTCAACACCGAAGACAGAAATGAGGCCCTCAAGGCATTCGGGGATAAGCGAAAGCCTGTCTTCAAGGGACGGTAAATCTGGGAAATAGAATAGAAACAGTAAATTAAAAGCGAAACAAAATAATGAAGCAAGCAAAATAAAATCAAAACAAAGTAAACAATAATGCAGATACTATTTTGCGAGAGTTGCAGATGTGCCAATTCCCTCTATGTCTTGCTCTCTATTATACATAATCCTCAGGACTGCTAATGTCACGATTTCGACATCCGTAATCATATCATCATAATGCTAGCTCAATCACAATGCCTGGCACGGAGCTCATGCTCTCTGAGTCTTGTCCGGTAGTTTTCTCGAAGTTTTTCCCTGTAGTTGTTGGTATTCCGGACGCCATTTCTTCTCCTTGAGCCGCTTCCTCTCTCTGACCTGTGCCGTGAACGTGGCCTCCTCACATTAGCAGCTGCCGTGTCAACGACTCCATGAAAAGGGTCCTCTTCCATCACAGTTCTCCAAGGTTGATGTGTATTCACCATGAAAGAATTTTTCTAAGATTTTCCTTCTGGCTCTTGGGGTACTGCATCCACCGTTGGAGTGACTTCTGGGTCGCTCTCTGGCCTTGCGTCATTGATTTCAACGTCTCCATCCTTGTCCGCGGCCACTGAAGGCACCACGACAGTCTCATTAGCTGGCTCTTTCTCCTCCATTTCTTTGTTTTCCTCCCCATCCTGGTTTTCTTGTTCTTCTTGCTTTTTGTCTTCATCTTCCTGAGCGGGAGGTTCTCTCTTGGGAACGCTGACGTATTGGTCCTTGTCTTCATCGCGGACATAGCAGAGGAAGTACGGCTCCCCACTGGTGCTCAGAGTCCGTAGCACCTCCGCCGTGTCTTTATTCTCCCTCACGTCTGCGTCATTATACCACCTCCAAACATTGGCCTCAAAATCGTGAATCCAAACCCAATAGTGACCAGACGTCAGGTGGCCGCGATGGCAGATAACAGCATGGAGCCGGTACGAGATTTGCTTCTGGCTGCTCAAGCTTTCCTCCAGTGTCTCTTGCCGCTGCTTCAATTCTTTTTCCATCATTTCCAACACCGCGGAGTGTGTTTTCTGAATATCTTCTAGCTTATTGTTTGATCTCTCAGATTTAGCTTCTGTTTTAGGATTTGCTGCCGTGATAATCCAAAAGTCATCTTCCACAGGTCCGTCAAAATCCCAATTCTCAGAGGGTTCCTCTAGTCTCGTGGGTTCATCAGGACCGTCCGAGGGCTGGATGGTTGACTCTTTGGTTGCCCTGTCTTGGCCCTCATATGTTTGGAGGAATGTCATGTAACTAGGGTTGGCCTCAATTTTTGCCACTTGTGATTTCAAATCATGAATTCGTTCTGCCGTTATCCAGTCCTTCACCCTTTGCCTAAAGATAGGCGAATCGTGAGGGGCATCCATGAATCGGTCCAGGTACAGCGTTTCAGGAATGACGACTGGGTTGCCATTCTTGCTGCCCATCGACTGTGAGCGCTGAATTAAAACATGTAGGACAGGTGGAAGTGTCTTGATAGCCGTGTATCGCGAAAGCTTGCTGTCTTCTAGGATTTGTTGGTCAAAGTTTCTTCCAAGGGCGTCGTACAACGAACAAGGACCCTCGGCAGCTGGAAATGCCGTAATAGATCTATCAAAGCTAATTTCATGCTGATACTCCTGTTCGTCAAATTTCTTGGTATAATTGACCGTTGTTACGAAGAAAGTCTCCATAATCTTTTCCAGCTGAATGCCAGTTGTGCCATCAATCGAAGTTGGGCGAATCGCCGCCTGCAGGCGATTGATAATGCTGCCCATAACCTCCTCAACATCTTGTTGGTCCGTTCCTGAAGACCTCTTTTGGTGTTCAAGAGCATTTAAAACCTTTTGGTCGACTGTTTCAGGCTTCTCCACATCAACCATATCGACATCATGGTTATCTTGCTCTGTGCTAACAGCAGCCACTCTAATTTCGTCCGAATTCCCAAGGACAGCAGGTTTCTTGTCGTCCACTATAGCCTCGGCCATCATAGTGTCGTCTCCTGGGTCTCCCACAACAGTCAGGGTAGACTGAATGTGGCCAACTCCGTCCTCTATTACCGTCTCTACTTTCTCATATGAGTGGTCGGACAGCGTATCGTCTTGGCCAACTAGGGTTCGGGTGCTAGAGCTGCTTTGTGTTTCAAGTGGATCGGATATAGCCTGAACCGAGACACTAACCATGTTCACATCATCATGGCTGTTCGTAGGGGGCGCAGGTGATGGGCGAGCAGGCAATGGTGGGGGATTCGGGGCCGTGGGCGTTTCAGAAGGCTGCTTTGGGCCAGAGAGTAGCGTATGTGTTGACAATAAAACGGCGTTTGCGAGTCTCTGGGAGGGCCGAGTGGCAGTTCTGTCAGAAGTTCGAAGATTTTCAAACAGAGTGGCCATTTCTTCCGCAACTATACAATGATGTTAGTCACCTCAATGATAAGGCTTGAGTTGAAGGGAATATTTCTGGGAATTCGGCACCACATACATGCTTGCGCAACGACGGCCTCTCCCCGATCCATGTGCATTTTATTTCCACCAAGGCGGCGTTCCTGAATGCTCTCGTCATTCAGATCTAGCCTCAAACTGTCATAGTTGAATACAATGTCTCGAATAGGCTTCACAGTAAATAAATATTGAAGTAGACTGTTCAAGTAGCAAGTATTGCCAATGTTGTGCAGTCCCACGGGAAGGTCCAGATTGGTCGCTCTGGGCTCGTTGGAATTACCAACATCGAGATCAGGGTTACTGAATCCTTGATCAAAGCGAAGCTCCATCACAGCTTGCTTAATCGACGGCGAAGCTGTACGCTCCGCAATGGAATCCAAAGCGTCCAGATATAAATTTTTGGCTTCGTCCGACGTGGCCTGGGCTAGCTAAAATTTGATGTAGTTAGTAAATGCATCAAGTATTTCTCATGAGTTTGGAAGAATGTCATTTCCCTCTCCTAGTTTGAAGTGCGTATACCCATCAACTCACCTTTGCTTTCGTCGCATTAACGGCGTCTGCCTCTTCGCCAAGGTTTAAACCGATGATCGTCATGGATGTCTGTAGCGACATTTTGGGGTCGGCCTCTAATAGAAGGTTCGTCTGATAAGAGTCATCATTGGAAGCGCCAGCAATGATTAGAAGCATATTTCTAGCAGTGCTTGCATCAGCTGGGTCTCGCGTTACTTTTTCTCTGAATGCATTGGCCAAGGCCGCTGCACTATAAGTATTTGGCGGACTCAGCCCAAAGTACTGCAGTGCTTGAGCGACAAGCCCGTCATCGTCACTGCCGCCGTGCCTTTGAAGCTGGCTCTCGAAGACAGACGATTGCGTAATGGCATAGTCGGATAGCAAATCATCGTTGGCGTCATTAGCAATGGCCATTAAGTTGTCGACCAGATCTCTTCTCCTAGAAGGGACGAGTTCCCACTGCCGCTTGTATGCATTCACAATAATCTCCTTAGATTGAGTCGGCAGAACTCCCAGCAGTTTATATCGGTCCATATTTACTAGCGCATCTGTACTAGCATGAGGGACTTCAGTACAACCCAGATGATTATGCAGAGCAGTAACACAGAATGTCGGGCGTTCTGCGGTGCTCCCAGATTTGAATATGAGATTCTGGACTTCAGAACGAACATCCTCGAGGTATGCACGATAGGTGTTAATTTCCGTACTCCCAGAGGGACCTTCTGCAGATGGGGGAGCTGTTGGAGTAAATGATCCTTCGTCGATGCCATCCTGAATATCAATCTGCTCTTTGAATTCGAGGTCTCGAAATATGGAAAAGCAGCGTGGGCCAAACAGAACAGAAAATCGCTTATTTCTCTTGGATATACTCCTAGCCGCATCAGAAGTCGTTTCCAAGAGATTTTTGAGGTATGTGTTGAGATTAGATGGCGCCTGATGAGCCCAGTCATCAGTTGCGCTTTCATATCGCACAGGTTCATCTTTCCGCGCAGCTTCTAGCTGCTCAAGAATAGTCTGGTGGTCCAGCAGGAGATTAACCCACCATGGGGGCATTCGTGGCTCCGAAACTTCGAGTGTAATCTGAAGGGTACATGGCGGCGCTGAGCAGACAAAATATTCGCGAGCCAACAGTGGATAGTACTTTGAGCGATCCTCTGAGATGCTGGCTTCCTCATCTGAGCAGACCCAAGCCAGGTGATGCCAAGGAAACTGGGTGTCTCCGATGGGCCACTGACTATGGCTGTGATGGCATAAGGAATCCGACTGCCCAGCTTCCCATTCGACGCGAAACAAGAAGTGGAAATGGCACTCTAGGCAAATAGCGGACAGTACCTTGGACGACGAAGTTGAGAAAGACTGGTTGCCATTAATGACGAGCTGGTGAGGGTGTTCCCAGTTGTAGTGACTATCCAGGTCGGTACGTCGAGCTCGTTCGAAGAGGTCGCACGCGGTGAAGTTGTTGTTGATTAACTCGTAAATCCACCGGCTAGGGTGGCATCCTATACAAGACAATTAGTTTGACGCCTTGGACCAGCACATACAAAGGGCTAGCAGCATACCAAGCACTTCCCGCCCAACAAGAGCGGACTTCATCGGCGTGAGATTGTGTGGAACAAACTCGGATTGCGTCCCTGGCAATGCGGCATAGATGCTGGGCTCAGGGTCTTGCGACCGCAAATCGTATCTGGCACCCATGGTGTATGATGTGTCGGAGGCTGATGGGCGCGAAGAGATGATTGCTCGGGTATCGCCAGAATCCAAATGGAGGGGTAGCAGTGCAGCGAGCTGTCACCCGAGATGCCAAACGCGAGAGTGGCCCGATCCCGCTCTATAATATTGATCGATGACGCTATTGATGCAGGAATCTATGCAAAGAGAGAGGAGATGAGCTGCAGATCCGGAGTCGCTTCAGATCTGCCCTGTGGGATTATCGAGCTGGGGAAGGCTGGGACAGGGCATCGAGGATTCGACAGGCGGCTGCAGCTGGTTTTGAAGCAGGTCAGCCGCGGGGATCGCAAAAAGGGCCGTTCCGGGCGATGACAAACCTCAGGACAAGGACGAGACAAAGATGAGAGGGCAAACAAGCGTGTGTAATTGCTTGCGTACGCAGTGGCGACCCGCGTTCGTGGCCCGAGTGCGTGATTGAAATGCCTAGGGGAAAGTCACCGGGCTGACGCAGCCTCGTTTGCTCAAAGCCGTTGCTTCTGCCTCTGGCCGGAGTAGCTCCCCCGCGGAGAGGTTTAGGTTAGCAGTGACGACAGTTTGTAGCTTATTTGCTTATCTCAGTTAGGAATGCCCTGACGTTTTGACGCTTTGACGGGAGACGGATGCTGAGTCAGCACCTTGTGAGGCGTCACTGCAGGAACACGGCCAGTAATACGTTTGTTGCACCAGGCGACGGAATATTACTAAAGAAGAGGACCATTTACTCAGTATCTGCCTGAGTGCAAGTTGATTAACCATTATTTGAGCTATTTGGAAGAGAGATGTAGCTACCTATAGTAACATGAATTCTATGTTAAGATATACACTTACTAGAACCGAGGGCTTCGGGTTAAGGTTGCGGGGGCCTGTTTATGGGTTGAATAAGAGCTGAACCTTAATTGAACTCTCAGACGTCAGAAATGGTATAATAGAGAGAGTAGTAGCAGTATAAAGCATCTTTACTGAGATGTCGAAAGGTAGGTGCCAATTTGGAGTGTTGGCTAGATATCCTCCTTGAATCAAAACACAAGCTCAAGGTGGAAACATGAACTCGCTATTTCAAAATTCGAGTTAGCCATCCTTCAAATATGCGTTCAACTCTTCACTCACTTAATCAGATGCGATGGTTTATAACATGTCGAATATTTTGACTTCTGTTGGTGGACCCATGCCGTTCCCTGCTGGTACGATATCACGGGGCAATACAAACCAGCAACCGATGCCCTGAATTGCTTCATCTTAATAGCGCTTATATTCTCGTAATCGTATATACAACGTTTATTCTTCAGTAAATGAAATTGCTATATAGAAATATGGCTGATTTATTACCAAATGTGTTCATCGGTCCCTCCACTTGCACCAGCTGTCAACTCTGCCATCAACCTCAATCTATTGTCTTGCCCACAGGATTTGATGCAAGGTGCATACAATCTATCCCCTCGAAAATCACAGCTCCCAAAATACCAAATTTCTGCCTGACAGGCCCTAGCTCAACTCACCGCTTCCACCCTTCAATTGCACTTTTCACAACCAGCTGCCCATCTCTCAACCTCTTCCTCTCTTCTACTCCAACCCTTTTCCAACATTGCAAAACCGCCTACTCACTCCATTCGAGAGATCAAAAGCTTTCCTACTCAGCCTGTTCCTATCTTCTCGGCTCTTTTCTCCTCACTTACTTTCTACCTACTTGCGACGACCAGAGATTACGTTCTTCTTCTCGCTCCTTTCTCTTTTGGTACCCCATCGGCAATACTTGGGCGAACATCGTCAGAAATTCAGCCAGGGTACATCTCTTACTCGATTTTTTTCTGTTTTCTTCTTTCTCTTTGGCTTTCTTGCTACATATTAAGACTGCATCAATCACAGTTACGAAACAGTACAGCACCCATCTGCATTTCTCAACTACGTCCGGCATAATGGACTACCTGCCCCAAAAATATCTTCCCTGGGATGTACCTAAGGATCGAACAAAGCCAGACCAACTCTCCAACATCCAAATTGAAATCCAGCGTAACATCATCCAACGCTTATCCGTCTATACCCTTGGACGCTTGGCCATGGTCTCTCGATTCTACTACGGCCTTGCCACTCCAGTTCAATACAAGAAAGACGCCTGCGACGAGCCCCCGCGCGCCATACTTTGGGCTGCATCGTGCACTGCTACACCGGATACTAAGAAAATCATCAAGAAAGTATTGGATCTTGCTGTGGTTTATGGTGGGAATGTGAATCGGATATATCCACTGATAGTATCGGACAAGATTGCGACATACACGCCCCTCCATCTGGCCGCCGCGAAGGGTAACAAAACAGCAGCCAAGAAACTCTTGAAACTTGGGGCTGATCCTAACGCTCTGGGGTGGGAATTCTTCCGTGACACACTATTCTCACCCAGTGTCAAGGCACTTGCATCAATAATGCCGAATAAGGCGATACATCATATTTCTCTCCACTGCAAATGGCGCCCCCTATTCTTTCCATTTCTCAACGAGGATAAGAAGATGATCAAACTATTGCTGCATCATCGCGCCTCGCCTGTACTTGCTGTCCCTATTGAAGATGAGATGGCATCTCCAGTTGATCCAGGCACCATTAATCTTTTACATATTCTTTCAGCCCTCCCAAAGGAAAAGTTTACCAAAGATGCCAGCCTACTGCTATATTTCAGGAATCTCCCTCAGCTTATCAATATTCCTATCATGGCAGGATTAACACCTCTATTTCTCTCGATACACCGTGGCAACGATATCCTGCTCAAAGAGATCATGACCAACGGCGGCAACATTGAGGATGTGAACTATATCGGAAGAACTCCATTGATGCAAGCTATTGTATGCTGCTGTATGAAAGAGGACCCAGAGGTACGAATTTGCTACAAGGGTATCATTAGTAACATGATTGAGTGTTTCAATGCCAAAGTTGGTAACCTTGGTGACGCTGATGTGATGGAAACACCATTAATCTGTATCATCAAGGAACTTCCCACGCCTCTTCCCACGGATTGGAAGCATAGAATCCAAGACATCAAGGAGATTATTGACCTGCTACTTAAGCATGGAGCTGATATCAACGAGGTCTCAAATGCGGGATTCACCATGCTCCATGTTCTTTGCGACATCATCTGCAAAACTCAACAAACCGGATCGCTCCTAGATCTCTTTGGAAGCCTCATTGAATATGGCGCTAACCTCAGCATCCCTTCTCACAGGGGCCAATCTGTTCTGGGAATGTGTATCATTAAGTACAACCGCCAGCCCACAAAGTTTTACAACTTTCTCCAAAAGCTAGGTGCGTCGCTCGTGCGTCAGGAGATCGACGCCGTATTTGTGGAGTGGGCACAGTGTCCTGGCTTCCGCAAGTCCTTCGATATGATACAGTATAAGAATCATATTACTCAACCTGCTATCGATTCTGCCTACGAGACTGCTTTTTTCAAAGATGGGAAGCTTTTCCATCTGCTGAAGGAGCATTTCCCAAAGACTACCATTGCCGAAAAAGTTGCTTCAGAGGCTCTCCTTACATTGGAAAACTATTCCAAGCAATTTGGCTTTGCCCTAGAATTTGACAGTTTCAACGGTCTCTACATCCACAGCAACGGAAACAGCCTGTTGCATTCGATAGTGGATAGGCTGGAGAAGTATCCCAAATACAAGGATGCACATGCGAGAGACGATGCGTATAATGTGCTTTGTAAAGGCGCGCCTCTCGAACACAAGGATACCCAAGGCAAAACGCCTCTTCAAAAGCTTTTTTGTCTTCGAAAGGAAAGAGATTGCCCAATTTTGAGGCTCTTTTTATACGACGTGAGAGCCGGCTGGGAGGATCTTGGGGAGGAGCCCACGCAAGACAAGGCCCAAGAGATTTGGTTGAGAAAGCGGAAGAGGGTTCTTGATGCGCTAATGTAGCCCAAGAGTAGATCATTCTGTGGGAAATGGGAGGAGAGCAGGTTATGGGTCTGCTTCAACAATGATGGCTTGAAGCCGCTCGCACATCGATATTCGATATGGGACAATTCGACTGAATATACGTTGGGAATCGTTTTACATCAAAAGTTTGCATTTGCATCAAAAGTTTGAGCGTAGGAGCAGATACTAGAAGAATTAGGTGCCTCTCTATAAACAATTCCAATTTCCTCCCAATCGTAATCTTCTTCCGACATAAACTCCACGTAGTCGCAAGGCATTGGATAACGACTCCTTCTTTGACACATAGTTAGACAAGTATGAAACTAGACGGCCTTTTAAACTTCTAATATTAGTCAAGCCTCACGACGGAGCCTCTTGGCCCAAAATGTAGACCGAAATATGCATACTCTAGTTTGCTGTGGTGCCCGCTCCGAAGACCGGCTATTCTTTCTTTCGCCAAGATCTCCTTATATCTTTATTTTTTTTCTTGTCTCCCTCCTCAACTAATCTCACCATAATTCTCACTTTGCCGTCGTCTCATCTAACTCCTTTCCGCGTCTATACACATGCCAAAACTCCCATCCTCGTCACATGTCTCACAGAAAGCAACCCCCCTCATCTAGAGATCTCGGGATTTTAAAAGACCCTTACTTGTTACGCTTCTATTTGTGGCGCCGGTCCCCGCTGCAGATCCCGCCCTAGGGAGGGGAAGCTTAGGAAGCTGAAGACTTCGCAAAAATCACCAACCTTCCTGAAAAGGAAATTCTCAAGCGACGCGGTGGAGATGCTGCGATTAACACGTGTGGCGGCATTGGCTGTGATTGGGATTAGCCTGATATGGCTTTCTTTGTTGGTGTTTTAAAGCCGAAGATTGGAATTAGTCGAGACACTGCTCGGTAATGTCAAAATTGGTATCCTCTGTGTTTTAAGCGATACTACGTCTCTTATCTCCCTGCTTCCATCTATCTGGCGGTCGGATACGGCGGGTGGTTGGCATATAGTCATGGTGGCAGATATTACATGCAGCTTAGTCTTGGTGAGTCGCACACGCTGAGACATATTATGTGATGGGGTCATGAGGGTGCCGAAACAAGCATATGGACTTGGTATGCATTAGTAGACGGTAGATGACCGAGCAAGAGAGCAGGTGAGGAGTCGAGCAGACTATATAACTGCCCTTGTTGCCCTCGGGATTTGCTCGACGTTGAGATTTTCTGTTGCATCGTAGCATTGTTAATTACAGAAGAGACAAGCAAAGAGAGATACCGGGGCATCTCTCAAATTCACATTCAAAAGTCTTCATACCAAATCATATACTCACCATGAAGCTGTCCATCTCTGTCGCTCTCACCTCGGCCGTTGCGGTTCTCGCCGCTCCGGCCCCTATGCCCACACCGGTAGGTAGCAATACAATATGGCATCCATCCTGTACACCTCAACTCTATGTATCAGAATGGCTAAAGCTTCAACTCATTACAGCCTGGTATCCCCACCGCAAGCAGCGCCAGAACTCAACTTGCCGGCCTCACCGTCGCCGTTGCTGGATCCGGCACCGGTTACTCCCGCGACCTGTTTCCCACTTGGGATGCCATCTCTGGTAACTGCAATGCTCGGTACGTCAATAACTTGCTGTAGCACCTTTAAGTCTTCGGGAGTACAAGACAAAGGCTAACTGAGTGGTTGTAAAATAGCGAATTTGTGTTGAAGCGTGATGGCCAAAACGTCGTCGTCAACAACGCCTGCGAGTCCCAGTCCGGCACCTGGATCAGCCCTTATGACAACGCCAGTTTCACAACCGCATCCAGCTTGGATATTGACCACATGGTGCCTCTGAAGAATGCCTGGATTGTGAGTTTTCTCCATCTTCGTTGCCGATACATTCCTCAACTATCTCCGTCCCCCATTCTCTCTCGTTGTCTTCACCCCCTCGCCATCACATCGTTTCATATCACTAACACGTAGAAACCCAGTCCGGCGCCTCAAGCTGGACCACAGCTCAACGCGAAGCCCTCGCCAACGACGTCTCCCGTCCCCAGCTCTGGGCCGTCTCCGCAAGCGCAAACCGCTCCAAGGGTGATCGCAGCCCCGACCAGTGGAAGCCTCCCCTGACGAGCTTCTACTGCACTTACGCCAAGTCGTGGATCGACGTCAAGAGCTTCTATCAGCTTACAATCACAAGTGCCGAGAAAACGGCGCTGAGCAGCATGCTAGATACTTGCTAAATTAATAATGCCAACTTAATCTCCCTTGTCTCAATCATATTATTTTATTTCACGTCAAATTTTTTTTTTTTTTTTGGACATTTTCGTTTGTACCCCCTTCCCGGCTGTGCTGCCCTGTTGCTGTCTTTTGTGTCTCCGTGTACGGATGCCCGCAGAGGAAATCAACGCGACATCCCCTTCTTCCACATGTCCAAAGTGAGGCTATATCATCTTCTTTTTGAACAACAGCACCTCTCTGTGGCTGGTCACCAAATATGGGGCCACAGCTCATCGCGTAGAAGCCATCCGTTCGCTCCGCAGCCGAGAGTTAATGATGGCCAGGGGTTACAATAGTGTGTTTAAAGGGGAATCCAGAAATTGTTTGATGTCACCTGTCAAACGTGTCCGAAACAGCATCTTGTATTACAGCTTTATATACGCTGGAGTCACTTTGGTACGAGTTATGGTATTTATGCATATGACAAAAGGACGGAATATGAGTATCAGGATTGTTCAGCTTATTTGATAAAACTCATAGTTACACTATCTCCCCCGTAGATTACCACAATGTCATCACTGGTGTGAGCTACTGGCCAGACAATTCTTCACTTCATATCTGAAGTCGGCATCCGGTCCTTTTCTCCCCTGCTCTCATGCCACGCCTTCAGTTGTGCTTCATCCCACCAGATATGCAGTGCCAGGTGATTCACTGCTACACCTTGATGCTGCCGAGAAGCTTATCAAAAAGAAGATAGCTTGCGAAGATGAGCTAGAGCAGTCATCTCACTTAAACCGTACGATATAAACACGACGAGTTTTAGACCTTCTTCCCAAATCTTTGACAAATTTTATTTGCCCCGTCTCTCATGTGCCTCCCAAGTTTAAACAGTGATAATACTAAGTCTAGCTTTTCAACATGTTCTCCCAGCTCCTCCTCCTATTAATCCATCTAGCTTTCCCCGTGCTAGCCAGTCTCAAGGATCTATCTCGATGCGATCCCCTCAAGAAAGACGCTCGTAAACCTCTCCTCCCTATCAGCCCCCCAACAAGAATGATTAAGGCGGAAGCTGAAAAAAAGGTCACAACCTCAGATTGTCCTCCCGATCCCGCATTCGCCACCAAGACCTCCTTTGACTTCACCAAAGCCACCTGGGACGATCAATTCACTTCCTTCTGGTCCATCGACTCTTTGACAACGCAAGACAAACGCCAACTCACATTCAACAACACCGATGGCAAAGGTGCCGCCTTTAACATATGGCAAGACAATCAAGCACCCACTCTAACCAGCAACAAATATCTCCTCTTCGGCAAAGTCAGCGTCGAAGTCCAAGCCGTCAAAGGCCCTGGCATCATCACCGCCATTGTCCTCAAATCTGACTCAGGAGACGAGATCGACTGGGTGAGTCACTCTCTTTCCCTTTTTTTCATTTAACATGCAAAAGCAAAGTGCCAACTCCAGGAATAACAGGAACTCCTCGGGGCATTCGAGAACCAAGCCCAGACAAACTACTTCTACGACGGCCAGCCACTCTTCAACACGTACAACACAACTTACCACCTCGACACCTCCTCCTTCACCTCGTCTTACAAGTACGGCATCGAATGGACGCCCACAAACCTCAGCTTCTCCATTAACAATGTCATCCGCAAGACGTGGCACATCGGTGACATCCCAGCCTACAAGTGGCCCCAAACCCCGATGCAAGTCAAGCTCGGCATCTGGACCGTCAGCAACAGCAGCGACCCGGGCACCGTCGTTTGGGCCGGTGGTATGCCCAATTGGGCCAACCACGACGCCGACAAAAACCCGTACAGCGCCTACTTCAAGACGATCGAGCTGGAGGACTACGCCGGCGGATGCAACGAGACCGCCAAGGGTGCCAACGTTGAGTACTTGTATGACGAGCGCACCACCAGTTGGGAGGGCATTGAGATTAAGGGATGTGTCAAACGATCAACTCCTGGCGCTTTTCCTCCCCCTATAGCTTCGTCAAGTGGCGCCCAACCCACGCAGACTGGCGATGGTGACAAATCTCATCCATCCTCTTCCGCTACTACTGCTGAAGAACAGCCCTCGCAAACGGGGGAGCAGAATCCAGACCCGTCTGAAAGCAGTAGCGACGAGAATGGCAATGCAGCGCTCCCCAGTGGAAAGCCATCCTCGCCACTCGGCGCCGTGATCTTCCTGCTCTGGCTTCTCGCTATGTAAGTTAGGGGTAAAGGTGGGAGAGGAGAGGGTGAATGTTGAACGTATCACAACAGCTTTGAATCTTATTCCGCTGTATTGATGAATCAGGATGGTAGGGGATTCACACCAGTAATAATAATATTCAACTTCACATCTTCTGCATGCAGTTATCCGGGCTTTCTTCAACGGGAATTAATGACCGCTGTGGTGCAGTTGTCATTGCTCTGTTATTTCCATAAACAAATGCTCGCTTATGCTTCCAACATTCTAAAACGCTCTCTCAGCAGGCACTTAAAATACTAACACAATCAAGCGAAATGCAACTAGTAGTACAGTATATGTTCTCCCATCTCTCCCTAGCATTAATTGACGAGACTGCTTTGAGTAGAAGAAAAGTTCCAAAGTAGGAGGTATCAAAAAAGGCGACGGCCACAGTAATTAGAAAACAAGAACGGAATAAAATGGGAAAGAAGAAGTAGAATAGAAGCCCCAGCTTCTCCAATGCAGCTCGCGGTCTCCCTCCCCTGTCTGCCCAGCCCAAACGCAGTGGGCAGGCAAAACAAGCAATTAAGCTAACTCAACCATAATGCAAACGGTGTTCAAGGCCGCAGTGTCTCATCCCCATCTTCGTCGCTGACGTCCATATCGCCGTCGCTGAGCTCGCCTCTAGCCGCCCGTCGAGCCAAATCTCTTTCCTTATAAATCTCCCGTCTCCTGCTCTCTGATTGCTGCAGAGTATCCACGTAGGTTCTAAACTTGACAATCTCCCTAAGTAAGTATGCGCTCTTGCGTTCCCAATTTGCCATGGCCTTATTCGCGTTGCTACCCCTAGGGGTGAAGGCGAGGAGCATGGGGCTGCGAAGTTGATTGTGGTTTTGTAAATCATCCTCGATGCTCTTGACATATGTCGAGAGTGTCTCTAGCTGCTCCGGCTCCGGTAAGTTGCTCGGTCGCATGCTCTGCGTTGGCGGTGCCCACTCGGAAATCGTGATGCGATCCCCAGGTAGTTTTCCGCGTCCGCTGGTGAAGGCCCCAGATCCATGATCAAGGCTAGAAGAAGGCAGGTTGACACTCTGAACGCTGTTTTGACGACCATGTGTGGCACGGCTGCCCGGGCGTGAGTTCCGGCCACCACTCATGATAGAGGCATTGTCATTAATGGCACTAACAAGTGAGTTGTTGATAACGCTATCACTCCATCCGTATTCAATGTTGCTTATGCCACCGATCAGCGGATGCGTGCTCAACCGCGCGCTCCAGTAGTTGGCCGTATTCACAAATTCCTTGATAATCTCAGGAGTTCCGACTTGGAACAAGTGAACGGCTCCCGTGGGCAAGCTCAGTGCCCACACAAATGGCCTCGACCGCGAGTAGCCGGGAGACGGGAGCGCCGAAGCGAGGGTCAGTCGCAAGTTAAACGTGCCCAAGTTTACAGCATTGTCCTGCCAGTTACCACCTCCAACAGGAGCGTTGACCTTTTCAGCATTCCTTGTGCGGCTCTTTTGCCGCGTCGACTTGGGTGCATTGAACGAAAAGATACTCATCTGCCCCCTTTGGATGACGGCAAAGACCTCGGTCCAGTTTCGATCCTTTGCTCTCTTGCCAACCCCATCCAAGTGATGCTTGTGCATAACTCTGCCTTCTTTTATCCACGGAGGCCCTGCTAGTTCCAGGGATTCATCGTCAAGTAGTTGAGCGGCAGGTACTTCGGCGCTCATGATGGACATGCCATCATTGGCATGTGCGTCATCGTCTCGGACAATGGCCTGGCTGAGAGCATTTGCAAACCCAATAGATTGCTGATAATCACCTCGGGGCATTGCTGAGCCAAACGAGTCCTGAGACATGGAGCCTTGAGTTCGTCCCAGTGAGTAGCGGCTCCAGGTTGCTGATGACATGGCTGGACTCCAGAGAGAATTTGAGTCGTCGAAGCTAGTTCGGCTAGAGTTGAATCCATTGCGCCCGAGCCCAGGCCGTGATCGGCTCTTGGAGGCCCATCGCGAGCCACCGTTGCGGCTGTTATCTGCAACCCTGCCTCGCGTCGACATTTGGCTTTCTGATGGCGCTTTGCTCAGGACACTAGGACTCCTCTTGAGCATGCCCATGACGGACAGACTGCTCTGCGATGGCATAGTGTTGAGATGCCTCTCTGGCTCCGCGCCAAACAAGGGCAGTTTGTCGTCTCGAATCGAGTTATAGATGCTCTTCAAAACTATCTCGATTTGCTCCTCCCAAGCTTTCATTGGGCCATAGAAAGACGTCTTGACAAGTGGTCCGCAATCATCGTGAGCATCCCCTAGCTGAGTATCGGTGCGGGGCGGAGGTCGGAATGAGTTCCGGAAAGTTTTCCTCTCTTGCGGCTCAGCTGCTGGTCGCGCTCCGTCGTGAAGCACGGAGCCCTTCTCGGGTAGAATGCTGGGGCGCTCAAAAGCATCAGGAACAGACTCCTCGACGGCCTGGGTAATTGTTGTCAGAGTATTCTTCACGAATTGGCTACGGGTCATCTTCTGCTCGATGTCGGCAAGATGCAGATCAGTGTTGAGAAGCATAATAGAGTAACAAATGGTATGAATGACGTCTAGTAAATGTTAGAACGACTCAACTCTGGGTGCCCTTGGGGCAGTTGAGCAAGAGAATTACTTACCAGTCGCTTTAAAGCCGTGATTCGGATTGCAATCGCACCATCGCTTGGAAAAGGCCACCAAGATACGATCGACCTGCTGTGTCTCACCGCGCAATATCAAACGGCCACACACTTTACGCAGCGCATTAAGAATGCTCAGGTCTGTGAAGTCATACAGTTCGATATATGCTTGCAAAGTCCGCTGACGAATAGGGCCTTCTTCACCCATCCAAGAAGCAGCCTTCTCCTTGGGGATGAAGTCTTCAACTCCATCGAATATCTTTAGCGCCTTCTGGCGATCATCTTCGGTAGGCTCGCCAATGACGAATTCGGGTTCGTCCAAGCCTCGACTCTTCAGGAGATCAAGTGTTCCCATTTCCCTGGCGCTTGACTCGCTCGATCTTTCGATGCGGACGCTAGGTGGTCCACTAGGGGCGGTTCTATAGTCTCCGTCATCGGTCGATGCCGAGGCAAAGGATGTCGACCGGCGATCAGTTGGTATTGTCACCTTGGGGCGAACAGGTCCGTCGTTCGGCTTGTCCTGTTCTGCAATATATGGCGACTTCTTGGCACGAATGGTACCAGTGGAGTCCCTGTTCTTGTATGTGGTAGGAGAAGCCAGATTCTCTTTATCAGCTGCTGAATACGCAGCCCGCTGCCGAACAGGAGAGTCTTCATTATCACTTCCTCCATCAAGATCCAAGAAGGAATTGTTCCTGTGCTCGAGTCCGTTCTGGGGGCGTTTGCGATCATCAGAGGACGATTGATCTTGGTCAGAATCAGAATGGACCGCCCTGATCTTCGCACTGGGACTTGGTTCATAGTCAGGTGAGAAATCTCGCTGGAAATCTGCTCTGTCGTCATCATCGTCATCTTCGACTCCTCTGGCAGCTGCCCTGTTGGTTATATCGCCAAGAGGATGCGCCATGCTCTCTCGCAGGTAAGGATTCATGATTTGCCTTAGGCTGCTAGCAGGACTTGCTGGGGGCCGGTCAAGATCGGCATGGAGGTTAGGATCAAGAGAAGGAAGCGGAGGCACATCACCCGGCAAAGGCGGCGCCTCGTCAACAACCGACTTCTTCCGACGACGGAAGAAGGACGATGGCTTCTTCTGTAGTACAGGTGTTGACTGCTGCTGCGGCGGCGGGGTGTCTTTCGGGGCAGGGGCGGCTGTGTTGCTCACTTGGCCGGTGAAGCGAGGCGCCGGAGTATCCGCAACGGCGGGTGTGGTGGCCTTGGAGCCGAAAACACGTCTGAAGAAACCCGGCTTCTCTTTGGGCTGTGAAAGTCCCCCGGCAGACTGGGAGGCAGCGAGCTGATCCGTTTTAGATTTGCCATAGCTGACGCTAGGTGCCGGAGCGGCATCGAAGTCGCTTAGGGCCATGGCAGGTGCTACCAATTGGTGGTTTACCGGTCGTTTGGTGCGTCCCGAAGAGCTTTTGACGGAACGAGTCGGGCTACGGTTACGTTCCAGACTCGGGAAATCAGTTGGGTCGGGTGGCGGGCGAGGGAAAGCCAAGTTGGACGATACACGTCGTGGCCCTCCAGGGATCGTGGGCGTCGGTGCGGAACCGTAGTCGTCAGATGCAGAGTTGCTCAGGAAGTCGAGGTGGAACGGGGACATCAACGGCGCATTGAGCTGCGTTTGCAACTGCGACGGCCCGAGATCGAAGCTCGCCGAGCGCCTGAAGCCGCTACGGGCCCAGCTAGGGGGGCCAGCGATGTTCTGAGGGTAACCTGCGTCGATGCTGGCCGTGCTGGTGCTGTCCTTGGTGCCGGCTCGGGGTCGAGTGCGCTGGGTAGGATCTCCCGGGCCGTTGACCCTGGGATAGGGCGCCTGGAAGCTGGAGCTGCTGTTGCTCCTTGGTCGAGGCGGGCTCCGGCTCCGTGCTCTGGGCAGCTGGACCGAGGTTCGGTTTGAGTCGTCGTCGTAGTCGGAGCTGTACGAGTACTGGTGTCTCGATCTTGATGGTGGGAAGCCGCGGGAAAAGGTGTTGGTGTCGTGGGCCCAGGGTCGCGGGTCGTCGTATGTCAGCGCCGTGCCGCCAAACAGGCCGCTTGTGGATGTGGTGTGTCCCAATGAGAACTGGTCGAGGGACAGGAGCATATTATTCACAAGCGAATCCCGGGTGACGTTGCGGGGGGACAGCGAGAGGTCGTGAGAGTCCCGGACTCTACCTCTAGACGCGTGTTGGTCGGCCATGTCGGGTTCGATTGGCGTCGGGTCATCTAAAAACGAAGCATTGACGTTGCGGGTCACAGTCAGCGTCGTCGGGGACGTGCTCAGCGAGTGCAACTCTGGCCTTTGGGCGTTTGGATCCGAGGAAATGAGTGGCTTGGCCAGAGGGCTAGTGGTGGTTGAGTGCGGAACCTCGTTCCTAGGCCGCGACGCAAGGGACGTGACGAGGCTCAATTTGGGCGCAAGAGCCTTGTGCCTCTGGTTTGACTGCATTGTGGGGGCATTTGCACGCCGGTTGATTTGATGGCGCTGGATCTGCTCCGCCCCCGTCAGTTTGGGGTGGGCAGGGGGCACAATCGCGAGGCTGGCCAGGGGTTGGTGATATGATGGTCACACAGCCGATCCGAGCGAGCGATTCGAGGCCGATCACGACTGGCGCAGGCTCACGCAGTCGTACTGTATTTGTACAAAGGATGGGGAGGAGGGAGAAGAGGGCTGCGGATCGTGTTTCATCGTGGGAGGACTAGTTACCTAGCAGCAGTAGCACGGCTTATTCCTCCGCAGCTAGGGCATATGTCGGAGCATGTACGAGTAGTCTATGTCAAGACGAAAATGAGGGAGAAAAAAAAGTACGAGCAAGGGGTCGCCAACAGGCAGAGGGGCCGCTCTGCAGCATCGTGCCGCGTCCACTAAAGCTGCTGTCGAAGTGGGCTGGTTCCCTTCTGTAAATCCATCACATGAAACGCTATACTGTGTAGGTACTTGTACATGCTCAGGTGCAGTTGGTCGGCAGCACGTGTCTCAGTCTGCAGCAAAACCCCAGAGTTGCAAGCAAGGGGTTGATTGATTTCAAAGGGGATCCGAGACAGTGACATCCATTGAGACAGTATGGCACAGATAGGTGCTTCTACTGCGGGAGTCAATTGCTTACCTAGATCCCAAGAGCATGTACTAAACTATGCTATACTGTACTTGCCAGCTTGTACCTGTCAAACCGTTGCACTAACAAAGCCCTCAGCATCGTTGGCGAGACATGAAGCCTCAGCAAAGCGGGTAGAATCCATCATCACAAGCTCGGTTTTTTTTCCCCTAGCTTTGTGGTACGAGCACTAGACCAGCCACGAAAAGAATCATCTAACCTTGACAGATGGGAAGCGGAAAATATCCAGTAGCCACCGGCAGAATCTTTAATTGCTGGCTGCGGTGACCACTCATCTTTTCCGAATCTCATTGGCCGACCCCTTTTTTTTTCCACTCTTTGACTTAGTACTAGAGTGGTGTAGGGAAGCGAAGCGCCCTGCAAGGATCAATTAAAGATCGCACGATTCGTACAAAGTACTTGTACTTGTACAAAGATGTTGCAAGCGCGGGACAATTTGCCACTCTGCTGCAATGCAACACCATCGTCAGCACAGCGGCTTACCCTGGAAGCGCGACATATGCATACAGCCAACTCCAATACAGACATTCATTGGGGTAGTGGTGCAGAATTGCTTTTGTAACAGATAAATTGCGCTCTGGCATTTCTACCTCCTCCTTCTTTTTAATATACTCCCATGCACAAAAGCAGGCACATGTCAGCCGTGTCCAGCTAATACTCGAGCGAGCCGCACAATCAACTTTTTATGGGCCATTTCCAAACTATTGAAGCCGAAATAAGGCTAGCTAGACAAGGGAGCCATATGGCAATTAAAAGGAACCGGATCCTTGATGCTAGCCGACCCATACAAGCACGCCCCATACAGGTACGATTGATATGTATTCTAGAAGGCATGGGAAATACTCTTAGGCTTCCCTTCGAGCTGCATCTTACCCGCTCTTCTTCACATCTAGGTTAACTACCCTGTAACTAGGTAGAAGGTGTGATATGTCTGTGCAAATACTCTCATCCGCCTACATGGAACTGATTGATTGTCTGCAATGGTACATTAAGCATAGCGCCTAACTTTGTTTAAGCCAATGCTCACTCAGCAAGCCTACATAGTACCAGGCCCAAGGGCATATGCCTATCTAATCTCAAATCTGACAATTCCACGTAAGCTAGCTGTAACCTCAAAGCATAATAAATACTAGGATATTTCATTTCGGTTTCTCGAGTGACGGGCCGAGCCAATGAGTCTCAGTAATCCCAAGTCATCATCTGTTGAGATATTCGAAACATGTTTCAAGAAACCTTGCAGTACGCGCCTGTTCTCTATACCAAGAGACTAACTCTAACTCTCGTCGATTTCAACAACAAGGACGATGAGGAAGCCTTCATAGAATTGCTGGGAACCATGGTCGGAGGAATCTTAAACCTCTCCGATACAGAAAGAAGAAAAAATGCAGAGGAATCTGTCGATTTCTACCGTTCACAAGGTCGGATCCAGCCAAAGCTTCTGGGTGGCCGAAGAGTTGATCAATCTGCTATTTGGCTTATACGGCTCGGAGCAAATTCACCACAAGGAAAGTGCATCGGCACGGCGTACGTGGTTCAGAGGAGTCTCATGCCTGACCAATCCTGGATCCTTTCTCCTGAGTACCAGGGCATGGGTTACGCTACCGAGGCTTCTAAAGAAGTCCTGCGATACTTTTATGACGAGCTGGGGCTCCGGGACATGATGGCCATCATAGCTCCAAATAGCCCAAAGAGTCCGGGCGTTGCCAGGAGAGTGGGTTATGTGCCTGTCGAAGGCGGTATACAGTTTGAGGATGGAGTGACAATCCTTGTCCTGTTTGTTCTGCCCACAGCTATGTCGCTTCCGAAGGATTTGGTGTTTCGGCGGTTTGGTCGTCCAGAGTAGCATCTGCAGGTTAGGCTAGACAAAGGGAGCAGGTGAGTGAGCCACCAAGGTGAATGAAAGCGCTCTCGTCTGTACCAGCTACGTGCATAAAATAACTGTATTGTCTAGAAACCCGAGATTCTGGATACCTAGCACAGATCAAGTGCTGGCCAGTACTACCCTCAGAAAATAAAGCACGAGGAAATGAAGGGATGATTGTATGTTATGCATGCTTCGATCTTTGAGGTCGATGATGGCCCACTCCATCTTTGAAGCTAGGCTTCATATAGCCAAAATCCTCCAACCCATCCATCAGCAAATGGGCGGATGGTTTAGTGGTATAATTTTCCCTTAGCATGATCTGACCAACGAGTTAGACACCGCATGGGAAAGGTCCGGGGTTCGATTCCCCGTTCGTCCATAGTTGTATCTTTTTGCTGTTTTGGCATATTTTTGATAAAGACACTCATCTCTCACTCACTTTATTCATTTCACTCACTCATATACTACTCAGTACTGTCCAACCACATATGAAGTAATCATTCATTCATCGATTCGTTCAATCATATACATAAACGTCATGTAAATTACAAACATTTTAAAGACGCCTCATCTGCTCTCTCAACTATCCTTATCCCAGAACAACGAAACTTTTCCCATCCATATCAAATAATACCGGCAATCACAGCCATTACTCCTCCATAAACCCCTGCACAAACAACCCAATCCAGCGTACTTCGATCCTCCGCTAATGAATTCAACAACCCGGACTGGAGCAACGCGGCAGCTCCCCCGAGACCCACCAGAAAGACGACTGTCATACGGCCGACGAAACCTGGGATCACGGCGAAGCAGACAATAGGGGCAAGTACAATCATCGCCATGGCCAGAACAACGCGCTTAAGGGAAGAAACCTCGGTGATTTTTTGATAAGTTGAGCTACCGGCATTGGAGATTTGACTACTGGGTGGTGGAGGAAACCCTACGACACTGGATGACCGGGGCATGGGGCTGAGAGGATCGTCTTGTGGATTGCCATTTGAGCGTCGTCTGCGCCGCCCTAGATTGACGAGGTCATCAGAGGCTTCCAGAAACTGGCACTCTTCCTCTACAAGAGGGTTGATTGCGTTGAGGTAAGACCTATAGTTCACAACGTCTTGAATGCTTGGTTCAGCCATGTGGTAAGTTGTGCTGAACGAAGTGATGACTTGGTCTGCTTCCCTGTTAGATATAGCCCGACTCGACCTATGTAAAGTAGGGACACCCACTATACTGGTACAGCTTTTGCGCAATGTGACTTATGATTTCCTTCTTCTTCCAGGTCGCGTCGGTTGGGCTCATGTTTTCTTTTCGACGAGATGCTGGAAATATCCCTCCTGGAAATTTTCTTTTTTGAGTGTCCGCTGCGTCGAGGTTACGCAGCTGCTCTTCCAGTTCGATGAGCTCATCCTGCATATGCAAAAGCAGCCGGTGATGAAGCGACTCAAATCGTCGATAGATGGGTGCAAGTCTTGGTCCTGACATGCTGCCCGAGAGCTTGGCTGCTAGGAGTTCGTAGCCACTGAGCGGTAGTCCGCTGAGCTGATAGTTTGGCGGTGGCATCGGCGGAGGGAACGACGTTTGCATGGGTGATGGAATAAACACTGGCGGCGGTTCAGGGGCGGCAAAAGGCCTTTCTGGTGAACCAAATCCGTTGGGGAAGTTCCCTGGGAGAGTCTGGATTGGAGGAAAACGAGCACCCTCATTCCTGGGTGGGCCATTTGGCATCGATGGTCGCCCATTGAACGGATAGCCATGAGGCGGTCCAGGCGGTCCTGATGAACGATGTGTTAGTCATGACTTGAGAGATCAGAAGGCGTATCAAGGGCTATATACCTCTTGCTGGATCTTCAGGACCCTGCACTACATATTCCATGGGATTGGGCGATCGTCCAGGACTAGCATGTCTTTTTGAGCTCATGCGCCTGTGGTGGGCTTTTCTCGGCCGCTCCCTGACATGCGCAGTCCTTTCTTCTTCTTCTTCGAAAAAAAGACTTGGTTGTTCTCCCTCTCTATCGGCCTTTGCTGCGGCTGCTGTCAATGACGAAGGAAATGATGAGCTAGAAACCCTCGGATGTTCATCAATGCTGCCATGGCGAGAATGTGTTGCTGCCCCTTTGCCTTTATCGGTTCTCGAAGGGCTCGGACCCGCTGACTCCATCTCGACACCTGTGTCGTTGATCGTACAGAATAATATGATTACTTATACAGTTGGATGCTTGATGGCGCTTTCAATTGTGGTCTCGCGACGGCGCGGGGAAGCAGTGCGGATGATCGAATCCTCCTATCTGTCCTACCCCAAATTGCATGTCCAAATCTTGTGGGCGCAAAACGCTAGAGAGATGAAATCACATGAATTATGCCTCTCAGATGTCCGGACTGCGTGCGGATTACTGCTGGGCGACGAGGGCTGAATCGGCGCTTCCACAGTTCAGTCTGAGCGAGCCGAGACACTCCAGGATATCCGAAGGATTGCGGGCACACGCACAAAAGCGTATTTCATGTGAGTATGAGATCATCCAGAAAGTATTCCCCTTGATGGTAAATAGATGAAACAACGGCGGCTAAAATGATGCGCTTGCAAGTCTTAATTCTTATCTACCAGTCGTAGCAACGATGATAGCCCTATAGTGGCATGATTTGTGCAGCGACAGCAACCAACAACGAGAAAGAGAGGAAAACCGAGGGGGGAAAATCATTCTTCTTGATTGTTGGGGGCCAGGCTCTGTAAAATAGAGGGAAAACAAGAAGCGCTGCTTAGCCCCGATCATGCGTACAATCTTCACACACTTGTGTCAGCTCAGGCCGGATCGAGCCGGGATTGGTGGCCTTGGATTCGGGGGGTATGGCAAGAAGGCACATGGCCTGGAAGCCCTGAGTAATGGGCCACTGATTTCGTCTATGGCCAGCACAATTTGGTGCCCGACATGGACATGGGAGGCCTGCTTCGTCGAACTGCAGAGCATCTTTGCTCATAAGACAAACCGTGGGCGCTGTGTAACAGATCCTTTGCGAGGTTCGGTGTGTGATCGCTGGCTAGGCGGGGGGCGAGTACGAGTAGCTGCAAGTTGGGTTTCTGCTATCCTTTGTCTGGATTCCCATCTTGATGCTGGTTCAGATGAAAAGAAGAAGAAGGGGATCAGACCGGATACAGATGCATTCATTTAATTTATTTATTGGACGAAGCACACCCTCTTATAAGAGCAACGACTTGATTGATGGACTGAGTGGCTGCAGGTGGGTTCCGACCTGTCGGGTTTTCTAGCGGGCCGGCTCGGGGCCTCACTGCATGCGATATGGTATCTGGTCTCCACTTGAGGTTCAGTTTTGACGACTTCATAACGTGGCAAGCAAACGACGTCTATCTGGTGGCACGGCTGGCATTGGGCGAATCGTTCCTGCTGGTGGGTTAGACGACGGCATCGAGCAAACGAAATCTCTTATTTGGCACTGATTGATTGGGGCCCTTCTTGTACGCCTCATTCCAGCCTTTTTAGTCAAGGCAGTGCACGATGAGTCGCAGATCTGTCGGCGAGCTCAGCCGATATCTGCTCGAGGGCCGCATATCACAGCGAGGATGCATTAATGGCCGGCGTCTGTCATCACGAACAGTCCCTGTCTGGTCGTCTCTTCGCCCCCCATACGCTCTGCGGCAGCTCCATACACACTCTGAACCAGCGGCAGCTACAGAAGCAGCAGCAGCACCACAGCCAGCCCACGTTCCACTGCGGAAGCAACTCAAAGAGCAGGCGAAGCAGGCCAAGAAGCTGGGCAAAAAGAAGACCAAGGGCGATTCCCAAACCGTGGACGGGTGGGAGCTGACCGTCGGCATCGAGATTCATGCCCAACTCAACACATCTCGCAAGCTGTTTTCGCCGGCAGCAACCTCTTTCAACGATGAACCAAACAGCCATGTGGCACTGTTCGATGTCGCAATGCCAGGCAGCCAGCCGTTGTTTCAAAAGGAGACTCTGATTCCCGCTATTCGGGCAGCGCTGGCCCTCAACTGCGAGATACAGCCTGTCAGTCGGTTTGACAGGAAGCATTATTTCTGGTGGGACCAGCCTTCGGGATATCAGATCACGCAATTCTACGAGCCGTTTGCTAAAAAGGGACACATCACACTCCTTGCCCGCGATGGCATCTCTACAGAAGATGGTGAGAGTGTCACTGTGGGTATCAAACAAGTGCAGCTCGAACAGGACACGGCCAAGACCCTCGCACAAACGGGAAACGTTCACTGGCTGGATTTCAACCGTGTGGGTGTACCCTTGATTGAAATAATCACCGAGCCCGAGATCCATCACCCTCGCACGGCTGCTGTGCTGGTGCGCAAAATCCAGCTGCTCCTCAACACTGTAGACTCGTGCGTTTCTGGTATGGAGACGGGCGGTCTCAGAGCTGATGTCAACGTATCTGTACGAAAGACGGATGACCCTAGCAAGAAGCTTGGCACCCGTACAGAGATCAAAAACTTGAGTACTATCAAGGCTGTGGAGGATGCCATCATTGCCGAGCGGGACCGTCAAATTCGACAGCTGGAGGCAGGCGGCGTGATTGCAGGCGAGACGCGTGGCTGGACAATTGGATCCAAGGAGACCCGGCGTTTGCGTGGTAAAGAGGGTGAGGTTGATTATCGTTACATGCCTGACCCCGACCTACCGCCGCTTGTCATTGGAAACGACCTTGTGCAACGCCTGCAAACGTCACTTGCTGTTCTGCCGGACACCGAGCTTGACAAGCTGGTGAGCCATTACGGCCTCACCCCCAAGGATGCCCTCTCACTCATTACACTTGACAATGGATCGCGTGTGCAATACTTTTATCGCGTCCTAGCTTTGCTGGAGAGTAAGTTGCAGGCCGAGCCTGACATTTCGGAGCTTCCCGAAGTCAAGTCGTACTCAACATTGGCTGGAAACTGGATTCTTCACGAACTCGGCCGCCTGACGACCTACAAAGCCGGCCCGCTCGCATCGGGGGATTTGTCTTTTACCCAGCTTGGAGAGTGTGCTCAGGTGCCCGAGGAGGAATTGTCGCAGCTTCTCTACCACCTTTACCGCAAGCACATCACAGGCAAGGTAGCAAAGGAGCTTCTCATGGCGGTATACCTGGGAGAACTAGAGGGAGGAATCCTGGAAGCCATCAACAGCAACGACTTGTGGTTCAAAGAGATTTCGCAGGAAGAGTACGAGGCCCTTGCTGCTGAGGCCGCCGAGGGTGAGGACAAGGTGCTGGAAGAATTTGCCGACGAGCAAAAGTATCCCCAGGGCAAGCTCATGTATCTAGTTGGCAAGATGATGCGCCTCGGACCCACTGAGAGGATCGATCCCGCCATGGCGGAGAAGGCAATGAGGCAATGGATCGAAAGGTTCCACGGTAGGTGAAAGACGCTCTGAATGGAGGAGAAAGTTGTATTTTCTAGACAATGACACAGCAGAGGAAAAGGATTCAAACCTTCTAGAATACATTTACTATTATTTAGATCCATATAAGCTTCTTCACAGCAAAACAGGGTGGTTATCATTATAGCAATTGCTTGTGTCATATATGATGCACACATTCCTCCGCCAAAACAACCATCACCAACCACCCCACAAAAACGCTAACCGTAAACCCGCTGCTTAAAACCAACCGCAATGACAAAAGAAAAAGCTGCGTGTTGCATCAGAATCTCGATTTAGCCTAGAAGAAGCACCGGTAGAAGGTCACTGTAAATCTGCGTCATCATTGCGCTGCTCTTCATGTGGAGGCATATGTGGCGATGACATCACGACCTGGTGCCACCCCAGCTTTTCTCTCACAGTGCTTGCCTTCGTCTATTCGATTACCCTTTTTTTGCCTTTTGGCCCATCGCGTGTTTGAGCCCTTGCTTAGGTATATATATATGCAGGTAAAAAAAAAAAAAATTTACACTTTTTTACATTCCTTTCCCCTCTTCAAACAATCAAAGTACCGCAAAATTACACAGCGTCGAACTGCTCCGATATCGAAATCCATCATGTCTTTTCTTACTCGAACTATCAATGTCAGCAGAACCGCCGCGATCGTGACCCCGGTCTCACGGATCGCTGCGGTTCGGACATCACGCTCATTTACCACCTCTTTGGCGGCGCAGAGGACCGCCTCCGAAGTGGTCAAGGATGAACTGAAGCACATCGACAGGGCCGTGAGCGATAAGCTCGTCGACGGCATCAACATCGCCAGTACGTCTTGATTGCCCCCCAGTCTCTCTAAAACAAATTTCTGGTAACTAATCAATTCTTTCTTCCCACTGTGTAGCCAAGGCGGGGCACAAGGTCATGGAAACAGCCGAAGATCTTTCCAGAAGCGGCGTCTCCAGCCAAGTAGAGGGCATGGAAGCCCACGCCAAAGGCAAGGCAGAAGGCATGAAAGCAGCTGCCAAAGGCAAGGCGGAAGAGATCAAGGGAAAAGCAAAGGGGACTGCCGCCAAGGCAAAAGGCAAGGCAGACGAAACCCTAGAGGAAGTACAAAGTTTGTATGACTGATGGACGGCGACGGGGTGAAGGGTGTAGCTGAGAGATTGCACGATTGACACGAACCATTCATTATGGGAGATGAATGTGGGAACCAATCATTATCATTGTACCAGTCATTGCGAGTTTTGCTTTTGATAATTTGATGATTAGGGCTATCTTGTTGTACATTAAATGAAAAAGTTTTTCTGATGTCAGTGGTATTTGGGTATAATTGATTAAATATGTTCCCCCCCTACAATCCCAATATTATTCTCCTCTGCCATTATTATGTGCCAATTCTGATATTGCAAAGTTCATCATCAAAGGGGGGAAATACAAGTAGGTGGGTATCAAAAGTGAGGGTACAATCAATCCATACAGACAAAGCCGAACAACATTCAACTTACTCCTCGCCCCCGCCCCCCATCTGCTGAAGTTGTCGTCGGTCTTTGATCAAGTCATTTCAAGTCGCAGCACATTACTTCATCCTAACCACCAAAAGCCGAGATATTCTGAAATGCAGTACTCAATATAGCAGTGGCATGTTCCGATGTGAGCCAGTCAACAGAAATCTGCCTTATCCTGGTCCTATACCTTGTTCTTCGCCGCCTCTCTTTCTCGCCTGACTGAGGGATACGGAATCTCACCAAGCGGGAAAGTGACAAAGGTTGTGTCCTTGAGCATGAGACCTGCTGCTCCAGCATAGAATGCAAACATGGCACAGAAGACGGCAAAAGCGCCTCCGGCACGGTTCAATCTTACTGCTGCAGTGGTGTGCTCGGTCGAGACGAACTGGGCAATGCTAAGAAAGAAGAAAGACAGCGCAAGCAGGCCAAGCACCATCAAGATCGTAAAGTTTGTCTTGAGCGCCGCAACAAAGAAGATGATGGTAAGGAAGCACCATATGATGAGGAAAATACCGACAGCAAAGCTAAAGGCACGCTGGTCTCCTTGATAGGCAGCCTGGATGCCAAGAGTCGGAACGGAGAACATGGCAAAGGCAAGCCAGAAAGCCCCGTATGAGCAGTGGAGGGTACAACCAAAGGTATTGCCAAGGACAAATTCCATGACGCCAGCAACAAACTGGGCCATGCCTCCGAAGAAGACAGCCACACCGAAGACGGCTTGGTCAGGGCCGACGGTGCCCAACGGATTAGAGTTGGGGAGACTTATTGATCGAGTTTAGTGTACGCCAATGTGACGAAGAGAAAAGAATGATCTCATTCTTAGGGAACTTACCCAGCACCGCACTGGTAAAGTCCGAGCACAAAGGTAGTCAAAGCGAAACCGATCAGACCAAGAGGACCTGGGTTACCAATCTTACCAAGGGTAGGTTGGTAGACCTGGGAGATCATGGCCTGGTGAGGCCCGACCTGAGGATTCTGGGTGTTGCTGAACGGAATAAATTGTCCATATCCCGGGTACTGCTGATACTGCTGGAACTGCCCAGAGCCCATGCCATTCGTATGGTGGCCATTGGTGGGCGGCGGCGGCACGTCGGCCGCGGTTTCTTTGTTATATTGTCCATCGACGGGGTCGACACCTGGGGTAGCCATGTTTGTAAAACTCTTTTGGCCTTGTATCAATGGAGTTGTCAGATGATGACTTGGAGTAGACAAGACAGTGTCTACTTAGTACAATCGACTGAGTGTAGGTAGACAAGTAAGAGAAGAAGAGAGGAGAGAACAGGCCGTGCCTGAGGTGAGTGCATTGCCTGCCTTGTTTATATACGGGACGGCACGACTCCATCTACTCCTCGTGCCGTGCCCAATGTATTTGCTTCGTCTGCGTTCCCCTCATGTCGGGTATGTTCGGTCCTAGCCTATTTCCGTTCTCCCGAATGGTTTGGTGATGTTTGTTGGTATGGAGCTTGCTCCCCCTCTCGCGTCGCGCCTTTAGGCGAACGTCTCGATGCCACAGAAGCTCGTCCAAGCAGGTAGTGATCAGCTACTCAATGCAGCCATCGGAGGTCAAACTCCACGGCCGGGGTTCAGACATGCCGTCTTATTACTAGGTTGGGTTGGTTTGATGGAGTAAAACACTGGCTTCCTCAGCGCCGAATGATATACGAAGCTATCTCCGCAGCCCAAGTGTCAACGATCGTGTGACTCGACCCCGGACTAGAGGCCGGAACTCTCGGGACACGGTCGAGGGGCGATGCTAGTGACGGCCGTGATTCGCAGGACTGTCGATACTTTTAACACCGGCAGCAAATCGAGCCTTACAGAGATAGCTTCTTGAGCTCCACCAGAGCTCCGGCAAATGGCAGCAGGGGCTAGTCCAGAGCTAAGAGTGCCGAGGCGTCGACATGGGGTGGTGGCAGTTGGTTGGAGAGCCGGGCAAGGAGACTTGTGGCGCCAATAGTGAATTCCATGGATCTTTTCTGGGTCTGGGGCCCCGCCTCGAAGCATCACGGCCTGCGGTTTGATCTCATCATGATGTGCCAGCCCAGCGACCAATGGCGACAGGATTGGATCAGACGTGGCGCTCCAGCACATGGCCCCTCGTTGGAGAAGCATGGCTCAGAGGTATGAGGGGCTTGGAGGGGCTTGGAGAGGCCCAATTGAGGACGTGGATTGGCTCGAGTTGGACACGACCAGCTTTCCTTTCTCGGCCAACCGGGGCCGTGACAGTAGTAAGCACAATTGCCGATTTTTGTTGTCGATGCTAGCTTTGAAAAAGTTTAAGCTGCGACAGGCATCGGATTTAGAGGGCATCTCACGCACAAGTCGGGCAAATGCCCGCAGAAAGACCGAGTAGACACACGAGGCTGAAGTTTTTGGTGAGACCGGGGCAATGGAGATGAGAATCTCGGCTTAACCAGCTGCCGGTGTTGCGCGGTCAAATGGCAATGGAGAGAAACTTTTTCTTGTGCTCGTGTTGCTGTTTCTTTGGAGAAGGAAAAGTTAATTGATGGTGTTCTGATTTTCTTTTCACATCACCTGACGGCGGGAGCATCATGTATCATGTATCATGTATATTGTACCATTTTATACTAACCTCCACATTTATCAGAATTGACGCCTCTGGCTTGCGGATATGAGAAAGATACAAAGGAGGAAATTAAATTAATTTAAATTAGATAGGAACGTGTAGGAGACACAGTGTTTGAATAGATGAAAAACTACTCGCTCAATGGTTTATTGTCTGGGCAAGATGAGACCAAACGGTGTTACTGTATCAGCCGGTTGGTGTTGCAGCACGGACGGCTGCGTGGTATCATGATTGAGTCCACAACAAGCCGAAATCCTCCATTGAGGTAGAATGCAGGAAGAATTGGTTTTATCATTTTTCTAGCTTTAGAGAAATTCGATAAATTCGTTGCATACACATAAATTGCGTTGTGACTGGTATACTCTTGTGTGTACCTATGTAGATACAGTTGTGCGGGATGGGAAATGAAGCGGCAGACGACAAACAAACTGGCACAAGTATCTCGCCCTCTGCATCAACTTTCCCAAAACGCGTGGTAATGGGCTGCATTGGATTCTCCCTTGTGAATCATTTAAGCTCGTAAGATTCCTATCTCTATGGTTGTCTATTATTCTCTCATGTAGCAATGTTGGCTTCCCCTTTTGCACTCTCCCATCATACAAGTGTATATCAAACAACACCAAACACCCCATCTCGCACGGGAAGACACAAATACTCAAAACTACCTCCCGAGTCTCCAAATCCCCTGAGAATGATTTATTCATTACACAGTTCCGCTACTCGTGGCACTCAATCACCTCGGCAACCAGCAACTCCCACAGCCCTGATTCACCAGCTTTGACCCTTTTCCGCTGCCAGCTGTCCACCACTTGTCACTCCCGCATTTTCCATCCAGCTTCTGCCTGCACAAAGAAAAATAGAACCAAATTAAAGACGCGTTTACTGATTTCTTCACCAGCACAATTGTGGAGCTGCAGCTATTTACCTTCATCCTGAATTTCCTCCCTCTCCTTCTTTTTCTTCCCCCGTCACCATCTCGCAACTCCACAAGCAAACCACATTCACAACACTTTCAAGGTATTTATTTTCCATTAATTTCTGACACAAAACGTATTGTATCCTCGGATAAGGCATCGTTTTGATATCTGCTAGCAACTCGGTCATCCGTCCGAGGCATCATCGCCATCGCGAGCCTTGTCTCTCCAAATTCAAGCACGCGATGCTAAACAAACACATCCAATAATCTTCCCGGCCTTAGTGCCTTTCTGCTAACAATTTAATTCCAGATAACATCCATCATCACCAATACTAGCATTCTTCCCCTCAACAGCCGTTGCAATGGCCGCGCCCAAGATGACCATGGCTCTCGCCAGCCTCCTCCTTTCCGGCGTGTTTGCCGTTACTCCGTACTGTGAGTCTCTCCCCCTTTCACTCATGACAATCGATAGCCTCAAATTGATCGTACAATGTCTAACTCTTCTTTAGCGGATAGCCAGTCCACTGTGACTGCCGAGCCTCAGCAGATTGGTACCACCACTTCCAACGGTTCGTTCTACTCCCTCCCTAACCGTAATCTTCAAATCACTAACCCAGCCTAGGTATCCTCATGTATTCCATGAATTACTGCACCATCGTCGAGAGCACTCAGTGCCAAGTCTCTCTCTCCACTGCTACCAACGCGGTTCCTGAGTCCTCTGCCGGCTACTCTGCCTCTGTCGATTCGACCACTCAGGCTGTGTCCGCAGTTGGACAGACCGTCATCTCTAGCGGCGAGCCTGCCCCGACTACCGTCTGGTCTGATAGTGCTCCTGGTGCTCCTCAGCCCACTGCTACCGTCGTTTCGGTCACTGACAGCCTTGGCAGCCCAGCTCTGGAGACTGACTCTGTCCTTGCTGCCACTGGCTCTACTGCCATCACTAGCGGCATGCCTATGGCCACGGGCTCTGCCACTGGCAAGCAGCAGACCAACTCGACTTCGGTCATGAGCCATGACAGCCCTTCTGGCAGCATGACGGCCCCTTCTGCCCCAGACCACACCAGCGCTGGAGTGGCTCTCAAGGCCATCTCCGGCCTGGCCTTCGGCACTCTCGCCATGGTTATGACTTTTTTCATGTAACTGATCAACTTTGTTTACTACTGAAGAGCTGCAATGTTTTTAGCAGGCTCGTCATATACGTAGCATTTTCGATGGAAATCGGCAGTTAGGACAGGTTGCGAGGTAAAACCTGGATTTTCGCGTTTGGGAAATTTTCAATGGCATCACCGTATGATAGGCGAACAGGAATAGATTTGCTCTAAATTCCTTTAAATTATACCTACTCCAAAGCTTTCTAGCAGTGGGATAAAAAAAAGACGTTCACGCGTGAATGCTGCATTTCTGCTTCGTCTCTTCTTCGTGCCATCAAGCCTCTAACAGTTTGGCATCGTCACTCACATTAATATCTAACTAAGAGCATCAAGATTCCTCAAACAATAATTAGTCACCAAATCTTCTATCTCCCATACTTAGACAATGAACTATGAACAAACCCCAGGATATATAAAACGAAACGCCCAATGTACATACATACACTTCTAAGCCTCGGTTGGGTGACAGATTGGGCAGCCTCCTCTCACCTTGTCCCTCAACAGCCTCGCCTTCATGACCTTCATACCAACTGAATAGCGCCCTCCCTCCTCTGGCCCATTTCCAAGATCAACATCGACTTGTTTGCCTTTATGCAGCATTTCAAGCAAATGGCTCACGTGGAACGCATGCCCACACACGAATCCCATCAATGCTTCCATCTCGTACTCTGTGAATGTCTCGAGACACTTGGCGCATTGCCCAGGCTTCGGCACGCCTTCAGATTTCTCGTCCTCAGCGGTTTCCAACTCGTCAGCAGAAGAGACTTCGAATTTGATACCCTTGCGTTGCCCCGTTCGAAGCTCACTCTGAGCTGTCGCAACTTCACTTCGCAAAACTGTTGCTACACCCCAGCTGATGCTGTGCTGAAGCTCATGCTCCTTCATCATATGAATAAGGCCTTCTCGTAGACCTTGAATTTCGAGACCCTCCGGTATTCGACGAACCAAAGTGATTGGATTTATGGTCGTGCCGACTTGCTCAAGGAGCGCCCGGATGAAACTTGGCTTGTCCATGCTATAGTTCAGCAAGTCCTCCCACAAATCAGGATCGTCTTGCTCCTTCGCGAAATCGATTGCCTTATTGACATCATTTAACCGGTCTATGATGAGGTACAGTGCACGCTTCATTTGACCAGTCTTGGAATATAGATATACCAACTCGTCATAGTATGAATGCTGCTCACACTCTTGGACGGCCTAATTCACAAATAGCGTTAGCAAATATCAAACAAAGTTAGGATAGAGGAGAGTTAAAAACTATACCTTTTCAAATCCATAAGAAGTCGACGTCTTCAAAAATTCCATGAGGAGCGGTCTATCATATGTGGCAAATAAGCGAACGGCCAGGTCCGCAAAGTTATCCACTAAAGATTGACTGTCCAAAATCAACCGTTCAAGATTCTCTCCAATGTGCTCTGCGATTCCTTGACCCTTCCATAATCCACGTAAGTAGAAAAACAGGTACAACTGCAGATTTCTTGCTTGTAGCTGCTCTACGACAACTTCAGGCCGTACAAGGCCGTGTTGAGCCTCATCAACCAGCAGAGTAATTGCTTCGGTGGTTGCCGCAACCAGCTCTTGCTCGTCCATATACTTGAGTCGTTCTGGAGACACTCGTAGTCCAATGAACGCAGGAATGTCGTCTGCTACGGCGTCCGCAAGATGGTAATCACCAATCAATCGGAATGCCGAGTCTGCATCTTGGAGTCTGATATAGCACCTGAGCGCATCGCGATGTCGACCACCAGCTTCGTACAGCTTGGCCAAGCTTTCCACAACGATTTTCCAATCCCGACCTCTTTCGCCATCTTCGACGCTATTCTCACGCACATCGCGATACTTGAGCTGATTCTCAAGTGTCGTCGTGATGGCAGGGATATCGAAGAGGTCGGTTGGCCATATGTCTAATAATTCTCTGAAACGAGGCTTGTTGTTCTGTATATAATGTCCCAAAAGCACCTCGTATATGGTCGTTGGCAATGGCGGCTTCATAGGCTTTGTTGGCATGTGTTTGGTGATTTCGTCAAACTTGTTGGCACCTGCAAAGGTCCAAACCCATTTTTCCCAGCGATCGGGAGTTGTAAGAACCTTGCCACAGACTTGACCAGCCATTTCCCAGTCACCGTCATCAATCACTTCCCGTATCCACAACTCACCAACCCGTCTCTTTTCCTTCTCTACAGCCGAGTACATATTTCTTTGAGTGGTATCTGCCACAGATTCGTCATCGAAGAAATCATCGGCCCCGGCCGGGTGTTTGGACGGCGTAGGAGGCATCGCCGGATCAGTGACGCCATCGAATGACTCGGCCAAGATTTCAGGGTTTTCGTCAAGAAGTTCCCATGCCTGTCGGTACTGCTCACGCTCCAACAGCCATGTGAGATGATCAGAAAGATCTCGCTTGGTGGCCAAGACGCAGTCGTAGGGACTATGAAGGAATATTTTGACCCCTGGTTTGGACAGTGTCGGGTGTACAGTGGGAATTCTGGCTCTGATAGGGCTGGATCGTATGGTGCCTGCAATGCTTCCAGCTTTAGAAACAGAAGCGCCATCATCGCCACTGCCTCCGCTGATGATACTGGCGCCAGAGCTGAACAGGGATCTTGGATTGACCGCAACATTCCACATTTCCGACCCAATACCGGCAAGCGCCTCCAAAGCGCTCCTCGTTGAGGCTACTACAGAGGCAGCGTTCCGTGCGGGTAGGAGACACATATGATAGTCAGCAGCAGATAGCCTATCGACACGATTAATGGTGAGGCTGTGCCGATCTACCTCAGCCTGAGACTTGAGGTCAATTAACCTCAGCTCGGGAGGCAGAGCGTTTGAACGCTGTCGTTGACTATGCTGTTGTTCAATGTCCGCAGATGATGTCGAATGCTTCGATTTATGCTTGCTAGATGCGTCCCGTGTATGTGATGGACCGGACCTATCGTCTGCTGCGATATCGCCTTCATCTTCTGGAGAGTTGAACGCTAACACTAGCAATTGATTCTGGGCATACAGAGATATTCCAGAAATAATGCAATCTATATGAAGACTAGATAGCTGTCAATACCGTACCGGTCAAAACTATGTAGGGACAGAAGGGGATCACTTACATCTTGGCTATTTCAGCGCGCGCAATGGTCTTTTCGCCAGCCTGTCTACCATGTCCGATGCCTCCTGGGTGGACATGGATAATCCACATCGTTCCTCCCCAGCCGACAAGAAGCCTTTCAAAAGTTTTCGTGCTTGACACGCTAGATGAAGAAGCAGCAGGATCGTGAGAGCTCTCTGACTCGTCACTTTCGACCGCCTTCTCATCAATCCACTCGGCGCGACCTTTCCAAACACCAGCCATCGTTTCCCATTCGCTGGTGTGTGGCCTGTCAACATGACCAATCCTTTTCCAAGCATCTTCGATCTCTGTGTTATCGAGATGAAGCTTAGATCTCATGATCTTGGTACCGTGCTCGTTGAGCCATGCCACGTATTTTCCAGAGAGAGACCATTTGATGGTATTGATCGTACCTTCACCAGAGTGAAGCACCGTGTCTTTGCCCCCGCTGTTCTTGACGCCTATGGTAGAAAGCCAGTCAGATGCCACGGCGGCCGCAGTACCGACTGTAGTGGAGGTACTCCGACCCGGGCCACCGCCTACAGTGAGAATGAGCTGCCCTGCCCGCCCACCAGATAAATATGTTCGATCTGACTTGTAGTCCGGTGACAAGGCGACTGCTTGAACCGGTCTGGCGAAGTTTCGAAGTTGAACATCCTTCAGGTCGACCAAAGACTGCACACAGACATTGCCATCCATTGACGATGTAGCGATATAGATTTCATTCGACGGTATTCTGGGCACTTGTGGGATCTCTCTCATCCTTTTCGATGCTGCTGAGGGAGACGTTTCAGATGGTCTTGCTGGCGGCACAATTTGCTGAATCATCTCGGCTTTTTCGTCTGGAAGGGGGGGAGGAAATGGTGATATCGATATGGCAGTGACGGAGGCTGAGTGCGCATGATATACGCGTAGAGTGTTGAATCCAGGCAATTGGATAACGTGCTGGACCGCTAATTAGCCACAAGCTGTGAGTTGGTCTTGGAGGAGTTACTTACGATATTGCCATTATGCGTACCGACAATCTGCATGTGTTTGATCAGCAAAACTCGTATAGAAGACGTTGGTAGTTGATCTATACCATCTTGTCGCCCGCGACGAGACAGGCGCTGGTCGCATCTCCATTGCGATAGACTGCGCCGAGGTGCTGGGTTAGCCTCGTTGATTTCAACAGCGGCTCCTCATCGTCTTCCTCTTCCTCCTCGTCCTCCTCTTCCTCCTCTTCGTCTTCATCATCATCGTCTTCCTCTTCTTCATCATCTCCATCTTCTTCCTCTTCCTCGTCTTTATCGTCATCGTCATCGTTCTTTTCGCTCTCTACCTTAGTGCTAGGCTCGCCATCTTCGTCACCGCCATCTTCCCCAGTCGCATCTCCCCCAGCGCTCTTCTCCGCCCCTTCAGTCGGCCCGTCCTCCGACGTCTCATCGTTTAACGATCCTGTAGAGAGGGATTGCGCATTGCCTCTGTCTTCCGTCTCGTTGGCTGCCGTGGAGCTGTCGCTGGGCTCGGGTATTGGCAGAACTTCGCGAAGCTCTGACTGCTGAGACGACCGTCTTGTCATGATGGCGATAGAGCATATGTCATGCTGGATCTCAAAGGATGCCTAGTTCGGTTCGGGCTTTAGAGCTTGCAGCGCCCGGCTGCCGCTCAACGGAGTGGAAACTGGGAGCAAAGCAAGGCGGTGATGATGCTGCTGCTAGGATGCCAATGCAGGTACTCCGCAGTTTGGGTACCTGACGGGCAGCTGTTGATGCCGGATTGCATCTACGTCACGAGCTACAGAGAGCTTGTGCCGCTAGCGCTGGAGCCTTAGGGGGGTGGTTTAGTGGCTGGCACCCTGAAACTGCCATCGATCCAACCGGATTTTCAATCGCAGTCGACCCCACCACAGCTTGACTACCAACCACGCGCCGACACGCGAACGTTTCGATCTCCAGATGCTTCAGAGTCGACAAAGGGAAACGCACATGTCCTGACCAGGATCTTGGCCGCGCATTTAGCTAGCACCTGTTGCACGGGAGACAATGCCTCGCCTGGGCCCCAGCAATCACTAAGTAGGCGGCAATATTGACATCCATACGAAGCTATTGCCTACCGGCATATGGAGCTCATCGCCCAGCATGGCGACTGTTCAATCTCTGGGGCTGCATCAGCCGGCAGGGCTCCGGCATGCTATTGACGAGCAGCTGCTGCCTCCTGATCCGCCTGCCTCATCGTATGCTTGGGAGATCTTCACCGACGACAGGGATGGAAGCCAGGTGGAAGATGAGCTGCTCACCACCGACAAATGTGTGGTCTGGTGCCGTGGGGGGATTTTCCGCAAAACATTCAAATTCGATCTTGAAAAGGAGTCCATCACGCAAGCCCTTCTCACATATTTTCCAGCCTCGGAAGATGAAGGCAGTAGCCGCAAGGCCCCTGGTCCCGTAGGCCAGCGTTCTGCGTCCCTTGAAAAGGGCTTGGTGGTCTTTCTCAAAACACAGGCCCATATCTACATGTTATCCGGGACAAGTCACGTAGTCCACATGCCGTTCGAAGTTGAATCAGCCTGTGCCGCTCCTGTTGGAGTTCTCATCCAGACGAAGCAAAAGGCCGAAAACTTGGCGCCGATTGCTTTAAAGTTTCCTCGAGTTCCTCCCAACTCTTTCGTGTCCTCTCAGTTGACTGCATTCAGCGGCTCTCAGCAAACTGCCTTCTCTGTGGAGGGCCTTGGAAAGCCCAAGTTGCTACCAGTTGGACTGAATATGACGCTGGAAAACATGTGGGATGCGCCATTGGAACAGCCTGAATCTCACTGGCCTCGGCTTGTGGCCCTCACCGATCCGTTGTTAGACATTGGGCTTGTGGTGACAGATGCCGAGAAATCAACGTCAACCAGAAGAAATAGAAATAAAGCTTCAAAGATGCATGGCTTCCTCGATCCCGCTGAAGAGATACTCTACATTGAGAAAGTCGTTATCCCTGGTACTTCCTCTGAACATCCCCACGAGCCTCTGATACTTGGCGTCACCATCAACCGCGAGGCCAATGCCTACACCATCTGGAGATTATCTTATTTGGAGCATGAAGATCACTTCATCAAGCGCCATTCAAGTCCAAGTACAAAGGCGTCTCGACGTCGAAGCTCCATGCAGCCAGGATTCGCGAGCGGCACATCAACCCCCGTGCAGGCAACTCATCGTGAGAGCTTTGGAGCACCGCTTCCAGGGAAGCGATCACGCAAAAGCGAAAAGGTCGAAAAGCCACTAGATTTGGTATCGTCATTAGAAAAACAAGACATGGAAAGCACTGGGGTTGGGCGGAGGAGCTCACGTAGGCTGAGTTCAATGTTAGCTCGTGCAGATCTCTCAGCCTCCTATGACAGAGCTGTTTTCCCAGATCAGTCATCGATCCTGAGTGGCGTGTCCTCCAAAAGACATGATTCTCTTGGTAACCACGGCCGCTCAAGTACTTCTTATATTCACCAGGTTCGTCACAGCCTTGGTAGTCTGCTGGAAGCTCCGTTAGACGGCGGTTTAGATGATCGCGTTCACAACATACGCCTCGATGATCGTGAATTCGATGGGCTGCAACATGAGATGCTCTTCAGCAAAATCCACGTCATCCCGTTACATAGTTCAAACGTTCACTATTCAGAATCTGGCGGCATTTCTCGGAGCCAAGCTAAAGTGTTCGTTCTTGCAGCGCCTCCTTTTGCTACAAATGACTATCAGATGGGCCAGCTGCTTATAGGTATCCAAGAAGTTGTGGAGAAACGCCTCCAATTGGTTACCTTTTCTCTCAAGTTGCAGCAAAGGCCTGATGTTGCGGCAACTGGGGGAAAGGAGCCATCCTCCACGATTACAGTCTCAGTTTTGCCAGGTGAACTGCGGAGGGCGCAAAACGTGGTTGATTCGTGCAAGATAATTGATGGAGACCAGTCTGCCATCCTAGTTCTGTCGGAATCCATGGACGGTCGACATGAGCTGAGCACTCAGGCACCTTGGAGTGAGATGACCAAACTCTCACTTTCTCTCCTTTTTGTTGATGACACAAAGAGTCTGCAGTTCCGCGGAAGGGCAGTAGACAGAGACGTCAGGCAACGAAAGAGCGAAATCATAGATCTCACTAATGGCAGTATTGTCGGAGTCTGCCACTCCAGGCATCGCGGAGTAGTTGACGTAGTTGACACCCAAGGACGTCTACACCAGCTTAAAATTCAGCTTCGGCCGTCTTGTGCTCCGGTATCTGCTATTCTCAACGTCTGCAGAAGCGTCTTACCCGACTCAATAGGGGAGCGTATCCACACAGGGTGGCTTCACGCCATGCAGTGGCTCTATATCCAAGGCAAAGCTGATGCCAATGTGGAATGGTCTGCGTTGACCATCCTACTCCTCGCATTATTCTTAAGCCTCGATCGGTCAGAACATCGAAATCCTCCATCAGAGAGACTTTCGGTTCGGAAGCGGAGGCTTCCTTCTGGCTCATATGCGTCCCTCCGGGATTCTGATGATTGGAAATCTCTTGAAATGGGCGAAACTGCAAATTCTCTTGGATGTCCGGCATGGATGATTAATCGCGGATGGCAATGGGTCATTGATGACGATGCAGACGATACGGCATCTCAAAGCGGTAACCAGGGTCTCGGCACAAAATTCGTTTCTAGACATGTTGTTCTGGCCAAAGAATATATGGGCTCGTCATTTGGGATCAATGCTTTAGGGCCCTCCGGATTTCTCCCAACTTCTCTAGGCAGAAACTCCGAATACCGACGAAAAGCTGCCGCGGATATTTTCATGGCTCTTCACCTTCTGTTAGAAGAACAGAAGCTCGACATCATGTCTGCAGAATACCTACCATCTGGCCGAGCTGACCTCCGAGTGATCTTATGCCAGATTGCTAGGTGGTTAAAGTGGCATAACTTTTCGTCATTTTATGAACTGGGTATACAAGAAGATCTCGACCCACGTCATGACCAAGGTATAGTTTCATTCTCCCTGTCTGCTAGCCCCAGCTCCTCTGCTAATGAATTCTTCATTCAGAACTTCGCCTAAAGTCACCAGTCCCTGAACCGCCAGCCAGGCCAGATATACTGGAATGGATTCAATCTTGTTTTGTAGGGCTTCACGACCAGCACTATACCATTCCAGCAGATTTATTCTATGCGGCTGCACAGTTACCCGAACCCGACAAAATGCTTGATAGCCGCTGGAACTCTATTCTCCCCCGAACACTTATGTTCAAGCGCTTCTTCAGACATGTAAAATCAAACAGCACAGCAGTACAAATGGTGGAAGCTATGAAAGCCTGCGGCTTAACCAATCATGTCCTCGAAACTCTCCCAGAGGCTATTTTGATACCTCTTCAGGATGCCATAGCGCTTTGTCAACCCCACCCTCCTTCTTCCTGGTCGGATGAGATGCTGGAGCTGGTGAAGCGGACTGATATCAGTCTGATTCTATCCTCCAACAAGCGCTCACGTCCGGCCATGTCAAACATCTTAGTGAGTGGCTATCATTACTCCATGTTTAGTATAATCATTAACAAGTCAATTAGACACCTACCCATACTGCAAGCTGGGAATTCAAGTTGCTCTGTGAAAGTGTTGAGCAAACAAATAGCCAGGGCTATGACGAAGGTGAAGGAACCGAGCGACAATCTGTGATTCGGGCGTTGTTTAAGGATGACCGCCGTCTTCAAGAAGCTCGAGATTTGTTAGCAACTCACAAACCCAGAGTTGTGAGTTTGCCGCAAGATCCAGGTTTACCCGAAAGCGAATATTTAGAGAAGCAAAAAGAGCTCGTTTCCAGGATTGCCACGGGAACTTTAGCAATTCCAGCAGGAAGGGGGCTTCTCTTCTACAGCCTTCGCTTCCCTCTCATCACCCAGAAGTTCCACATCGGTGGATTCAATCTGAACTGCGTTGTAAAGCCCAACAATGTCACTGTAGGTGTGGACAAGACCTTGTTCACGGAGGAGAAAGTTTGCTGGGGATTTTTCCATCAGGGCGTCGCGGCTGGATTGGCAATTTCCCCACAAGCAAAGGGCATTGATACTTCGTGGATCCTATACAACAAACCGGGACAAGATCTTAGCAACCGACATGCTGGATTTCTGCTAGCCCTTGGGTTGAATGGACATCTCAAAGGCGTTGCAAAATGGGTGGCTTTCAAGTACCTTACTCCAAAACATACGATGACTTCTATCGGCCTGCTACTCGGCCTCGCCGCGTCGTATATGGGCACCATGGACTCTCTCATTACCCGCCTCCTCTCTGTACACGCCACACGCATGCTTCCGCGAGGTGCAGCGGAACTCAACCTTTCACCCCTCACTCAAACGTCTGGTATAATGGGAATTGGCCTGTTGTATTGTGGTAGCCAGCACCGACGAATGAGCGAGATAATGCTCTCAGAAATCGAGCATGTTGATGATGAAGATGAAGAAGAGCCCCTAAGGAGTGAATGTTACCGTCTTGCAGCCGGTTTTGCACTTGGATTCATCAACCTTGGCAAAGGAAATGATCTCAAGGGCTTACACGACATGCGACTCACAGAGAAACTTATCACGCATGCCACCGCAACGAAGAATGTTGAGATCGTACATGTTCTGGATCGGGCCTCGGCCGGCGCAGTCATGGCCATTGCACTTATCTTCATGAAATCGGAGGATCAAATCGTGGCACGAAAGATTGATATTCCCGACTCAGTACTTCAGTTCGATTACGTTCGCCCCGACATTCTTCTTCTACGGACCATGACAAGAAATCTCATTCTTTGGTCTCAAATCGAACCCACGTTTAGCTGGATTCAGAGAAGCCTTCCTGTTCCCTACCGCTCACGACACAAACTACACAACACGACCAAGCTGAGATCATCCGACTTGCCCTTTTTCAGCATTTTGACAGGCCTCTGCTTTGCTATTGCCCTACGCTTCTCCGGAAGTGCCTCGCCCAAGGTGCGAGATTTGCTATTACATTATCTGGACCAGTTTATGCGTATCACCGGGCTGCCGGCGACCCCCAGAATGCATCCTGATGCCGCTCCGCTCTACGATGAAGAGCTGGCTAGAACGAATGCCCGAATGTGCCAGGATATTCTCGCAGTTTCTTGCTCCATTGTCATGGCTGGCACAGGAGACATCCCTGTCCTCCGTCGACTTCGAGCTCTGCACGGAAGGGATGATCCCGATACACCTTATGGCTCACATCTCGCAGCCCATCTTGCCATCGGAGCGCTATTCCTTGGCTGCGGCACTGCTACTTTTGGGTCTAGTAACAAAGCAATTGCAGCATTACTGGTGGCCTTTTATCCGATTTTCCCGGTAAACGTTATGGACAACCGATCGCATCTTCAGGCCTTTAGACACTTTTGGGTCCTGGCAGCTGAGCAACGCTGTCTTGTCGCCAAAGATGCGCTGACGGGACAACCAGTCTCTGTACCTGTACATATCAAGATGCGAGGCAGCTCATCTATTGAGTCGGTATTGTACAGAACAACACCGTGTCTGCTACCTCCCCTCGACCAGATATCTAGCGTAACCACTGCCGGCGGTCCACAATACTGGGATGTCGAGCTTGACTTCTCAAATGAGGACCTCAGAAAGACGTTTGCACAAACACAGAGCCTTTATCTCCGTAGGAGACCACCGCGCGAGGGCACATTCACATCAACGCTGAGAGCTCTTGGTGAGCAAGAGAAGGGCGAAAATCCCCTAGAGTGGATCCTCAACCTAGACGCTTTGCAAGATCTCAGCTATGCAGAGAAAGCAGCCTTGTTAGATACCGGTGATGAACAGCAAGGCGGTATGGGAAGCGCTGTGGATGCAAGGCTCGAGATGGAGCGAGGCGTTAGGGAAGGCGGCGACAGAGAGCGCCTTGAGGGTGCAAGATTGCTCTTCGAATGGGGCGACGCTCGCGATAATCTTCGTCAATCCTCGTTGACGGCCATGACGGATAGCCAGAGCACCATTAAGCCGGCAAATCTTCAGGACGAATCGAAAGAGGATGCTCCCACGCAGAATGAAGAGACGGAAGATGAAGCGGAGGGCGTTTGGTGGATGAGAGATAGTGCTATTGAGGCTTTGAAGGGTAAAGTGTGGATGGCGGCGCGGCAACATGAGCAGTAGATTTGGCAGTAGAAGGATGTTGGTCACTGGAATGTTGTGGCTATGGAAATCATGATCATGATAGCGTTATGAATATTGGCGGGATATGATGAAGCTGAGTAGAAAAATGATGATAGACATACATGAGAATTATTCTATGAAATGACCAGCCAATACCCAACTAATACGACCTAGGTAGATTGTTGTAGCCAATTCACAAGAAAACAAAGTATACAACCTTCACATTTCATCACAGCACACAGCAAAAGAGTCGGCAACGCTTTTTAAACTTCTCATCATTGCACAAAAGAATAATTTCATTACAACCCTGCCCCCTCCCTCAAGAAGACATCCTCCCTGTCCCTGTCTTATCCGAATAAACGCCATGCAATGCAAACCGCATCACCACAGAGAGAGAGAGAGAGATAAGAATATAAAAAAACAGGGCCGGTCTACCGTTTTTTCTTTGCTCTTTGCTCTTTTAATTTCCCCTTTTTCCTCTTCGAGGAGCCTTTGAAATTTGAAAATCGCCGGTTTTTTTGGTGCCTTCAATAACCCGTCCCCGTCCGCGTTGCCCAAATTGTGTCCCCTTCTTTGCCTTTCCGAAAGCTGGGAGTTTAAAAAGAAATGAAGCACGAGCATCATCTTTCCCGAAACCCCCCCTCTTCCCCTTGTTTGAAAAAGGTCGATTTCTAGACGAGGTTTCGCTTTGCTATTTGATTGTTACGAATACATATCTGCTAGCAGTCTCCGTTCCTTTATTTAGAGACAGCCGCGTTGAGGACTTGTGTCCTGAAGAATCCACCCTTGGTCTTCTCAATGACCTGCTGGTAAACGTTGTTGGGAGGGTGGTTCATAATGACAGTGCCATCCTGGCTGTCAATCTTGGCATCCAGGCGAGTCTCGCGGATCAGGTTCACGATCCACTTCTCGCCATCGTCGGGGTTCAAGCCAAGCTTGGCGCTCAGATCCCGGATGTTCATTCGGCTGAAGATCTTGCAGTAGCTTTCGCAAATGAGGTGTCGAGCAGCGTTGACGAATGCGTCAGTAGAGGCAGCCAGGAAGAAATCGCCACGGCACACCTCCTCGGCCATGCGGAGAGCCTCACGAGCAGCGTTGAAGTCGTGGGCAATGTAGAGGGCGTTGACAAACTGGGTAATGGGGTCAGCATACTCGTAGGCCTCCTGTCGAACATAGCGAACGATGTCCTTGAGCTGCTTTTGCTGGACAGAGCTGTTGCGGGCACGTGTGCGGCCGGTGATAACGGCGGCAATCAAGTACCGCAGAATCCAGGGGCAAGAAGTCTGGATGGTGTTGATGTAGGAAGCAGAGAAGAACATGTCCAGGATGGGTTCCCGGGCACCCTCGAAGTTGAACAGGGGGAAGAGAGACCAGTGGATAAGCATAGTCCGGTGGTCGAGCTGAGCTCGGGGGTTGTTGAAGAGTCTGGTGTCGATGCCCTCTCGGACGTTCTTAAGCTCATCAACGGCAGACTCCCAGTTTGTGGAGAGGATTTCGGAAGCAAGCTTTCCCCATGTGGCAGCGGCCACCTTGTCATTGTCGGTGGAGAGAACTCGGAATTGGTAGAGCATATCGGCAGCAGGTCCATACTGGCCGCATCGGAACTGGAACTGTCCAAAGTCATACAGAGCATTCACCATCTCAATAGTAACCTAGAAAGGAAAAAAGAGGAGACAACAAAGTTAGCCTTTCGGGACACGCAAGCAATTTCACTGGGTTGCTTCTGCTTGGATTTCCACCTACTCCGTGCTGGTTCTTGAGAAACTCCAAGTTGGCCACCTTGTCGCTTCTCAGTCCGTTGACGACCTCGTCCTGGGTCAAGAGGTTTGCAATCTGCTCCGTCGCCTTCTCGTACTTGTCCAGCTGTGCCAGCACATCCTGTCTCTTCTTGGTGTACTCGGCCGGGGCCTCGGCCACTCCGTGCAGCTCGCAGTATAGCGACGCCACGTAGTCCGTCATGTTGGTGTCGTCCAGCAGCTGAATCTTGCCTGACAGAATCTTCTTGGCCAGCTCGGCATCGCCCTTCTCCTCAGCCTGGTCGCCCTCGAACTGGATAAGCGGGAAGAGCAGGTGACGGCTCAGGTGCGGCGCAACCTTGGGCATGATTGACGCGCCATCGGCTGGCAGGGCCTTCAGAATATCCTCCATGATGAGTGCTGTGTTCGTAGGCAAAGAATCTGACCGCGGCGAGGTAAAAAGGGGTATTGGGGTATTTCCTTTGGTCGGTCGAAAATGAGGAGGAACTCGTCGCTAATTCTGCAAAAAGGTCGCCTGTAAATGGAGGGGCAGATTTTTGGTGAATTTCGCGAATACACAAAGTGGTGTGGGGGGGTTTGCACTTTTTTGCCCGAAGATCCGCCGGTTTCTGCCGCCAAACATCCAAGTTTTGCGGCGCATCATGTGATCTGGAGATTTGCAGCAAAAAAGCAACTTCGGAGGCTTGAAGGCAGAGACGCAAAACAGCAGCCAGGCTGAATTGAGAGCTCATGCGTCGTTGAGGCGGTGGCTTTACTTGCTATTTGGATTGTTCAGGACCTTTGCTCTTTTATCTCCTAGCGAGGCGATCAAATACGAACCCTTGTCGCAAGGATCCATCTCCACCATACGATCGACTTTCGCCAAATCCAATCTGAATCGCGAACTGCAACAGCGCAAGCCTCCTTTCTATTACCTTGTACGACTACACTCAACATGAGCTACCTTATCCCTAGAGCTCTCCCTTTGAGGAGCGCGGGCCTCTATCGACCTGCAGTACAAACACAAATCAACTCCTTCGCATCAAGAACCGCTTTCCTTTCCACCACCCAAGCAGCATCCATCTCGACCAAGCCCTCGTCTCGACAAAACCCCAACCAGAAACAAAAGGTTCCTCCGCACCTGCGTCAATTGAATCGCGCTCCCGTACCTCCGCCAGCCAAAACGCCAGAGGAGCTTGTCAGCCTTGGTTATATAGTGCGCCGCACACCTTCTGTCCAGCTGCCCATATACCGGAGGTGGCAGTCAGGCGGCACTCGCCAAGTGATTTTGATTAAGAAGGTCGACGGAGATCGAGTACGGCTATTAGAGGATCTAGTTGGAGGCCTTAATATTGCTAGAGAGGATGCGCGGATCAACCCAACAACACAACACATAGAATTAAAGGTAACAATGGCTGTGCCTCTCTTATTTGCAATCAGAGTCGGATCGCAAAGATGCTAACAATCCGTTTCTCTGTCCTAGGGTGACCATTTCGATAAGGCTAGGGGATGGCTGCTTGAGCGTGGTTTCTAAACCTGTGTAAAGAGTAGGAAGAAGCGAACTTCTGAGGCTGGGATGGTGAGCATTGGCAAGAGATGACCCGAGCTTAACGCTCACTTGTAAGATGTGCCGCATTTTATGACTCAACATATATATGTACAACAATTCAATAAACGAATAATCCAGGCCGCCAAAAAAGAGGTATCAGTGTATGTAACAACCCTACTCCTATGTACACAGACGCCGCGATGAGTCCGCGAGAATTCCGCCTTTCCAAAACCCGCTGATATTGAACACCTATGCACCATCGCATTTGTGACGGATGGCTTAAAACAAACATTATCAACCCCAGACATAACATTTACACGTTTGATCATTGTCGACATTGTCAACTGTGAACCCTGAACGCAACCTCCCTCAGCCTTCCCCCTCCTGATTTTTCTTTCTTTTCGTTTTAACAACGGGACGCCTTACCCCGCAAAAATGCTCATATTTTAGACCTTTCCAAGAAGAAGAAAAAAAAAAACATTAAAACGTTCAAACTCAGGACTTAGCCTGCCAGAGTTGTGATTGTTGACAAATGCTGCAGCAAGCCCTCCTTTGACCACTCAGGACTATGCATAGATAAAGCCTCCAATAACGTCTCCCCAGTCGGCAAGAAGGCTCCGGCAGCCGAAAAGGCTGGGTTATTCGGGTCTCTCGACTTTTCCACCAATCGCCTGAGCAATGCAATTGCAAGGACAGAGATGTACACAAGCTCAGGGTCTTTCCTTGGTGGAGCTCGTCCTGCTCCACGACCAAAGGTTTGTGGCTGTTCGTACAGGCGACTCAGCTCTTGGCTGAGACGGAATAGGTTGTTCGCCAGGCCGTTACCCGCATTCAGCCAGCTCCTTACAAGACTTGACTCAGCACCGGGGGCTAGAGAAGCGAGAATTTCTGCCGACAATAGGCCTTGCATCAAGTATGGCTTCCGGACTTCCACGAGTGAGGGGAAAGTTGTTGGTCGATCACGTTCCCTAACCTTGTCTGGAATTGGTGAGATTGCTAGTGCAAATGTTCGAGTAAGAAGCTCGTGTGGTGTAGCGTTGGCGGCATCAAAAGCGAAGAGGTTTTTGTAATGGCCTCTGTTGGGCTCGTCACGAGCAAGAAGTTTTGCCAAGGCATCGACAGCGTGGGGGAGATAGGTATGAACGCTTGGATCATAATTGGTGAAGAAAAGCGTGTCATTGGTCAATACAGGACTGGGAACCGGAGCAAATGACAGCAAGAACTGCAAAAGACATAATGCCTGTTCTCGGCCGGGTATTTCGACTGAACTGGCAATGTTAGAAAGGAGGACAACCACATCCTTCATGAAGTCAAGAGTATTATTATGAGTTCGGAGAAGCATTGTCCTTGTGCCCAGATACCGGATGGCAGTGCAGAGAAATTTGATGACGGACTCATCAGCGAGCATATTGTGGTTGTCGTTCTGCTCGCCCGGGAAAGAGACATTTCGTAAAATGGTCGAGATGCACACTAATCGATCAACGGCTCGGTCAAGTTCATACTCGTCAGTGCCGAAAGCGGGAACATCGCGAATTGCCCATCGTTCAATCCGGCACGATCTGACAACCTCTTCGTACGGAGTGAGTTGGATATCGTCGGATACTTCCGCCGTATGCTCAGTTAGTAGCTCGAGCTGCTCCTCTGCACAGTCAATGAGCGCGTCCACCAAGTCATCGCAGTATCGCAGCTGCAAAAAATGTGCCTGGTTCGGCGAATGGGATACTGTCGCAAGCGTGTCCAGAGCAAGGCGAACTTCTCCGTGTATGCCACTTTGCAGGCTACGCGTCAGCGCAGCTATATCAATGTTACCGAGGTCGTTTACTGGGGGGACAGTTGGCTTCCACCGCTCCAGCTCTGCGCCTAGCAGATTCGCCGCGTGGAGGTCGACACCACCATACGTAGAAAGTTCTCGCGCGCAAGGGTTGTAGCTATCTGATTTCTGGGGAGGTCGGGGCATTTGCTGCTCAGCATTCATCACACCAACCGGTCTGCCGTCGGCTGGCCCCATGAGCATACTTCCAGCCCGCGAGTGAGCTGGCGATGGTATTGAGAAGTCGTTCGGTCCAGCTGGATCAATGCTGCGCGATAAACTGTTTCTATTGTGGCCAGGTAGAGTATTCGGTTGCTGAAGCTGCTGTGGAGTTTGCGGAGTGGAAAAGCCATTGACGGAAGGCTGACCAGACTTCACAGGAGTATGCTGCTGTACATGAGGCTGGGGTGGTGGTTGCTGCTGCTGCTGCTGCGGCTGCTGCTGCGGCTGCGGCTGCGGCTGTTGTTGTTGCACCGGCTGCATTTGGCCCTGATTCATCTGCTGGGCCGGCGGCGCCTGTTTTTGCGGCGTGACTTGGCTGGCGAGATTCGCTTGTTGCTGCTGCATCATTCTCTGCTTCTGCTGCGCTATCCATACTTCCTCGAATTTGGACAGGTTACGCTCATAAATCTGCTTGAGCGAAAAAGGAACGTTGGGTTGTTGCGCCGGAAGCCCCATGGCCTGAGCGACATGACCCCAGCCATTCGCAACAGTCACCGACTTCGAACCGCCTTTTTGCTGTACGGCTTGGAACAGAATCATCAAATTGACGAGCCGGTCTCCAATCATGGGATTTGGATCCAACGGGAGACCTTTGGCATTCATAAGTCCCGTTAAATTCTTCATGAACTGCTCTCCGTTAATGCTACCAGTAGGTCGGTGTTGAGGTCGCATCGGTCCTTGGGGCATCTGGCCATTTGGTACACCGGGCATCTGCGGCTGTTTCGCCATCATTCCGCGGCCCATACCCTGAGCCGCCTGCATCTGAGCCTGCATTTGCATGTTACCTTGGAGTTGCTGTTGGAGCCGCATCTGATACGCCGCCATTTTCTGCCCTTCAGTCAACGTCTGGGGTCGCTGTTGCTGTTGCTGCTGTTGTTGAGCCTGGGTTTGATGCTGCTGCTGCTGCTGCTGTTGCTGTTGTTGTTGTTGCTGTTGAATTTGCTGCTGCTGCTGCAACTGAGCATACATGGCAGCCGGCATCTGGCCCATGGGTTGTCCCATCTGACCCATTTGCTGGGCCATCATGGGATTGCCCGCCATCGCATTTGGATTTGAAGATGGGCGCGGATTCGATGGGGACTGCGCGAAGGCTGGGTTGTAGCCTTGAGGCATGTTTTGCATGTAGGGATTCGGCTGGGGCGTGCCATGCTCAGAGGTGATGGGCGACGTCTGAGAAGTAAACTGCTGGGCGCCCGGGGAAAACGGGTGAGGCGAGGCCGTCGCCACCCTCTGGGGGACACTACCTGGGCGCATTTGGTTCCCCATGATGGGTGAGGGGCTTGCGTTGGCCGAGCCGTTGGTTTGGAGGTGGGAGAACTGGCCAGCATTCTGCTGCGGCATGGCGCCAGGCTGGAAGCCGGGAAAGCTCTGCTGCTGCGGCGTTTCGGAGCGCGACGTCGGGAGCATGCCCGGATTCTGCCTGGGAGAGCCGGAGATGGAATCCTCACGGGGCCGCGGCCGCTTTGATGGAATGACAGAATTGGTCTGGTAGACCTGGGACGCCTGGTAGCCGGCGGGCGAGGCGTGGCGCATCGGGCCGTTCTGCAGGGCCATCTGCTGTTGATTGGAAAACTGGGCGGCCGGATTGAACTGGGCCTGGTTGGCCATGAAGGCGGAAGGGTCCATCATGGCACTGGCAGCGCTGGGGTCATTCATGTGTGGGAAGCCGTTGCCATTGTGGTTCGGGACTGCGTCGTTCATCCAGGTGCTCATGGCGATGAGCCCGACAAGCTGTGCGCGGCGACGTCAGCGAAATCAGCAGGCACGGCGGCCAAGAGCCCATTGATGGGCGCAGGGATGGATGGAGACGGGGCCGTAACACGGCACAGTGGGTGGTTTGATGGACGACAACGTTGAGTCGCGTCGCGGGTTGGCGGAGAGAATGTATGTGTATGTGTGTGTGTGCGTGTGGTGTCGGGTGGGAAAGGCAGACAGCCAGACAAAGAGCGCTGGCTGGGGGGGCTTCGGGTGGGCGCTGGGCAGGTAGCACTAGCCATAGCAGGCTGGCCAGGCAGGCTGTTGGGCCACCTGCGTGCTGGGAGCGGCGCAGCAGGCGCTGAAGCCGGCAGACACCCAGACACCCAGGGACTCGAGAGGGGGAGCCACCTCTAATCGAGGTACCTCACGGGACGGCGGCAGACGCTAGCAAACGGACGTACCTAGTGATACCCGCGACGGGTCCGAGGGTGTCCAATGGCTGCTACTCGGCGCAGGAGATTAGGAGACAAATAGCGGCGCTCGTGTATGGATACTTTGCGCTGGGTAGGTCAGCCGCCGCGAGCTGGGCGTGTCGAAGTACCGGTACACCCGTCCAGCCTGTAAAATTATGGCCACCAGTTCCAGTGGATTGTAGCGCAGGGGCAGCGAGCGCGTGCTGGACTGGAGGAGAAATTTTCGGTGCAGGCGTCGGATCGGCGCTGATGCAGTAACAAAGAGCCACCTCGGCGGCACCCACGCAGCGCCCTGACTATCGACAGCTCGGGGCAGAAGCGATCGCTAGCCGTCGCGATGCGATAGAGACAACTCGGTATGTCGCCTGGGGGGCAGCAGAAGGCAAGGAGGTGCAGGCAACGTGAAGTGAATGGAGAGCCAGGTCTTACCTAAGGCGCGTTGAGGTGGATGACTGCGAGTTCCTCGCTGGATTGGCAGATTAGTTTCAGGCCGATGTGAAATGCTCCCTTCCTGAGATCGCTAGCCCGTTGTGGATTAGCGCTGACTGCCGCGAATAAGCCAAGTGGGTCGCCAGCCAATGGACGCGTTGCGTTAGTGTCGCGATAGCAGCAGTCGCTCTCCGTATTAGCAAAAAAGCTGTTTCCGCAGCTGTACCACTAACAGCATCGGCGAAGCCGCTATCAGTTTCCTATTTTGCAACCAGATGGGATTAGGCCGTGTTGAAGTGACCCGTTTGAGAAAACAGGTACTTTGTTGTTGGTTTTGAATGAGACCTTCAAGA